GTAAAGTAAGGATATGAAGGCAAAAATCTAGGAATTCCGCATCGCCACTTCAGACACAAAATGAAAATATTTGTGTCTGTTTGCTTACCAAAAGATATTTACCAATTACAGTCATGATCCAGGCCACTTCCATACTATGAAACTCCATATCCCTCAGCACTGAAAAAATAAATAAACAGAAATAATTTTTATACACATTTTTATACACATTACAATACTCATTTTTTTGAAACACATAATTTTACATATTTCTCCTATTACCTTTTTATGATACCCATCGTTGAGAGTACGGACCCCCCGCCAATTATACTGTGGCTGAGAGACCAGATTTTTTATACCTTTTTATGATACCCATCGTTGAGAGTACTGACCCCCAGCCAATTAACCTGTGGCTGAAAGACCAGATTTTTTTATACCTTTTTTATTCCCATTTTTTATACATGTTTTTTTCACATGTTTTTATGTTGAGCGTTAAGTGGACCCCAGCCAACCTGTGGCTAAGAGATCAGATCTTTATACCTTTTTATGATACCGATCCTTTAGAGTACAGACCCCCAGCCAATTATATGGTGGCTGAGAGACCAGATTTTTTTATACCTTTTTATGACACCCATTTTTTATACATGTACATGTTTTTACGTTCAGAGTACGGACCCCCAGCCAATTATACTGTGGCTGAGAGACCAGATTTTTTTATACCTTTTTATGATACCCATTTTTTAAACATGTTTATACATTTAGAGTACGGACCCCCAGCCAATTATACTGTGGCTGAGAGACCAGATTTTTTATACCTTTTTATGATTTTTATACACATTTTTACAAATTTTTTTTTTTTGAAACTCGCTATTTTACATATTTAACATATTTAACAGGATTTCTCCTGCTTTTTGAAGCAGTCAACCTGAGGCTGAGAGACCAGATACATTTTAATACCCTTTTATGATACCTTTTATGATGCCCATTTCATACAAATTATTCATAAACATTTTTTAAACAATTTTTTTTGCATATCTATAAAAAAAACCCTTTGACGATTAAGTTTAATAGGATTTCTCCGATAGAATTACCACTTTTTTCCACTCGTACTAGAAACAATTTTTATACCCATCTTTTATACATAATTTTATACCCATTTTAATACACCCATTCTTTATACCATTTTTGATACACATTTCATACACAGTCTTATACACATTTTTTGAAACTCATTATTTTACAAATTTAAAAAACCTTCTTTGACATGTTTACAGTTAAACTATTGTTTTTATATCCAATTTTTATACCAATTTTCATACAAATTTTGTATACACATACATCCTTTTATATATTTATAAATAAACCTGTTTGACATGCACAAAATACATGTATTAATAATCAGAACGCGGCGGGAGAGTTTGTCAATAAACAATAAAAAAATTAAACGAAAAACGCCGGAGTAAGTTATGTTGCGCAAAGTATGTTATGTCACGCGGCTGGTCAGACTGGCCAATCGAGATCGTCAAATTAAACATCAACCATATTTCATCAACACGATAACTAGCAAGTCATGTGGGGGCGGGGTAATAAAACGGCCAGGTGTCTCAATTATCAAGAGCTACTATGTATACAAACCATCAAAATAAAAATAAACCGTCATATAACAAAGGCATTCAATACGATAGGCTAATGAAAAAATCAAATGACACAATAAAGTACAATAAAAATATCAAGACACCTGCACTCCATTTCTTCCATCTTCGCAGAGCAACTCTCTCTTCTAAACAGGCTTCTTCTTTTTCTTCTTTTACTTCTTCTTCCAGTACTGTACATACCTGAAAAAATCAAATGACGCAATATTAACACACCTGCAAAATCAATTTTCCATCTTCGCCGTGCGACGTTCCCTCCTAAACTGATCTTTTCTGTGCTCAAATGATCACGTGATCTATAATGTGTGAAGCGGGAAAATTGTCCGGGGGTTTTCGCCGTACTTCGGTCAACTCTGACCTGACCTTTTCATTATTGAAACAACAATAGATTTAACCAAATGTTCATTTGTTAAAATAAATATGGCGGGGTAAAATTCCAATTGCAACTTTTCGGCCCTTTCCGTCTGTTTTCGGATAAGGACCTCGGACACGTATGAATACATTCATTTAGTTCTTTTAGTTTCAAGTTAAATTTCAGATACTTAAGTTCTGTTTAACCGTGCCTTCTCCTACACATTACAATGCATCCTCTTACAAATTATTTTATGCTGCATTAATGGGTTAAACTTTTTGTATGTCTCGATACTCATGCGCAACACACAAGAAACATTTACAAGATTGTCGCCCTTGCACATATTTTGAGAATAGCGTAAAAGACGTTAGCTCTGTGGTTTTCAATACAGAATATTAAAAAATATTTGATTCAGATTTCAGCTATTTAAAAACGAAGACGGAAATGTTGTCTTTAAATTGTAGAAAAGGTATATACGAAATATTTGTCTAAAAAAAGAGAAACAAAGATGTTTGAGAGTATTATAGTGGACATTCAAATCAATGTTTACTTTTACTCCGTTTATGTATCTTAATTAATTTCAACGAATCAAGTAATATCTTTCTGCAAAGTAATTTTCTAAAAATGAAAATCAATTTTCTTCTAATCTCAGAATTGTTATACCAGTCAGAGATTGTCAGAACAACAGTGAAATCTTTTGTCATTTCAAACACAGTGATGGCGTTGGAGACAGTCATGACAAAGATGTTAATAAATCAGATGTTGATGCTGATCAAGGAACGGAAGTTGATGCTTCATATCACGGCATTGTAACCTAGTAGTATGCCAGCGTTCTAGAAAAACAGAAAGCTGGAGCGTCGGGCCGAAGAGGAAAGGGAAATTAATTGTAAAGAAATCAGTAAGAGTCGATGAAGGAAACATGGCACGTAAGGTAGATGACTTGTTAAGTTAATTAAAAAGCTAGAAAGCATGCGGTAAAACGAACCCATTCATATTACGAGTAACAGTGTAGACGCTTTCCTAAAACCGACAGTTTACATCAAATATTCCGAAAGGGGAGATGGTGTGCAACGCGAGGGGTTTTACAGTTTTGGTGTTAGACCAGCAACTACATTTGTATTAAATGTAAAAGCCGGAAACGTGCCATTATTGGATTTTGCTTACATGTTTCCAGCAGAAGTCACCTGCAAGAATATATTCAAACAATATCTTTAGCACATGATGATATGCTACGCCAAAAAAGCAAACGACAATTTTCGCCATATTTCAACTGCTAGCAATGCATTGACATGTCCAGATCCGAAACCATTTGAATGTGTCAAATTTAAGCCCGAGTTGTGATATATAGTTTCAAAAGACATGTCAATGATCATAAAAGAGAGACATCTGCATGTAAGATATTCAAGAGCCACAATGCACGTGCATTCACGAACGCCAACATTGTCTCTGCCATTTACAGGAATACACCCTTTCATGCACTGGATAGACTTAATCTATAAATTTTATATTTGCGTGCCTGTCAAATGTTCAAACAAAAATGTTAACTTACCTGCAGAAAAGTTTTCAAACTGCACAAATCCATCATGGAGAAATACAAAAAAAAATCAGCAGACGACAACTGTTATGGATACCGTTTACTTCCGGTATAGTGTCTGTTGACATTGAAAGATTCATTTGGCATTATTCCACATTTAACCTTTGTATAACAAGTATATACGCGATCAAGTTTACGCTTTCAGCATAGACAGACGTATCTGTTTTGGATACTTAAAACCTAAGCAAAAACATTTGCTCACTACAAACGAGAAACCATCAAGCAGATCGCCTAATCCAGTTGGTGAATTTTCACGGTTCTCAAAACCAAGCCTTGAAGACGAGCACGCGACAACCTATATGCCAGCAGTAGCAGACGATCAAAATAATTGCAGACGACAAGCAAACAACGGGATATGAAAGAATCATTGACGGATCCTTTTGGAACAATGTCTGCTTACTGCAACAGCGAGATTCATTCTAGTTTGTTTTTTTTTAATTTCTAAAATATAATTCCTTCACGGAGCTATACTATTTTTAAACACAGCTATAATACAGTATTAAATACTAACTAATTTTAATATGTTGTATACAGACAATAAAAGTATTACATAACTCATTTTAGATACAATTTATGTGTTTTTTATTACGTACGGCGACATTGTATTTTCCCTCCGACATGTACATGTACTATTTTATTTTTTTACAGGTATGACATCTCTCTAGCAGACGACACGTAAAATTGGAAACAATATGGCATTTTTTCATAGCTTATTGTAATAGTGTTTATTTGTTTGGGTCGTCAGACCAAACAAATAATGGTAGCGAAATTTCAGAGTCTGATGCTGTTAATTGCAAAAGCCGAAAGTAGGCCGCTTTTTTGAAGCGGTTATTTCCCTTTATATGTACACTAACGCCTAAAAAATTCAGGGGAGATCACTGCGTAAAGACGGTCAAATGACAGGCGCATTAATTTTCAAGCAAAATAATTCCCGAATTGTCGAAGATTTCTAATATTGTTTTATCCTTTATAGATAAACATGCTTATAATAAGCTCCATAATTATTAACATCTGTGTTAAACAACAGTTAGCGTCGAAATTTAATAATAAGGGTTACAAACCCTAATTTAGAATAATATGGTTTTCTCCAGGCCTTTTACATATAACTTCACCGTGGCCGAGGGGTCTGGAGTTCAAATCCAGGAAGGCAACTCTTCTTTTTTTTCAAATCGTTTAAGTCAAATAAACATTTTATTGAACATCAGTGTTGCAGTTAGTCTTAAAGCCAATTAACTACAATTAAAACGCTGGAAAACACTGGTGGCACTATACAAAAACAAATTGGTTTATAATCTCACAACCTTCACCTTTACCCGAACAAATTCAGCGCCTTCTGTGCTTTGATTATGAGTTGAATTGCCCCGAGAGTGCCGAAAAGTGGCGATTACCTTTACTTCCGTGTGTCATTCGGAGTATTTCGGATCGTATCAGCAAAATGGCTGCGACTGGAGTTTTGCCTTTCGTTCGAGGCATTGATTTAACAAAAAATGATTTTATGGTAGAGACAATCAGCATTCAAATAGATTTAAAAGTCCAATTAAATTAAATCTTTCATACTAATTAAATATTTGTACTCTTGCTTCGTGAATTACTAGCAGGCTTTGAAAATATCTTGGACTGTCTAAACAAGAAAATTTGCCTTTTATGGCCATAACGCTTTATTCTGACATAAAATAATTAATTGTCCTTTAAATGGCATGAGAGTACGAAAAAAATATAGTTATAGATGAAATGGATGATCTTTGGCTCTGATGAAAGAGCATGACTCTTATTCATGTTTTTTGTTCCAGGAATTATTTGGTTTCGTCTCTTATTTGGTACGGCTAGCCAAAAGTTCTAGCCGTACGTGAGTCACGTATGGTAAATCCGTCAAAATTCGGACATCGCATAAGTTGGGACAACTAAGCGTGTCTTTAATCTTCTACCCAAACATGTTATCCATGTACCTAGCCGTAACCTAGGTGTTACACGCTCCAAAAAGAAGAATATTTCGCGGGAAAAAGCATACCAACTTGTCAGTGCGTAACTAATACGTCAGCACAGAATCTGATGAGGTATTACACAGTCCTACGCATGCTCTCTCGAATCCGATTGACTTCCAACGTGCGGGAACATTTGAACCTTTGATAATGAATGCTTCTCATCATATCATTTCAATTGCAAATCATGTGATTTTTTTAAATGTTGATCTTGTTTTGTTTTCCCAGGGTCTTTCAAAATAGAATGGTCTGGAAACACGCTATGTAAACCCTTCTCTCTACAATTAAACATGTCTCGGTATAAATCGGTATAGTTTGCTATAAGCAAATTATGTAAATGTTCAAGAAAAGGGTGAATATTAAATACAAGAGCAAAAATGAAAATTTTAACGACATGATGTCTTTAAAAATCTTTAAACTTTTGAAAAAAGGATAAATATTTCAGGAAATGCTGTTTTTTAAAGCCATCTTTGTTAAAAAAACATAGATTGTTTGTTTAGAATATTTGCCGATAATCGGCGCCATTTTGAAAATGCACCAAATTAAACATCAAATATTTGCAAATAATATCGTGAAATATTATAATATTTTTACATGATACGATTTAATAACATCTTTTCTCTGTAAAATTAATTTCTATATTGTCATTGAACAATGCATAAATTTTAAAAAAGCTCATGAAACTCGGACCTATTTTCAAATATGAGCAGTAGATTTTTACCTTGACACCTGGAACGAAAAATTTCTAATTTCATTGCAAATCTATAAAATTGTTACTTTTAAAGTAAAAACTGATAATATAATGTAGTCAGAGTTAGTTTTTAGTATTTTTTTGATTGATTTAACAAAATATTATCTTCTAATTTGATTTTTGAATGGTGCTGTGCTATGCCATATCACATGACTCAACCGAGACAGCATTTTTCGTAAAATTGGTCTGTCTCCAGACCATTCTATTTGAAAGACCCTGGTTTTCCTTATGAGAAAAATGCAACTATATGGAAAAATGTTAACTCTTTAAAAAATAATTTAGAAAAATATAAAGTGTCCGAATTTTTCCTGTTAAATTCCATAAGTCACTTTAACTCGGACAATCATTTCTGAAAACGATTTGACGGACAGGCTCTATTAAGGCCTGGATTCTATTTTACCGTTTGATCAAATAATATAGAAAAAGTAATTTAATTATTACTACCGTTGGCTTGCTCTGTATTTTTTCTAAGATATGACATTTTAACCGTTCGTATCTTTAAGAAAATTAAGATTTATTTTAACTTATAGATCTAATATCACATTTTAAAAAATCGTTTATGTCTATTAGTGATGGAAATCGGATGAAATTTGTCCCAATCGATCATCGATTCAGTCAGATTAGACATAATCGATAACTTTTCGGATAAAGTCGCGTTAAAAAGAAATAGGGTAGAAACATTTCTTCCCAAGACACTTGATTATATTCAGGAACATGACCTTCTTTTAGCACTTTTCAACACAGTTTTAACCTCATAATTTTACGAAATAGATTTTATTTTTCAATGGATGTCAAATAATAACATTCACATCACATTATATTACTATTGTTTACATCACTTATTGATCCTGTTCAACTCCAAATTGTCTAAGAGATGATTTTTTGCGATCGGCGAGGTGTTCTTAAAAGAAAACTACCAACAGAATTAATTCCCTTTGATACTTTAAACATTTTCGACGACGTCGCGGAACAAATTTTTGTGAATCGATTATTGTCGCTTTACATACCAGTAACTGATAATCGGCGACTTGCGACAATCAGAACATCACTAATGTCTATCAAAAGAAGAGTTGCCGCTTCTGCAAATAATGATAATGATGATGAAAATTTTCGCAACACAATAACAAATAAATATAATTATAAAAAATTTCAGTATAATTAGAAACAATAGCTAGGCCCTTATGTATACAGCCCTACAGTTGATAAAAGTTGAACATAGACAGAAAATTTATTGAATGAATTTATTTCAGTATTGATCTGAAAACAAAAATGAAGACCATAACTTTGCGGGACCTGTTTGCCGTCGGTATGCATCATTGGGGAAGAAAAGACTTACAAATAGGCCCTGTTTGTTATTGTTCCCCGGAATCAAATCCACATGACCGTAATGCCATAGCCATTTTTGATGATAAACAATTGTTACACAAAGTGGCTTATCTCCGCAGAGGACGCAAATGTTGTAAGGCAGTTGTTTAACAAGTCATTTATGGCATCACACTGCTACTTAAGGGCAAAAGGTGTTCCAAAAAAATGTTTGGGAGACAGACAGGCCCTATGCAAAATGTCAGCATTGGATGCTTATTTCCTGAAGGGAAAAAAGACGAAATTTTGAACTTTGTTCATGAGGAAAAGTCTGCATATAAAATATTTTAACTTGAACATTTCGTATACATGTACCTGTATTAATATATGTGCATGTGATCAATGCCAAATACAGAGTTTTATATTGATAAAAGTTTCTTAGTGAAAGAAAAATCTAATAAAGTATTGATGTTTTGAATATTGCCTTTTTCCCCTTCTCGTTAATTGGCAATTTCTGACAGTAACCTGCACACATTTATATTTATTTGAATTGAATGTTCGTCAAAAACACGAGACACACAAAGCGACGATATAATGCATTTTACTTGCATACATTTATGATTAGTGCATTATAGTCTAACTATAATTATTTGCATTTTGTTCAAAGCCTTCGTTATCAATATTTATACAAGTAAAAATAATGCAAAATGAAAATCAGCTTGCTAATAAGTATATCAATTTGTCGTATGCACAGGCCAGTAGCTAATTACATTTATGTATTTATAAGTTAACCTGCAAGGTGCGTGATTATTTAATTTAATGACTGGATTAAGATTAAGAAATAGTATATTTACATTTAGACTTCCATAATGCCATTCTTTGTCTTCTTTAATCAAGTTTATTATAAAAATAAGAATTTCTGTTCTATTCACATAATCATACATTAAGATTTATTTTCGAAAAACAAATAGCCATCAAAGCATTGCTTTCTAAGACAGTTTCAGACTAAAACAATCCAAGCACATCAGATCTCATTGAAAGTGCCTTTATGCCCCCTTAAACTTAAATCAGGTACGTATATTAACGTTAATATACATACCTGCTTAAATCAAGACCAAATCATGATAGAACTGAAAGACCCGTCAAAAAAGTCATACTCTGCTTACAAGTGACGAAATAGTACAACAGAAAAAAGTGTTCAATTAAAAAAAATAACCAAGGCAAACAAAAAGGCTTCTAAAACTAAAAAGGAAAACAAGTAAAATGATGTATTATACACTGCATACTGTATAGATGTTACATCACCATGTAGATAATTGTATGTGTTGAATGAAAACTCACACATTATATATTTTAATCGCATGAATAAAATGGAGTTAAGTGCGTGTATTCTTTTTCTTAAACTCTTTTACGTAACTGAATCTAAAATGTACATTTTATTTTAAAAAACAAATGTATGTCCGAATTAAAATCACTAAAATAATGCTGTCCGAATTTTTACCTCATTGTGTCCGACTTTATACGACACTGTCCGAATTTTAGCGAATCTACATAGGGTCATAAAACCGTTCAATCTCCTACGCAGTGATCTCCCCTTATCAGTACAGAGATCTCTGCCATCACAAACATTGAAATATCAATATTTTGATAATTAAATTTTTTAATTTATTTTTCATTATTTTGTATATTTTTGATACTTTTTGGATTAAATATAACGGACACAGGTACAAAAAGTTAAAAATAAAACAGACAGAGAAAAATGATGTTAGATTTTCTATGTAACGGTCGATATTTATATTTGAATTTCGACGTTACGTCATGTGACTTTCATCATCATGTGTCGTCTGTGAAGGCAGTGATTACAATTCTGCCAAGGGAGGTAATCACTGTGAGGAGTTTGAAAACCGTTTATTACCGGAATTTCTCGGTTAATATCGCTGAATTCATTATAGGTTCTTCTAATCGGATGGCTTTTAACTTTATATCAGCCAACATTCCCTTTTTTGGCTGAACGGTTTGTGAAAAATAAGCAATCGAATGAACCACAGACACTTGAAAAAATTTCATATTTCAACATCTATAATGTGTATTATTATAGATGTTGAAATATGAAATTTTTTCAAAACGGCTTATATTAAGTTTTTTTTATATATATGATCAGTCCATGTGCCCATGTGCTTGGATTGACAAATATGCATTTTATTTGGATTTTAAAGGCGTTTTGAGCTCCAAACCCCAAGTGTCTATGTCAAAAAATTAAAAAAGCACCGAAAATAATAATTGTTGCCAGGCTCTGATAATTGCATCAATTACCGACTATCATTAGGGAAAGTTTGCATGTTCAGTGAAACGAATTCTAAAATTCTATTGTCAGTCCCTGGATAGACTTTAATTAAGGCTAATTGATTGTGCTTTTTTACTTTTACTGTATTAAAAAAAATATTTTAGCTTTTCAAAGTTTTTTTTTTCAATGTTCTTTTTATGTATTTATTCCTCTACGATCATACCGTTATGAAAAAGCTTCATTTACCGTTATGATTATTTATTTGATTGTGCATAATTAACAAATAAAAAATGATTTAATTATTCATCTTTCATACAAATAAAACAGAGCAGAGCATCTTTATTAAACAGTTAAAGAGAGCACAGGAGGACAAATGCGGGGACTTGGTTAAAATCCTTGTTTAAGGACACAAATAACATATGCATTTTCGACAATCATATAATTTTGAAAAGTGCCGTACGGCTAGACAATACAGTGTGTCCTGGCTAGTCGTACGTGACTCACGTACGGCTAGAACTTTTGGCCAGCCGTACGGGCCCGTACGTCTAGCAACTTCCTTGTTACAATGCTGAAAGTTTACATAGTTCTGACTTCCAAAACGTTTTAACCCTCTTTTTATCAGTTTTGTTTTTATATTATATAACAGAGGCCTAATTTGAAATTAGTGGCCTAGTGATTAACGCTTAGGACTTATACATAAAGTAGTCGACTGCTGACCGCGTTGGTTCAAACACTGTCAGGGGCAAGCTGTTGTATCCTTGAACAAAAAACTTTACACTCATTGCTTTGTCCTGGTTAGTTCCAGGAACAGATTCGAATATTTCAATAACCTAACAGCTTCCAACACTATCAAACTAACATAGATTTGTATAAACTAAATGATAAGTAAGTGCAGGTATTTTATACCATTAACAGAAATGTATAAAAAATATTAAATTGGTGGTGTTCAACTTATTACTGGAGTTTTTCAAATGATGATTTATCAAAATGGATGTTAAAGTTATTTTTAGCTCGACTTTTCTATGAAAAGGGCAGCTATCCTACTCGCCCCGGCGTCGGCGTTGGCGTCACACCTTGGTTAAGTTTTTCGTACCACCCCACTTTATTTCAGAAGTATTACAAGTATGGCTTTGAAACTTACCATACTTGTTCACCATCATAACCTCCATCTACAGACAAGAGTACATAACTCTGTCAAGGTTTTTGACAGAATTATGGCCCTTTTTTGACTTAGAAAGTGTATTGAGCTTGGTTAAGTTTTTTGTACCACCTCACTTTATTTCAAAACCATTGGAGGTATTGCTTTGAAACTGACCATACTTGTTTACCATCACGACCTTCATCAACAGACAAGAGGACATAACTCTGTCAAGGTTTTTGACAGAATTATGCCCTTTTTGACTTAGAAAATACATTGAATATGGGTAAAATCCACTTATTGCCTTAACCCTTTGAGATATTGCTTTGAAACTTTTAATGCTATTTCACATCATTACCCCCATCTGTACGCAAGAGAAGGTAACTCTGTCAAGGATTTGTTTTAAAAATTAAGGCCTTTTATCGACTTAGAATCTTGGTTAAGTTTTTAGTACCAGTCCACTTTTTTGACTGAACTGTTTGAGATATTAATTTGAAAGTTGGAATACTTGTTTACAATCATGATTCCCAAACATGTCCAGGAGAAGGTAATTCTGTCAAAGATTTTATTTGAATTATGGCCCTTAACTGTCAATGTTTTGTATTATAGGCAAGCACTAAAAAACTTAAAAAATCTAAAAAAATTCATTCCTATCCACTTGTTCACTTTACCATAAATTATGTCATATAAACATTGCTGTAATATTCAAGGGTATCAAACAACTAGTTTTTTTTTCTTTCTTACCAGCCCTCTTTTGACTTAAACATTTCAAACTTTGCTGCAGTGTTCAAGGGTATCACACAATTCAGTAAAATAATTCTTCACTAAATATCTTAATGCTCATGGCCATTGTTCACTTTAAAAATACAGAGATTCTTGTATTGCCTTTTACTGCAAAAACTTTTTTTATTGGCAAGCAATAAAAAAGTCGAGCGCGCTGTCTTACGGACAGCTCTTGTTTATGTTTCATTCTTATCAATGATAATCATGTTTATTTACTGATTTTCTACTTCATAAATGCAACGGAAGTGTTATTTAGCGCAGAAGACTAGGGCATCTTCTTGCAAGTCTCTGAATTATGTAGATGCTTTTATTAAAGGTTTTTCCAAAAGCTCCCTGATATCTAAATATAGCTGAAACATAAAACCTGTCCAAGGATTTCTGGCTGAGCCAAGCTAATTAAGGATTTTTCTCAAACTTTCTAGACTTCGACGTATATTTTTTTATTGATTTTAATGAGATTTTAATTTAACTTAAGTTATATATGTTATCTAAGAGCGCTTTAAATAGCCTGTGGCCTCGCTTGGACTTTCCAATCGAAATTTTGTTTTAAATCCTGCAGTTTTCCCATATATGCAGTTTTTCCATATTCTGAACTTACACTGGTCAGCCTTTTTACTTTCTAAATTTGCAATTATATTAATAATTTTTCTAAAAGTCAAGAGGCTAGGTCTGTTTTGTCAATTAAGTAAGAAAGTCCACTGCCAATGAACTAATTCTTTCTGTTAGCTGACTTCTAGAATAGATTGGAGCAAGCATAAATAAAACTATTTTGGCAAAAATTATTATGGAAACCAGATGACATAAAAACCTGATTAATTTTGATTTGATCATGTGACTTAAATGAATGGATGCATGAACACATATTGATATGGAATGCTGCTTTTGTAAATGGTTTAGGAAACCTGATACAATGTATCTTTGGTTGATAAGAACAGATAATGAAAATGGAAGGCACATTTTTGGAAGCTGAACATGGTCATTGCTCAGATTTGAGTTCTAATTGCAAGATTGCTATGGTAAAGACAAGGTTATGTGACCATTATGTCAATGAAATGATTGTAATAAACTGATTCCACCTTTCAATTAGTGGAAAAAAACACCATAGAACATGAGGAGATATACGTGTATATAAGTTTTCAGAAATCCAAATATTTACAAATATTGTCACATGTAGATATAAATTGCAGAAATAATATGCTACGTTTTAACATATATTGCTAATATAACTCTATTTATTTGTAGGATAACAAATTCCCTGCTCATGTTGCTGACATGACTGGTCTTAGATGGCTAAAACTGAACAAGACTGGCCTTAAAAACATGCCGAAAGAGATGGCTAACTTAAAGAAATTGGTAAATCTTTAGGTTATTAATTAAATAAACCTGTAATGAATAGAATTTACCATTTCTTCTTGATTATCCACAGGTCTTTGCTCTTGTTTGTAGATGATTAATGTAAAGAACTAAAAATGTATATTCAAGTTAGAAATTGAAGGTAGAATGTACATTGAACAACAGTTGTTGATTTCCATTACCTGGTGCTACAGTCAAAGTCTCTGTTTACAGTATGAGGTCAAAATTATTTACTTGTGCCTAGATTCTGATATCTAATGAATTATAGAACTAAACTTGAAAAACAATATATTAAAGTTAATACTGGGACATATTTTTTAGCTGTATTATGTTCTTTGTGTCTTTATAGGAGCATTTGTCTTTGATCAACAACAGTATTGAGACACTGGGAAAGGATATTGAGAACTTGCCAGCACTCAGAACTGTTAACTGCCGACATAACAACTTGTCAGACAAAGGGATATCAGATAAGATATTCCAGTTGCAGGATCTGTCTGTTGTTGTGAGTTTTATTCATATATATATTTTTCCAGTAATAGGTATATTTATATGTTTGTAGCTTCGTGTATATATATATATTAGTTTTCGTATTTTGTTAGTGTTTTGTTTTTCATGTAAATATCATATATACAACAAATGTTAAGAGGGGGAGCATGGCCCATTTGTTAACATGTTGGACTTGTCATCTAAGGATTTTTGGCCATCAGGGTACAAACCCCATCAGCGGCAAGCTCATGTTTCCGTGAGTAAGAAACTGAATGCTTAATCTAGTTCTGGTTGGTTCCAGGAACTGATTCGCCTTTCTAGAGTGTTTCAATACGCTAATGGCGTCCTATATAATTGAACTAAAATTAATTCTGTATAAGCTGAAACCAATGTTAGTTTCAAAACTGTAAAATTGATATCATTATATTTTATCTTTTAATTTCTATGGTAGCAATTTATTGTCATTTATTCTGGAAAAGTTGACGTTACATAGCATGATCATTTTGTCTGTTTTATTCCAGGATTTCAGCCATAACCATTTGAATGAGGTTCCACCAGAACTGGAGAATGCCAAAGGTGTGATTGTCCTTAATCTTAGCAATAACAAGTAAGTACTATACTCCTATACTGGTATATTGTGAGAAGCCTATGTAACCAGTATGGAAAGCTTTTATTTACTAAAGGGACATGTCTGGATTTTTTTTGTTTATGTTTTTTTTATTAGCTCACCTGTCACAAAGTGACAGGGTGAGCTTTTGTGATCGCTTTTCGTCCGGCGTCCGTCCGTCCGTAAACTTTTACTTTAAATGACATCTCCTCATAAACCACTAAGCCAATTTCATCCAAACTTCACAGGAATGTTCCTTTGGTGGTCACCTTTAAAAATTGTTCAAAGAATTTAATTCCATGCAGAACTCTGGTTACCATGGCAACCGAAAGAAAAAACTTTAAATATCTTCTTTTAAAAAACCATAAGAGCTAAAGCTTAGATATTTGGCATGAAACATCTTCTAGTGAGTGTCTACCAAGTTTGTTCAAATAAAAGCCCTGGGGTCAAAATTGGCCCCGCCCCGGGGGGTCATTGATTTTCCCTATATGCATATAGTAAAAACTTAAAAAATCTTCTTTTAAAGAACCCAAAGAGCTAGAGCTAAGATATTTAGCATGAAACATGTTCTAATGGGTGTCTACCAAGTTTGTTCAAATAAAAGCCCTGGGGTCAAAATTGGCCCCGCCCCGGGGGATCATTGATTTTCCCTATATGCATATAGTAAAAACTTAAAAAATCTTCTTTAAAAGAACTCAAAAAGCTAGAGCTTAGATATTTGGCATGAAACATCTTCTAGTGAGTGTCTACCAAGTTTGTTCATATAAAAGCCCTGGGGTCAAAATTGGCCCCGCCCCGGGGGGTCATTGATTTTCCCTATATGCATATAGTAAAAACTTAAAAAATCTTCTTTTAAAGAACCCAAAGAGCTAGAGCTAAGATTTTTAGCATGAAACATGTTCTAATGGGTGTCTACCAAGTTTGTTCAAATAAAAGCCCTGGGGTCAAAATTGGCCCCACCCCGGGAGGTCATTGATTTTCCCTATATGTATATAGTAAAAACTTAAAAAATCTTCTTTTAAAGAACTCAAAGAGCTAGAGCTTAGATATTTGGCATGAAACATCTTCTAGTGAGTGTCTACCAAGTTTGTTCAAATAAAAGCCCTGTGGTCAAAATTGGCCCCGCCCCGGGGGTCATTGATTTTCCCTATATGCATATAGTAAAAACTTAAAAAATCTTCTTTTAAAGAACCCAAAGAGCTAGAGCTAAGATATTTAGCATGAAACATGTTCTAATGGGTGTCTACCAAGTTTGTTCAAATAAAAGCCCTGGGGTCAAAATTGGCCCCGCCCCGGGGGGTCATTGATTTTCCCTATATGCATATAGTAAAAACTTAAAAAATCTTCTTTTAAAGAACTCAAAGAGCTATGGCTAAGATATTGAGCATCAAACATGTTCTAATAGGTGTCTACCAAGTTTGTTCAAATAAAAGCCCTGGGGTCAAAATTGGCACTGCCCCGGGGGTCATTGATTTTCCTTATATGTGTATAGCAAAAACTTAAAAAATCTTCTTTGAAAAAACCCAAATAGCTAGAGTTAAGATATTAAGCATGAAACATCTTTTAGTGAGTGTCTACAAAGTTTGTTCAAATAAAAGACCTGGGATCAAAATTGGCCCCGCCCCGGGGGTCAATGATTTTCTTTATATGTGTTTAGCAAAAACTTTAAATCTTCTTTGAAAAAACCCAAATAGCTAGAGTTTAGATATTAAGCATGAAACATCTTTTAGTAAGTGTCTACAAAGTTTGTTCAAATAAAAGCCCTGGGGTCAAAACTGGCCCGGCCCCAGGGGTGTCGTTGTTTTTAACTATATGTGTATAGTAAAAACTGAAAAAAAATCTTCTTTTAAAAAGCCCAATGAACTAGAGCTTAGATGTTTAGCATGAAACATCTTCTTATGGGTGTCTACCAAGTTTGTGCAAATAAAAGCCCTTGGGTTAAATTGGCCCTGCATGTTGGGGGTGGGGGTTGGGGGGGGGCCTATGTACAGGTGAGCGACCTCAGGGCCATCATGGCCCTCTTGTTAACAAATTCATTGAATTTGACTAGCTTTATGTTTAAATTGAAATGTAAATATGAATTATCTATCATAGTGATTCAACAATATGCTGTATTCTGTAATCATATTAAAGTAATTATACATGTATAGGTGGCAGTTCTTATCAGTTGTAAATAATAAGTATATTATAAGATAGCTATAATGCTTTAAGGAGAGAATTTTTATGCTCCCCGAAAAAATTTGGGGGAGCATATAGTCGGCGCCTTGTCCGTCCGTCCGTCTTGTCCGTCTGTCCGTCCGTTGTCTTGTCCGGAGCATAACTTGAAAACCCTTGGAGATAATTTGTTCAAACTTCATACAGTGGTAGAGGGCATTGAGGGGGAGTGCAGTGTCAAAGAACCATAACTCTATTTTGCCCGGTTTTTGAATTATCTCCCCTTATAGAAAAATCTTGTCCGGGACATAACTCTAAAACTATAAGAGATATCAACTTGAAACTTTGTAGGTGAATAGATCTCAATGGGTAGATGTGCAGTGCATAAGAACAATAACTCTTTTTGTCCTAATTTTGGAGTTATTGCCCTTTGTTAATTTTAACACTTTGAACTTTGTCCGGGACATAACTTGAAAACTATAAGAGATATCAAGATGAAACATTGTAGGTAGATAGATCTTATTGAGTAGAAGTGCAGTGCAAAAGAACCATAACTCGGTTAAGCCTCATTTTTGAATTCTCTCCCCTTTTAGAAAAATCTTGTCCAGGACATAGCTGTAAAACTATAAGAGATATCAACATGAAACTTTGTAGGTAGATATATCTCATTGGTAGATGTGCAGTGCACAAGAATCATAACTCTGCCTTGCCTAATTCTGGAGTTATTGCCCTTTGTTTATTTTTACTTTTGAAGTTGTCCGCGACATAACTCGGAAACCATAAGAGATATCAACAAGAAATTTTGTAGGTTGATAGATCACATTGATTAGAAGTGCAGTGCAAAGAACAGTAACTCTGCCTTGCCTAATTTTGGAATTATTGCACTTTGAACTTTTTCCAGGGACATAACTCTGAAACTACAAGAGGTGTACTTTCCTGTGTCCAAAACCTATTCGGGGAGCATCACCCGGTTCAAACCGGGCTCTTGTTTATTTTTTTGTAGCTATTTTGTATCTTGGCAAGAAAGTGAATGTTTTTTAGCTCCACTTTTTAGATAATGATAGTAGCTATTGTGTTGCCCCCATGTAATAGGCATTAGCGTTTAATTTGTCTTTTTGTTATAGCCATTAAACATCGATATGCTTGTACTATCACAATGTGAACATACATGTATTTATGAAAGGGCTGGGATCAACAGTTTGACACGCGCACATGTGTCGCTTACGTCATCCGGCCTCTTATGATATTAAGTAACCTTTAATTGTGTAACACAATGCAGTTTGTACCAGAATCTTGTTTTAAGGTAACATTTTTGAAAACAACAAAGGGCCGTATTGCTATTATGATATGATAATTAAGGTAGTATTTAGTCCCGGTTAAACTTTTGTTGCCGCCGATCAGTCTATTTTATTACAAGAAGAAAAAGATGTTTCAACTGCTTAACATGTTGTAAACCTGATATTTCATTAATTAAAATGTCCTAAAGCTAAGTATAATGTCGTTGATTTAATTTTAGTTAATTTGTCTCCTTTGCAGTCCTATCTATAGTTACGAATTCTATGAATGTAAATAGAAAACGAAAGTAGCATACGGACGGTGTTGATAAATGTGTGATAATCTTTGAAGATCATTGGAAATCGTCCGAGTAACCGAGTACTCGATCGGAAAAATGACCGAGTACTCGAGTATTAATTTTGGTATTCGTTGCCATCCCTACTAATTTTGGAATTATTGCACTTTGAACTTTTTCCAGGGACATAACTCTGAAACTACAAGAGGTGTACTTTCCTGTGTCCAAAACCTATTCGGGGAGCATCACCCGGTTCAAACCGGGCTCTTGTTTATTTTTTTGTAGCTATTTTGTATCTTGGCAAGAAAGTGAATGTTTTTTAGCTCCACTTTTTAGATAATGATAGTAGCTATTGTGTTGCCCCCATGTAATAGGCATTAGCGTTTAATTTGTCTTTTTGTTATAGCCATTAAACATCGATATGCTTGTACTATCACAATGTGAACATACATGTATTTATGAAAGGGCTGGGAACTCTCAAATTTATTTTTTTTACCCAGTTATGCCTTTGTTCCATTTTCTGTGTTGGTTAAGGTCCATTTCCCAAAAAGCCTTAGCTAAGCATTTTATTGTTAATAAAACTTATTCTTTTTATTTGAACTTGTTGCCTAGGCGATAGTGTATGTATTTTACTTGATATGTGATGAAATATTATTACAGTATTGAGATGTTACCCAATCAGATGTTTATCAATTTACTGGACCTAACATATCTTGACCTGAGTAATAATAGCCTAGGTAAGTTTTCTTCTTTTCTAACAGTCTTTCAAAACAGCAATCTAAATATCATGCTGCAAAGAAATCATTTTTAACTGTAAACATAATATATGCATATAAGGTATCATTTTAAAATTTTCTTTCAAAGGTTAGGTTAAAGTAGAATGTACTTGCATTAAATTGTTGTTATTTTGTCTTAGAATGTGGTTAGTAAGAAAAAAACGTGGTAGAAATCATATTTGATCATAGCTGAAAATAGAGACTTATTAATTGTTAACAAGCTTATCATTGATTATTATGAGATCTAGAAATTTAGAATGTGTTCTATTGATGTTTCTTTCCGATTAACTCCTGTAAGATTAAAATTCTTTTGAACATAGTTGTAACATATTATAATTTTTTCACAATTTGTACAGAAACATTGCCACCACAGATGCGACGTTTGACCAGTCTTCAGACACTTATACTTAACAACAACCCTCTGATCCATGCTCAGTTACGACAACTTCCAGCCATGACATCACTACAAATGTTACATCTTAGAAATTCACAGCGTACGCTAGCTAACTTCCCAGCTGCTCTTGACTCCCTGAACTTCCTTCAAGGTGAGTGAGAATAAAATAATTGTAGAATAACGCCATACAATGATAAATTTAATTTTGGATTTACTCTGCATTAAATTTGGAATTGGCTGTAGGTAAAGTCAGATATTGATTTAATTGAGCAACCTACAGCTGTCAAGACAGGTTTAACTGTATAGCATTACAGACTTGTCTGGTATCATACGGTTTACCAGTGACATCTGCTTGTCATTCTGGTCTACTTTTAAATGGGTGAAGTACAAATTTAATCCTCTGTTCAAGACATGAAAGTATGATACCTGATTTAAAAGTCTTTCGATATGTATAAAAAGAAAACAGTAATCCAACATTTATCTAAATCATATTTTGATCCTTTAAAATATGGGAAAATAAAAAAATTAATTGACCAAATTAAAAAGTTGTCTGAGTTTTGTTCTACAAGTGTTACCTTATGTTTTATCAAAGGCAGGAGGAATATTTTGATTTTCTATGACCATTGATATTTGAATCCTCTTTGTGTAATACTTCACTGTGTGTCTAAAGCCATAAAATCTCGGTTTTGACTATGTACAGTTATTCATATGAGCCGTGTCACGACAAAACCAACATAGTGCGTTTGCGACCAGCATGGATCCAGACCAGCCTGCGCGTCGGCGCAGTCTGATCAGGATCCATGCTGTTCGCTATCAGTTTCTCTACTTGAAATAGGGTTGGTAAGCGAACAGCATGGATCCTGATCAGACTGCGCAGATGCGCAGGCTGGTCTGGATCCATGCTGGTCGCAAACCCATTATGTTGGTTTTGTCATGGCACGGCTCATATGTTAATTGTTCTTGTATGTTTTAGATATTGATTTGTCTAGAAATGAGCTTCCCCGTGTACCAGAACCACTGTACAAGTTGAGTTCACTGAAACATCTGAACATATCAGATAATCAGATCACAGAATTGTCTCTACTCATAGGTCAGTTGATTTGTTTTTTACTACATATTTTACACCATTGTTTACTTCACAGAATAACACAACTTTAATTTTTGATCATTATAGATATGGACTAGAATAACTACACTGATAAGAAACAGATATATTAAATCATTTAGTATGTAGATCAAAATGTATCGGATAAATCAAGATGAAGAATTTTAGCAATAGAAATGATAATACACTACTGTAATAACTATGCAAATTAGACATCAAACACTTCATTTACATATTCATATTCACTGTCAACAAAATAAACAAATGTCATGTGTCATTAGGCAATAGTAATGTTTATTCTGTCAATAATTAATCCTATTGCGATCAATTCCCTCATGCCCATAGAGTTCTATCTATATAATAACAACAACACTGTCATGAAATAACATGGTCCATCGCACACTGTCACTGAAAAAGTTTAACATAATCCAGGTCAAATAATCTATTTGGTGTAATGCATCACAGCCTTGTATTTTATCACTTTAATTCAACTTGTTTGATAATTTCAATATGAAAAAAAAAACACTCATATAAGATCCTTTATATATCTTGATAATTCTAGAGTGTAATTATCAAGTATAAGTTTACTGATGTTTATACGAGGGATGTCTGAAAAGTTCATATACTTCTTCATTTTTTATTGTATAACAAAACATACGCTGTCGAATTTTGTCAGCATAAGTATACATATCTAGCGAACATATTTAAAAAAAATTGCTGAACTGTGACTTATTTTTACATTTTAACAGTATTTACATACAACATATATACATCGTCATGGAGCACTTTGACAGCGTCAACGGCTTCAAATTAACAAACATGTTCACCAGCTATTCAATTTCTTCCAATTTCAACAGCAATGGTACCTGTCTGGCGTATACTGAATACATGTTATGTTCCTTTGCTATTACTTTATCAATTTCATATTTAAAAATATTATTTAAAAACAAAGATGTCACTGATTCCCATACAGTGTGTGATATATATCTGCCTTGTTGAAACGCAATCTACGATATTTCGGCCATGCTACTTTTGGTCGTCTGGAGCGTTTATTATACGATATACTGTCATCACCGTTTATTAATCTTGTTTGACATTTAAACACAATTTGCCTTTAATATTTTATGGTTAATTTTATTTTTAAAGTAAAGATTAAAATCTCAGTTGGTGCCATATTAGTGTTGCTATGAAGTTAAATATCATAATGTTGCTACGTCCGTGAATTTGACGTAATTTTTGCAACACAAAAACTACGAACCTTCATTTCTGTAACCTGTAATCGTCGTTAACAAGCTAATTCTTTGCGTATGACGCAAAATTATTTACTATAATTTAGCAACATTATTTGAGTAGCAATCATCATGAAAACAAAGTGCCCCGTGATTCGTTGATCATGTTGCCATGGTGATCGGCGCTTTACGAATATTTCTTTTATCATGTTTTTTAATTTAGAAATATGTAGCAGATAAATACTTTAGCAAAATATTCAATCATCATATTGATATGACTGCTTATAATAATTTCATAGCCTTGTCTACGAACTTTCCAGACAGCCCTTGTTGTATTTAAATGCAGAAAAAAACCCTCAAAATGAACATATTGCATTACAGAAATCATTTCAAATGTATAAAAACCATGATGAATGCAGGGAATACATAGCAAATTTGTTTGTTTTATGTAAATGCTTTAATACTTATCAACATTACCTATTTTATTACTGTTAGTCAATAGTGGCAATGCCACTTATGAACATATTGCATAAGATGTTCCCAAGAACATATTGCATAAGATGTTCCCAAGCTGTCAAATATTGAAATCTTACTCAAAATAAACAAGTTATTTTTTTGTAATTCAAACTTTACAATTCAACATAGGCATTTCTTGTCAACAGCTTGAGATTGTTTGTTTTGGTTTATTTTGATTTATTCATACATTTTTATGTACATTACAGATACCTGGGTGAATCTACAGTCATTAAATCTTTCACGAAATAAGATACAGAACTTACCAGTAAGCCTTTTCTTTATAACTTTAGAATTGATACTTCTTTTTAGTATGGACTTTTAAAGCAGCACGCCTCTATATTCATGTTAATTTTCATGAACATTTTGGAAATGTATTTAAAGGTAAAATATTGTGAGGTGAACAAATAAAGTAATTTACATATTGCAATTGGCATTTACAATCAAAGAAAATTACCAAAATGTGGTCAACTTATGCAAAAACAGCACTTACTGCGTTCCTAATGCAGTAGAAATATGGTGATAAAATACTGCAAAATCAGGTTAAAACTATGGTGACTGATTTGTGCATTCATGTTCTAGCTAATTAGCATGTTTATGCTCTGTGTCCCCGCCAATTTAACTTGTTAATTATCGACTTTTTGCTTGGTGTGATCGCGGGACGAAAACATGCTTATTTGCGGGGCAAAGTTAAATAAATAAAACTTGGCCTCCAATCCACTAATTAGCCTGTTTTCGTCCCGCGACCCAAGCATTTTATTTCTTGAATCTCCCTCTGTGGAGATTTATTAAACTTCGCCCCGTGCCCTCACTAATTAGCGTCTTTTGCTCCGCAGCCAGGAAATTCTACATTATACAGGCTCTTGTTTACTATCAAGCACTGCAAATAGTTTAATAATTTCCTGTCCTTCCGTCAGCTCTTGTTTTGATGTTCTTTTTAAATTGCGTAATAAGGTATCATTACTTTGTTTGTTTCTGTTTTAAAGATATAGTCATATATATGACGGCTTTTAGGTAAAGTTCTTTATATGTTGTTTCAGGCTTCTTTACACAAACTTCAGTCATTGAAAAAGTTGTACATAAATTCTAATCAACTTGACTTTGAGGGTATTCCATCCAGTATAGGCAAGCTACATAACCTTGAGATCTTCAGTGCTGCAAATAATAACATTGAGATGATCCCTGAAGGACTCTGCAGGTAGGTGGTAAATACTGGAAATAATAATACTAATATGCTCTCTGACTCTGTCAGTTGGCATAGCATAACTTTGAGATTGTCCCTATCACATGTATCTCTACTTCATGGCTAAATTTGATAACTTGGTAAATTTGGTAAATCCCTCACTGATTGAACTATATCTATTTGCCAAAGTTATCTAAACGTGGTTGGAGTTTCACGAAGAAATAAATATAAATTCACTTATTATTACACAGAGGGTTTAGTATTGTAATTTGAATGACCAGCCCAATTTTAATCACTGATGAAAATATAAGAAAGTATTAATTATATGTTAATGAATAAGTAAAAACAGTAACATAATTATATTTTACAGAACTTTTAGTATTATATTGTTATCCATCATACAGTGAATATATAAAGTCTATTCAATCTATGTAATTACAGGTGTGGGAAGTTGAAGAAACTTTTATTGAATAGCAACAGATTGATAACCTTGCCAGATATTCTACATTTACTACCAGAACTTGAGGTAAAGTTCTCTTGAAAATCTAACTTTTAGCATTAATAAATTATCACCTTTTTAATTTTGAAAGTATTTTTTAACCCAGTGAGATGACAAAAAAAACAACAGATGTTTTATTTTCATGTCAATTAAAGTAAATGAGATAAATTACTGTTTGTTATGTTGGTGACATTTTGTGAAGAAATACTGTCCGAGATTTGTAATTTTGTATAGTACCGTTGTTTTAAATGATTCATAAGTGTTAGAATTTCTTTTACTTGTAGCAAATTGTTGAAACAGGTGCAGCCATTAACTATGAGTCTTGAAAAAAACAACAACTTCTTACTTATTTTCATTTACTTGTAAATCACATGAAAATGTTATTTATAAATAAATGCAATCTTATATTTCAGACATTAGATGTAAGGGACAACCCAGACCTGGTTATGCCCCCTAAACCCGCAGAAATGAGGAAAGATAAAGAGTTTTATAATATAGATTTCTCTCTAAACAACCAATTACGTCTAGCAGGTGCACCCACAGCACAGGCAGCTACGTCCCCTCAACGTATGTTTTTATCTATAATAACTATTCTTGTGATTGATAAGTTTTATAATAATTTTTTAATATCAGTTGACTATCCTGTGGCAGTTGATTCTATTTATTTCAGAAATGGGTCACAAGTTGGCATAGTAATAGCATTTTTTTCGTAATTTAGATATGTAGCGTTATATAATTACAATTCTTCATCATAAATTAATTGTATAATGATCATATAGTTATTCAAAATTCTCAAGATCAACACTGTTATCCATAAATACAATGTAAGACCTTCATCGATTTCACATTTTTCATGTATGTATATGATTATATATTCATTTTGAATATATGTCTCTTTGTCTGATCGTATGTCTGAACTGTGTTTCTTTCTAATGATGCTATCAATCATCATGACGAATATGTTGCATATTTTTCTCTGTCTTAAGTATTCATTCACAAAGCAATCAAACAACAACTTATTGTGACTGTATTTATAGCATCTAAAGACCCAGTGGCACGGAAGTTACGTTTGCGACGTCGGAGAGGCAAGGACGACAGTGAAAAGGTTCTAGCTGGACTGAAGGATGTTGCCAAGGAGAAAGATAGTGTAGAGAAAGAACATCAAGAAGAAGAAGAAATGAAAAAACTAAGGTAAGAAAATTTTTGTTTTTTTCGCAAAAGAAATAAAGAGTTGTTTTTTATGACCTTGTGTTGATATAAGTGGCAGGGTGGCAGAGTGGTTAACATGTCGTCCTAGTAATCAAAGGTTTGCTGACCACATGGGTTCAAACCCTGTCAGGGGCAAGCTGTTGTTTCCTTTAGCAAGAAACTTCACATTCATTGCTTAGCACTGCTGGTTGGTCTGGAACGGATTTCGAGAGAATTTCAATAAGCTTTTAGCTTCCGACACAATCAAACTAAAATAAATTTGTATAAACTAAAGTAAGTTTTTTTTTAGTTATCTCCCTTTTTAGCTTGACAATTCGAAGAATAGGAGAGCTATTGTACTCACTTAGCACTTGGCATTGGTGTAGAATTTATATTTTAGTTAAGTTTTTGTTTGCAAATTAGTTTCTCCATAACTAGTAGGGATGTCATTCGGAGTCCGGATATCCGAATGTTCGGATCACGATTCGGTGTCCGGAGCCGATTTTCGGATCCGGATGTTCGTATAAAATATTTCAGAATATTGAGAAAATGTGAAAAATACATGAACATGCGTTGAGATAATCAACGTAGACATGGTGTTGACACCATATTGCATATTGTACTTTAATTTGACAATACACATCATAATCTCTCCAGACCACAAAAAAAATCAATAATTACTATAAAAATTACCAGTCGTGTATGACACATGTTGTTAATCTACATGTATGTTAAACACCAAACAAATTTAAGTTTTGTAGGATTCAAGATGAATATTCTAAGTCCCGTGCGATTGTCATCGGCAACGATTTTACATCGTTCATGTCCAAATTTAAATAATTAATTAGGCTATTATTTCTATATATATTTCGGCTTACCGAGCCGTCGACTCCTTATTTTGAGAAAATAAAAAATCTGCAGAAATAAAATTAGCAAATAAAGAAATGCACTTACGAATGGTTATATGTCAATTGTCACAGCTTTTATTCAAATTGATACGATAATTATCCGTCAAAATATCTTTCTCCTTTAGTATTAATCAAACGTGCCTTTTTTTAAAAACAATTTTTTCACAGTTTTTTTCACTTATGAACACTTAAAATATGTGTAATTCATGTAAGTTTCGGCAACTTCTTTGATGATTCGAATCAAACAGCCAGGTCTACATGTTGGTAAACATCAAAGATTGGCAGATTCTTTTGAAAAGCCGGCTACACACCTGTCAAAGGTCATCGTGTGTAAATTGTATGCATGTTATTGAACAATGGAAACTTTTAATTTTTTACGGGTGTTATTTTGTTTTCACAAATGTGAGCAAGTGTTATTGTGTATTATAGCACTAATTCAGGAATTTAGACAATCAGCGATAAATTTCATTTTCATTTCTTTTGAAATCGTAAGTATCGTACGCACTTAATTTATCGATAACAGTCATATTATATATAGAAAAAATAAAATCAATACCAAAATTATTTTGATACGTAACATTCAATTAAAAAGTAAATGAAATGAAATTCTACACTTTGAAAAAGGTCGCGAAAAAATGGTTACGTCTTATCAGCCAACTAAGAATATAACAACGATCCGAACATCCAGATGTATCCGGATGTTTGATTCGGATATCCGGATGGCCGTTTCGGCTCCAGATGACATCCCTAATAACTAATGAAGGGAAAGGGTTGAAACTTATCACACTTATTTAAGAGCAAAATAGGAGCTCACTGGCCAAGGCCCATAATCTGACATGGATCTTGACAAAAGAATGGACCTTTAGGAACTTGAAAAGTGTACATTATATAGGCTCTAGTTTTACTTTCAAGCACTAAGGATAGTCGAGCATGCTGACATACCAGCAAAGTTGATTGACTGTTCTATGATTTCAGGCCAAAGAAATGGAATGAGCATCTAGAAAGACCCCATCTAGATTACAGTGACATCTTTGAAGAGGAAGTTGGTCAAATACCTGGTGAGTTAGGGTGTTTTTTGTGTCGCCTTGAAAAAGGCGAAATAGGGGTTACTTGTGTTGGCGGTGTCGTTGTTGGCGTCCCCTTAAGCTTGTCCGGAGCATAAGTCAGTCATTATAAGTGGGATTGACTTCAAACATGGTATGCATGCTTCTTATAATGACTCAAAGTGCAGTGCACAAGAACCGATACTCTGCACTTCTTAATTTTTGAGTTATTGCCTTTTGTTTATTTTCATACTTTATTTTTGTCCGGGCCATTTCTCCTAATGTATAAAAGCTATGGACTTGAAACTTCATAGGATGATAGATCTCATTAAGAAGAAGTGCAGTGCACAAGAACCCGTGCTCTGCACTTCTTATTTTTTTGAGTTATTGCCCTTTGTTAATTTTCATACTTTATTTTTGTCCGGCCATTTCTCCTAAAGTATAAAAGCAATTGACTTGCAACTTCATAGGATGATAGATCTCATTAAGAAGAAGTGCAGTGCACAAGAACCGGTACTCTGCACTTCTTATTTTTTTGAGTTATTGCCCTTTGTTAATTTTCATACTTTATTTTTGTCCAGGCCATTTCTCCTAAAGTATAAAAGCTATGGACATGAAACTTCATAGGATGGTAGATCTCATTAAGAAGAAGTGCAGTGCTCAAGAACTGGTACTCTGCATTTCTTATTTTTCGAGTTATTGCCCTGTGTTAATTTTCATACTTTATTTTTGTCCAGGCCATTTCTCCTAAAGTAAAAAAGCTATGGTCTTAAAACTTTAAGGATGATAGATCTCAATAAGAAAAAGTGCAGTGTACAAGAACTGGTACTCTGCACTTCATTTTTTTGAGTTATTACCCTTTATTGAGTTTGCTACTTTATTTTTGTCCAGGCCATTTCTCATAAATTATAAAAGCTATAGACTTGAAACTATATAGGATGATAGATATTATTGATAAGAAGTGCAGTGCACTGAAACTGCTGCTCTGCTTTTCTTATTTTTTGAGTTATTGCCCTTTGTTAATTTTCATGTTTCATTTTTGTCCTGGCCATTTGTCCTAAACTATATTGTTCACAAGGCGACACATCAGACTCGCGGAGTTCTAGTTTTTTTAAAGGATTTAAAATTTTATAAAAATAGAATGTACATTTTCATATTGACTAGAATTTAAATGTCTGCTGCATAATATTGTTATATAATATCAAGTGATTTTCAATATTTTATTTGACGATTTAGTACCATGAAGCATTTGATTAAAATAAACAAGACACAGAAGAGCTGACCCCTTGATAAAAGTTATTTAAGTAAAATCATTTTACATTAGTCATATTGTTATAAATTTAGGCAAAGAAATTCCAAATAGAACATTTTCAGTTGAGCAGAAAGAGATACATAACATCTGCATAAGGAGACAACATTCTTTACTTTTGATTTCCAAAAATGTGCTTTGACCTTTGATAGAAATAATGATATACATAGTAGAAATTTTTGCCAAAAAAAATAAAAAATTCATGTATTTGTTTGTAGGGGTTTCATGTTGGGAGATTGAAAACTTCTTGCCTAACCAGGTTGAGGAAGGTATGCTTCTTTCTTTAATTCAATAATTTACTATAGAAATGGTCTATGTTTCATGCTATATGATTTTTGTTTAATATAGATATGGCTTCTAATTTGTAGCTCCACTTTTCAAAGAGAAGTAGGAGCTTACATATTCATTTTAAACTTGAAACACTTCTTTACTAGGCATTGCTGGTAGTTCTGCCAAGAATATTTTAAAAATTATGCACCCTTTACTACTTTCATTTGCTTTTATTGTTCTATCCGGCACTGAGAAAAGGGGGGTGCTGCTCCAAGGACAGCTCCTAATATTATAAAGTTTAAAGGTTTCATTAAATGCACTTTATGCCTCAGAAATGAATACATTTTTCCTTCTTTAGAAAGGGCAAACATAAGTTTTGTAACATTGAAATAGTGGTTTTGACGCATGTTAAATGCTTTCTACCTTTATTACCTGAAGAAAGTGAAAATATTTATCATTAACGTAACAAAATGTGAATAAGTAGTATTTTGACTTCCATGCAAAATACTAAGTCACTATAACTGAACTTATTCCTAGAAAGCATCAGAGGCAAAATATGATTCAGGTAATTGGCCAGTGAGTAACCTTTTGACACCAGAAACAGAAAGCTGTTACGGAAAAAAAATAAAATGATTTCTTGGACATAATGGGCCTTAAAGATTTGTAATATTAGAAAATATTGAGATATTGAAAAATGAACTCACTTATTTTGCTTATATATGTATGTTTTTTCTTTTTCATCATTTTATATTTTTAAATGTAATTTTTACATAATTCATTATTTCAGCATTAATTGGAAAGTTCTATGAGGCTGATTGTTACATAATCTTGAAAACTTTCATAGATGATTCAAACAGTCTAAACTGGCAAATATACTTCTGGATAGGTGCATTGGCTACGGTAAGAGGAAAGATTGGTCTAACAGCAATTTTATAAGAAAAGTTACTTTATGTTTATACAAAAGAATTTAAGAACTTAATTGTTTTTACTTATCAACATTTCGACTTACACCATTAGGATCATCATGTCTTTCTTTATGTAAAACACTTAACAAATGATATATGGTTGGTTCGGTGTCAAATATAAATAATGTATGTTTTAACTATTAAAGTTGGACAAGAAAGCATGTTCAGCCATCCATGCTGTTAACCTGAGAAACTTGCTAGGTGCTGAATGTCGGACCATACGTGAAGAAATGAACGATGAATCTGACGAGTTTCTAGATCTATTTGACAATGGTGTATCTTATATAGAAGGTGGAAGAACATCCAGTGGCTTTTATACTGTTGAAGAACTGGTAAGAGTTTTAATAGTTCTTCTCAATGAAAGTTTGTTATTTTCAGAATCCAAGAGTGTAATGAATATCTCATAGAATCAGATTCCATATAATTATTGCCTATGTTTAATTTGTATTTGTTGATTTCAACAAGAATGATTCAGATGAGACATGTATTTTTCAAATCTGTAAAATGAATTTATATTGTTGTGTTTTCTTTTTCAATCTGCACATTGACTTGCTATATTCAAAATAACCCAAATTTATAGTAAACACCTGTTATTAAATATAATTGTTGTAATATTAGAAGCAATTATTGCCTAACTTTAAAGGTCTCCTTGACTGAGTGGTTATAATTGCTGACATTGAATTTGGTCATTGATTATAAATACTTTCATGTGAGGAAGCTATCTAGCTAACTTATGGATGGTAGTAGGTTCAACTTGTGTGTCTGTGGCTGACTGAAATAATACACTGGGGGATAAATTAGGTCTTCCTCTTCTAGTAAAGCTACAAGAGTCGCCATATGACCTCATAAATTTAACAAATAAAACAATTGCATAAATTTAACAAATAAAACAATTACATAATGGTAATCTGCAAGTCTTATGTCCGATTCAATCTGTCATAATGCAAGGACAATTTGTAACAGAAATAGGTCTAATTTTATGGTTTAAACATAAAAGCATATCTTGATTTATTAGATATTGATTTTTTACATTTATATCTTAATTCATTAGATATACTTTAACCATCTTATTTATACAACACTACAAGATATAATTGATGTGTTTCAGACATATGAAGTAAAAGTTTACAGAGCTATTGGTGTACAGTCAGTACATATGGAAAGGGTATGTATTTATGTCTTAATATTAAATACATGTACTTCTTCATATCTAACAAATAATGTTGAAACTAGTCATAATTTCTAATAATAATAACAAATAGAATTTTGAAGACTTATTATAAAAAGTTTATTATTTTTGAACCCACTGAACACATTTCATATATTGCTAAATATGTGAGACTAAATAATGTGTTGGAGCACCGCACTAAATACTGTATTCCAGTATACTGGACAAGGCACTTGAATAATTAATACCTAAATCTTGCCTTTTCACACGCTGAAATGCTGTTTAAGATGTAAATTCATCTGTTTACACCGATTTGTGTACGATAAATGAAAAATGTAAGAATCCTCGAAAAAGCAAAATTTGTCTACTTTCTGCAAGCGTCTAGAGGTACTGCTTCATAACTGTAGTGAGTTAAATCCATTGCTAAATAGCCTGTGTTACTGAAGATAACCTGACTGATTCCAAAACATAATATAGCTGCTTGATTGATAAAGCAAATGCAGTTTCTTAGAAATTTTATTTATTAAATATTCATTTACTTTTTTACTTGAACTGTTTCTTAAACAAGTTATTGTTTATTGTAATTTTAGTGTCCTGTGACAATGTCATCTCTGGATCCAAGATATGTTTACCTGGTCGACAGTGGTAAAATACTGTATATCTGGGTAGGAAAGAAATCTAAAGGTGTCACAAAAACAAAGTCTAGGTAAGATGTGTACAATCTCAATATGTTAAAAAAAAAAATGTGTTAAAAAATGTATAAACCTATGATAAGATCAATTTTAATATTTGTAAAATTCAGAAAATAACTTTTTTGTTGTTGTTTTTTTACTAGAGAAAAACTCAATTTGTTGTGTTATTGTCAATCATTACTATGCTGCATTTTTTGTGATGAACATTTTTCTTGCTTTTAATTATGAACTGTTCATTGTTAGTTTAGGGGCTTTCATAATCATTTTTAGAGTTAAATGTTTTATGAGCACACTTTATATACATTTGTCTTCAGTAACTATCATTCCTTCATTGAGTATTTGTCCAGAAATTATTACACAGCAAACTGCAATTATTCCATGTCATGCTTTAATTGTGCCTAATTGACTGTGCCACCAATCAAGTTTAATAAATAGTTATGCCCAAAATGGTTTTTTCTGATGGTGATTTTTTGAAATTTTCGAAAATAACACTGTTTTTAAAGAAAAAATGTGAGGGGAAGGGACACCATACAATATCTGGTAACATAAAATTCAATCTGTCATAATGCGAGGAAAATTTGTTACAGAAATAGTTCTTATTTTATGGTTTAAACATAAAAGCATATCTTGATTTATTAGATATATATAGTAACATTATATATTTAGTAACATAAAAAAGCTTTTAACCATCAGTAGAAGAAAACTTTGGACAAAAAAATTCTTAATGAAATATTTGGGAAAGAAACGAAAAGCTGCACTGTTGCAGTTTCCTTTGCAGACAGTATAAGAAACAAACATCTTTTTGTTTTTTTCTACTATAGTAAAGCATTAAGTATTCTATAATCAAAATATCGTTAAGATAAACTTTAATCAAGTATATTGTGATATTAATATAGGCTGATAGCTGAGAAGATCAATAAGAATGAGAGAAAAAGTAAATCTGAGATAGAAGTTGTTACACAAGGTGGCGAGGAAATGCCGTTCTGGAGAGCTCTCAATGTTCATTCTGCCAAGGATGTCTCACCTATTAAGGTAATTGCATTTGAGCCGCGTCACGAGAAAACCAACTTAATGCGTTTGCGACCAGCATGGATCCAGACCAGCCTGCACATCCGCGCAGTCTGATCAGGATCCATGCTGTTCGCTATCACTTACTCTAATTGTTATAGGGTTTGTAAGAGAACAGCATGGATCCTGATCAGACTGCGCATAGGCACAGGCTGGTCTGGATCCATGCTGGTCGCAAACCCATTATGTTGGTTTTGTCGTGACGCGGTCAATTTTCTATTACAATGACGGTAAAGAAATGAAGTCAGCCTGTTTTAAAATAATTGAAAACAATATGACAATCTCCATGTGTCATCTTTTAAAGATGTTATATTCAATCTTTTATGAAAGACTAATGGCAATGAAAAATTTAAAATAAATATCAAGTCCCATAAATATAGGAAGAAATAGGAAGAGCCATAAATAGGGATTAATGCAGTTTTCTATAAATATGGAACTAACAAGGAAGTCTTATAAATATGGTTGGAATAACAAGGAAATAAATAGGTAGGGCCTTGAATTTAGAAATAGATAAAAAAAACCTGATAAATATGAAAATTAATTTGGAGCCCTATAAATTTCGAAAGCAGTGCAGACTCTAATAATTATAAGTTTTATCATTATTTTGTATTAAGTTTGTCAAGTTAATAGTTTTTAATTATTGTATGAATTTATTTTCCAGGAATGGATACCTGATGACTTTGAACTAGCAGAGCCAAGATTATACAAGGTTGGACTGGGTATGGGTTACCTAGAACTTCCTCAAGGTATGCTTTTGTCAATTTAGGGCATTTTTGACATCTAACCTTATGCAATGGCTATGTCCTAATGAGGGCTGTCATTGATGGAAAATGTTGTATATCAAAAACCAAATATCATAGATACATTGTACATTTGAAAATATTGGAATATGTGTAATAAAAATGCCATCTTGTGGCTATGCAAGCATGTTTTATACTTACAATTTCAGTATGATACCCAAAGATGTAGTATATTTTCATGGTTTTATATCTTACAGATTTCTGAAAATTAAATCCAAGGTTCAAACGAGAGAAGACAAGTGTTTTTTTTTCCCTTAACATAATATAATTTCACTAAACATGAAGGAATGGGTTTTAAATTGTATCAATACTCTAAACTATTAATTGATATTGTCCTGATTGTTGCATATCGATGATATATCCATATTGCAATATTCTATGAATGCCCTAGTCCTAATTAAGATATTGAATTATCCATTATTAAATGCTCAGCGTGCAGTCAGCAGCTGAATATACACATGTGACCAGTATAGACTAAGATCAGTCAGAAAATCTGTTCATCATTCATATTTTGAAGGTTTCCCTAAAAGTAATGAATGGTTTTGTCCAGATTGAAAGATGCACAAGTCCATTCTAGATATTTAATGTGGTAAGGGGTTAATAGATGGGAGTTCAATATTACAATATTTAATTTCAAGATGAATGATTAACACATGATCTGAAGTAATCAAATATATATTTCAGTTGATATTCCTGGTGGTAAGTTGAAACAAAAAATACTAGACACAAAGCAAGTATACATTCTTGATTGTAAAACAGACGTATTTGTTTGGATTGGTAAAAAATCAACACGATTGATCAGAGCGGCTGCATTAAAACTGTCTCAAGAGTTAAATGCCATGTTAGAACGTCCGGATTTTAGTAGTGTCACACGTTGTCTGGAAGGTACCGAGCCGCAAATCTTTAAAACAAAATTTATTGGCTGGGACGATGTTTTGCCTGTGGATTATACAAGGACTGCAGAGTCTATTACAAGAAGAGGGGCTGACATGAAGGTGATCATGGAGCGAGATAAGATGAAGACCGATCTGTCAGCATTGTTTATGGCTCGACAACCTTCCATGCCTAGAGATGAAGCTGTAAGTAGAAAGAAATCTACATTTATAGGTCTTTAAATTTTGAAATATGACTGTTAGTATTTGTTACACATACAAAAGTTCAATTCCATGAGAAAAGAGTTGTTAGCCAATTTATAATTTGCATGGTCCTTTTTATTGGAAATTAACAGTACCCGCTTAAAGTTGGTTTTGGCATTGTTTTTTTTTTTTATAAGCGTTTTATTTCTAAATTTTAAATAAATGTTCTCTACAACTGACTTGTTTAGCGTTCACATTAAAAACAAAACAATTTTGTTATTTTTTTTATTTAATGTTTACAAAAGAGAATATGTCTTACAAATTAACAAAGATGTTCTTTTCACACTTGGAACTTTAAAAAATGGAGCATGCTGACTCTAGCACAGGTCTTTGTTTTTCAAGAATCAAGAAGTATTTAATTGTCATCAAATGTAGCTGATGTTTAAATTATATTATACAGGAACAGTTGATTGAAGAGTGGAATGAAGATTTAGATGGTATGGAAGCATTTGTCCTTGAAGGAAAGAAATTTGTCAAGCTGCCTGAAAATGAAATAGGTATGGTTACCTACCTCCAGTCTATCATAAATACAGTTTTTTAATTTCTCTAAAAAGTAATTTTTTAATGGGTTTGGGATAAAAAATCTAAAAATCCTCATTTTTATCGTTTTAATATATTTATTTGTATTTTTATGTTCTAAAACAATGAAAAAAAATAAGTTTGTTGAATATTTGTTTCTTTTTTGGGTTTGAAGTTAATTTTAAGGGATAAAATTATGTTTGTTATTGTTTTAAACAAAACAAAGGTTAAATAAAAAAAACAAAAAAAACAAAAAAAATTGATGAATGATTTTTTTTCAGGTATATTTCACAGTGAGGATTGTTATGTATTTCTGTGTCGCTATTGGATACCGGTTGATATACCGGAAGATGAAGAAGAGGACGAGGAAGGTGAACCTCCGGAGGAACAAATAAAATGTGTCGTATATTTCTGGCAGGGCCGTGATGCTGGCAATATGGGTTATCTTACCTTCACATTCAGGTAGCGAAAAAGATTTGGTTGTTTTCGACCATAATTACAATTTCATAAATAAATTTCTCAAGTTTTTGCATTTAATCATTTTTTGTACGTAAAAAGAACCAAATGAATACCATTATGGGTTTATATTTTTTTACTTTTTGATATGTACATTATTATGTCGTTTATAAAAACAGTATTAAAAATACTGCACTGAAGAAACTGGAAATACTATTGAGAGATTTATGTAACAAATTGATGATGGTCTGGACGAAAAACTTGTTTAAAAGCTCATATTTTGCTTACTTTGTTTTTCCAGATGTTTACTTTGTTTTTCCAGATAATTCATTTCTAAAGTGCAAAGTGACTAAAAAATGAAAAGTAATTAAACACTTGTAACTCAAATTGTGCTGTGAATGACATGAAAAATTGATTTTCATTTGAATGTTTGGTATATTTCTTTGTATAACTTCATATTTTGTATTTTGTTTTTATATTTATCAGCTTACAGAAGAAGTTTGAGTCATTATTTGGTGACAAGTTAGAGGTTGTAAGGACTCATCAACAACAGGAGAACCTTAAGTTTATGTCACATTTTAAACGCAAGTTTGTCATCAGGAAGGGCAAGAGAAGACAACCTAACCAGGATCCTAAGAAACCACAGGTTGAGTTCTTTGAAGTTAGAGCCAACGGTGGTATAATATCTACTAGATGTATTCAGGTATTGTTATCATTTATATATACATGTATGTCACTGGTTGTTTTAATGCCCGTGGGCAAGTTGAATCTATCTTTAAGTTCTACCTGTACCAATGGCTTAACAATTTAGCAATGACATGCCAACTTATATTTTTTACAATAACAAAAAGTCATGCTCTGTCAAGTTATATAACTTTGTTTACAATTTAATTGCCAATTTTTCTTCTGACCATAACTGAGTGAATGGGAAAACCTTTTTTTAAAAATTGTTTCTGATAAGAATTGGGACTGGGTCATTTGTGTTTAACAAACACGTTCTTGTTTTATATTTAAATAGTTGATATAATTGAAATATAGGAAGGCAGTGTAAAGCCTAGGTCACAAATAAGAAAATGCCGCCGGGCGGCATCTGTTTCTTCAAAAAATCGCAATATCGGCCGGCGTCCGTCCGGCGGCAGTGACTATCGGACGGCAGCAGCTGAAAATTTTGCTCATCGGGCGGGCGCCTTTGAGTTTTAAGTAATACTTAAAAGCTAACAGCGGCCGGACGATAATTTTTTTTGGGGTCACTGAGTATAAATATCATCGGCGGACATTCGTTCGGTCGCCAGGTGGCGACCAGCGGGCGATGATTTTTTTGATAGGGGGCGATTTTTTTGTTCTACTAAACAGCGTCCGATTTAAAAGGCGTCCGGGCGGACAAATCGGCCGGGCCCGCCCAGTGCCTTAATAGAGCTAAGTAGTCAAACGATTTATCGCCCGGGTAACCCGGACGATTTCATGTACAGGTGAACCGGGCGGTCATCGTTTTGTTTCATCCAACGACCAGGCTGCTTGTGTTTGTTGTAATTTCGCTTGAAGAAGTTTGTAATTGCCTCAAAAATATATTTGTGAATTTCTTTTGAATACTAGTAAACATGAATTTTTTCTTCAATGTCCATGCGAATGTCTGCTTGATTTTCGCCTTCTATGGTCCTCGATATGGCCGTTGGTGACTCGTTGTCCCAACAACACGGACCAGCTCCTTGGCCTTCCCCCCTTGGGTTTGGCAGCTGACTTCTTTGATGGATAATTAAACTGGCTGATTGATCTAGGATGTCATTAAATGTAAAGCATTGTCGCCCGGTGCCCGGCGGCAACCGTGCCCGATTCACTTTTAAATCGCACAGGCGCCGTACGGACAATCGGGCGGGACCGCCTGATCCGTTCAATTTTTGTAAAATCCCACTGGGGCAAAAATCGCCCGACGACTGTTTCATTCGTGACCACGCAAGGTATCAGATTTAAAATCGCCCGGCGTCCACGACATCAAAAAATCTGCCGATTTTATAAAAATCGTTTAATAGGACGGCGCCCGTTTCATTTGTGACCTAGGCATAATTACAATCTAATTAGTAGAATGCAGAAATTTATATATGTTAAAATTGATATAAAGTAATTTGAGTATATCTGAGTTTTTGTAACAAAAAGTCTTTTGAGTAAGTAACAGTTCTACGTAATTTTGATTATTCATTGTTTTATTTTATGTTTCAGATCAGGCCACATGCTGCATTACTAAATTCTTGTTTTTGGTAAGTAAATGCTTAAAGTAAAGCTTTCACCAGGAACATTAGAATGTCTTTTATTAGCTTTAACTTGTTGCCATGGAAATATTTGTATACTTTGAATATTCTGTTGTTATTGTATAAAATGATTTTCACTGCTCAAACTGCTTTAATTCATTCATGTTGTCTGTATATGAAAATGATTTAATATTCATTATTTTAGAAAATAAAGAAAAAGAACTAAATAAACAAGACTTTTATAAAATCTGTTCTGATCTAAAGCAGCATGCCTCCAAAATTGTGCTAATTTTCATGAACATTTTGAAAATGTATTTACATTGATTGAACAAAGACAGTAATTTACACATTTCAAACGGCACATACAATCCACGTAAATTATAAAAAAGAGGTCAAAATATGCAAAAATTTGTAAGTCACAAAGTAAAAATTGTTGTAAATACTGCAAAATCAGTCAGTAATCACACAAAACATATAATTATATTATTACTTGAATCTTCAATCTTTTTACTTTTCTTAAAATCTTAGTACACTTTTCTCAAGTTTGATTTGCTTGAAATATTTTGGCTCATTTGGAGGCATGCAGCTTAGAAAAATTGTCAATTTTACCCTTTCATGACCTTGAATAAGCAGCTGAAGTGTTTTTAATAGAGTAAGTTTTACACAGCAAATTTCTTTTTGTTCAAACCTCTGTGTCACACTTTTTTTCCAATCGGACAAAAACCTGGATGATTTTTGTTTTTACCTCCCTTGCTAATGCGGACTGGATAAACTCCATTCTGTACCTTTTCACTAGACAGTTCATAAACACAGTACCCAGACTATGTGTTTAAAGAAGATTATCTAATATGAATTTCTTGATAATCTCTTTAAAGTAGCTGCAGTATATGTAAGTAAAGTATGTTGTATAATTTCAGTTATATATTAATGGTACCGTTTGATACAGAGGATCTAAATGGTGTGGTGTATGTCTGGTGTGGCAGCAAGGCGGAGCATGAAGATGCTTCACTTACTGAAGAAATCGCATATCTTATGTACAAGGTATTTGAAATATGTCAAAATAACATTGAAAATTTTGTAAGATTAGTGAATAATGTAATCATTCTGTACAAATTTTATGGTGAAAACAGCTAAAGTAACTGTTGCAACTTAAATGAATAATTGCATTCATGACATATACAGTCAAACTTGTTTAAAAAGGCCATGCAAGGAGAGACCAATTGGTTTTCTTTCAAAGCTGGTCTTTAACACAGGTTTAACTGTATAAAAACTCGAGTATTTCAGATCTCTTATTAGCCCTATTTTTTATTTGACATCATAAACATTTGAGTTTAAATATGTGCACATATAAGTTAATAGATTATGCTAGATTTAGCAGTTGTTAAATAAGGTTATGCTATCTTATATAAACCATGGTTGTATTTGCAGGATAATTACACAGTACAAATGATCAATGAAGGTGAAGAGCCAGAGAATTTCTTCTGGGTTGGAATTGGTGGCAAGAAACCTTATGATAAGGTAGGTATTCATTTTTGCTTCTTTACATTTTAGTACACCAAGAAATATTGGTCATACAGTTAAATGTTGCCTTTTGCTAGATAGAGTTATCTTTCTTTATATGCTATTTTAAAGCATAAATTTTATGCTTTTAAAAGTAGCAAATCAAGGTTTCAAACACTATCCATAAATTAAAGTTTTGGGAGCTTTCACATTTAGTGATGGACATTTAAGAATATTTGCAAAAGATTCTAAGTCATGCTGTTGTTATTATCTTTAATATTAGTTTTAACAGATTCAACTTAGGTTTATTATGATGAAAGATTTTCACTTATATGAATTTATATGAACATTTATTGTGCCTGCTTACTGAACCCACAAGTTTTTGATTTAATGCTCAAACCCCATGACCAAAAGGCAGACACATTAAACACTAAGCAATTTCTTCCCTTATTACAAACATTTTTTTTATCTTGTTCATTAAATATTGATATTATTGTAAGTAATGTTTGACACTTAAATTCACCACATAGCATAACATTTTCTGGAGAAAAATATGGTTTGCTTATAGATTTTTCTATTTTGATAGATATTTTAATATGATAGACCCAAAGGCAAAGCTAAAGGTACAACAGTAGTGAGCTAGATAGTTTTGTTTTTATAATATCATATTGTGCTTGTAATTGTTATGAAAAATAATTTATCTTTTAATTACAGGATGCTGGATTCATGAACTTTGCCAGATTATTCAGATGTTCAAATGAGAAAGGTTACTTTGCTGTCTCAGAAAAATGTGCCGACTTTTGTCAGGTAAAATATTTAACATTTTTAAGTTTCTTGTATGTCATTAAGAGCTAAAACAGGATTCATATAGATTGTGATGTCTTGACTTTGTTTAATATTATCTGACTTAATAAATGTCCTAAACTCATAACATGTTCTGGACCTTTTTCCTGTTGTATAATATTAGTATAACTTTTAGGGGGGACTCAGTGTCCAAGTGGATAAGGTTATTCACTTCAAATAACTGGCTATTGTTTACTAAGGGTTTAAATCCCATCAGGGGCTTTGGATTCTTTTATGTGTAGAAGCTATCAAGCTGTCTTACAGAATGTCAGTGGTTCTACTTGGATACCTGCTGGTGCCCGAAATAATGCACATATGAGCACCTGAGGTCTTCCTTCAGCAGTTAGGCTGCAATACTGCCTTTACAAGTACAGTGTGACCAAACAAACATATATGTTGGATCTACATATATTACAAGGTGTTGATTTAACACAATGAATCGTTTGAGTAATTGGAAACAAAAGTAAGGTTTAAATTGTAAGTTAATTGATTGATTGATTTACAGGATGATCTGGCTGATGATGATGTCATGATACTGGACAATGGTCAGCAAGTATTCCTTTGGGTCGGCAAGAAAACATCCGATGTTGAGATCAAATTAGCTTTCAAAAGTGCACAGGTATGTTAACTATTTATACATATATACATTGTATAGAGTGGAAACTTTCTGACATAAGTATTTTTCATTATTCTAGATTTAGTAATGTCGGAATTTAAGATATTTATGAGAAAAAGACCTATAATTCTTTGACTGAATGGCATCAATATGAAACTTGGAGAACTTAATAATCATGATATTTGGAATTTGGAAAGACATTTATTTGACTAGAATTTTTTGTTTAAATTGCAAATTAAACAGGATGTTTTTAAAACTATCAAAGCTTTCAATATGAAACTTGCAACACTTGATAATCATGACAAGGAATAGTTGTTAGACAAGAGGAATTATCTTGAAAGCAATAATTTTAGGAGTTATGCCCCCTTTTAACATTTATTGATATTTATGAAAATGTAATGTTAACACAGCATGCAGTGCTTCCTTTTGTATTTAGATATTGAAATCTCTTAAACCTTCAATAGAATTTTAATTTCCAAGTAGGACAAATCTACTAAACACAGCAGGTTAATAAAGGTTAATGTAAAGAATAGAGATAATATGATTGTTGAAATTTAAAATAATCTGTTCATTTTGTTATGTTGTAGGTGTACATCCAGCATTTACGAGCAAAACAACCAGACAAACCAAGAAAATTACTACTTGCTATGAAATACAAAGAACATAGAAACTTTACTAAATGTTTCCATGGCTGGGGCAGATATAAGGAAGTAAGGGAATAGAAAAAACCATTTTGTTGAACTTGTGACAGACTAGACAGCTGTAATGTGATGAGGTGCTAAAATGGCCAATTATAGACTATGTTATGTTAACATGTTGTCATAGTTGTTATCATAGCAAGTTATAGTCAATTTATTCATTATTATGATAAGAAATTTTGGGAAATGGAAAAAGTTACCAAAAGCTTTGCCAAGACTTGCTGGTATAATTATATACAATACAATGTAGTGTATTATTTGTGCAATTTGACAAGAATGTTATGTGTGTTCACAAAGAAGAAATATAAAGATTCCTATGATACAAGCTTGCCATATGATATATGACAAAACTTGTAGTTATGTTTTATCTGTAGAAATACCTGTATTTATCAATGAATGATATAATAGATATAGGATATTAGTGCCATACATGGAAGTTTCTACATCTTTTATTCACATTGTTGATATATATATTTATAAGCACTTATACAAAAGACCTTTTTTGTATGTGCACTGTGTTCAAGAGAAAGTGAGTCATTCGAAATCCTCATCATTTATTGTCTGTAAACAAACAAACAAAATGTCAAGGTAAATGGCAAGGTAGATCAAGAATTTTAGATTATTATAAAATATTTTTTTGGTTTTGAAAAACAATGTGAATGTAAGATTTAGTGTACATGACTTACTATGATTGTAGCCATCTTATTAAATAATTTACTGTCATTATTTGATATATACATGTATATATGTATTCAGATAGTTTATTAATTAAACTATCCAAACAAACTTTGATGACAGCCTTAGATGATAGGTTTTATAAATTTATGTTTTTCACCAAAATTTACTTTAATTTTGTTCATTTATGTTCAAAATTTATGACTAGATTTTGTTTTAACCAATGACAGCATAATAAACTTGCACAATAAAGCTTTACAAAGGATTAATTATACTTCATTGAAAACATTTTTTTCACAAAAGCAGAACTTTGTATAATTTATGGGGTATTGATATATTAAAAGTAAGATATTCAATAGGTTTAATAAGGAAACTGTAAATATTCAATGATTTTATCATACAGTAATATGAACTGTGATATTTATGTATCTCTTATGTTTGTATTTCTCTCTAGGTCTCTGTTTGAACAAGGACATTTTAAGTTTTATTATAGATTCTTCTTTATGTATGTCTTTCAATATTTCAAATAATTATAGGGAGTTCATGCACGAATGATTTTTTTACACTATTTAAAGGTACTGTGAGGTCTTTTATGTAGAACAGGTTAATTGAAATAGGGGCACTTGCTGGTTTAAAGTACAAATATGCTGTTTAGAGTAAGTGAAGGTCAAATTTCTTAACTGTTATTCTAAATATATATATGATTTTAAAGTCCCTTTTCTTCTGTAATTTGATACCAACACTTTACATTAGTTAAACATAAAAAGTAATAATTGTCAAACATAAAAATTATTATAATGAAAATTGGTAGTTCAATAATTGTGTACTGTATAGAGGTGAACTTAAGTATTGTGACTCTTTCATAAAAATAAATTTTTAAAAAGACCAAGTGAACCATTAAAAGGTGAATAACCTGAAAACAGATTACAATTGAGTGATTAATTGAATGGGAAGTGAAGTCTAATATTCTGTACTTTTCCCAGGTTTAATATGTTTCCTATGGAAATTAATTTTTTACAGATAGCAAGTTGACTTTCAGACAGTGAGTGTATGAATGCTCCTAGGTTACATACCTTGTCATATATATGTTGTTCACTTAAAACATTAGTAAAAATTAAAAAAAAAGAAATTGAATATGTTTAATTTATACTGGAAGAAATACACCAATTAAGGAGGCTATTAATAGTTTAATGTATGGCACTTTCTACATCAGTTGTTTGTGCTAGCAATATTTATTATATCTTATATGTAAAGAAAACTCTATCTATGCGAAAAACAGCAACTTTATAGTCACACCATGACAATATTTATGTTTGTAACCATGTCAATATGTGATGACAATTTTGTGTGTTACCAAATATTAAGATTTAGTGCTATGTTACTTTCAATGCAATATCAGAGAAGAGATAGAAAATAAGGGAAGTGGTTATAATTTATTAGCCCTTGATTGAATATAATTAGAATATAATTATACAATTACTCTACAAAGTCTTAGAATTAGTTATTTGAAACATATACTGTGTAATACCAAAAATTAATGTATTGAGTAACCATTGACAACCAAGATAATGGCAAAAAGCCTTTTTTTACTGCATGCTTTCCATACTATTCAAGGCTTTCTGTACAAGGACTGTTGAAGCCCAGTAGCTTCAAAATTCATTCTTTTTTTTTCTTCAAATATTTAAACTGTTTTCCACAATAACCAATTCAGTATAGTTATTATACTCACAATTCAAGCTGTATATAAAAGGACATGTATTTATGCTTATGATATAAAACTATATCTCAAAATATCTTAAATTGATTTGTTTTATGTTTGTAAGAGGTTTGCTTGTAATGTTTGTGTGTTTCTTCCTCAATCCTGGATTGTATTAATGTATTTATGAAGGTGTATAATTCAGGAGTGTTTATGTTCAATACGTAGCCTTATTATGAAATATATAATTCCTGTTTTGAATAAACATTCATACTGTGTCTTTTAAAATATGTGATAAGCGTATATTATCGTTGGTAAAATCTGAAAGAATAGTAGTCTTGAAATATGTCTATTCCTGTTTTGTTCTTTTCTTAGGGAAGGTCGGTGGTTCTTTTTATTTCAAGAAAATATTCACTCATTAAACGAAGGAAAACCATACTGAGTAATATATCATTTAAATATGTAAGATATAACATACAGAATGTCGGCGGTTCTATTCACGTGCCCGCTTGTTCCCCCAATAATGCAAGAAGAGGCACCGGAGGTCTTCATTCACCAGTAAAGTATGATCTTAGCAGTGTCAGTGTGGATTGAAATGAAAAAAAACAATCTTGAAGAATCCTTTTACTGCTGAATTTTCATCATAGAATTGTCATATTTTGAACTTGGAACTGTCGCTTATTATTCCAAGACCTATCATCATCCCATTAGCGCTATAATGGTTAACGCCGTATTGAAATAAATTGTAATTTTCTGTGAATGACTGCTAGAAAATATGCAAAACTATCAAAATATTTCAGTATAATTTTTTTGTATTTGAAAAAATATCTATGAATCTCTTCCATTGAAGAATATTTATGTATATTATTATTATTATATCTTCCATTATACAATGTACTTCTTAATAAATGGAGAAAAGAATCACACTTTTGTTTGTTATTATGTATAATACTAGGATGATAAATTATGTAGATACATGTAAGTGTACATTTTTTATAAATGGCTAGATTTATCGTCAGTTTCTCTGAAAAAAAGATTTGTAACCCACTTTATATTGACAGCTGTTTTGTTAAAAGTGGAGATGCTACTGAGTTGCTATGGCGTCCATATTGCGATCCCATCGGCGTTCTATGCGATGCCACACTGATGCTGCGGCGAGGCTTGCGATCTTATTGCGCCCACCTCTGCGTTCAAAATTTTCTTTGGACGCCGTGAGAATGCCGCCCTAGTGTGACAGGGGTTTTATGTAAATCGAACTGAGTAAACTAAAGCAATCTTCAGAAAGTGTTGCCTACATGTGTTTTATGTGGTGCTTATAAATAATTACAATGTATGAATAAATACAACAGAATAAATTAAATTAACTCCCTTTTCGGAGGAAGTGCCCTTGTATATTTTCTGTGACGGCTGTAGATAAATGGAACCGAATAAATTGAAATGTTAAAAGTGTCTTAACGTAAATCCTATACCTAAATATATCAACCCAAGGCTCCCAACGTATCTACATGTTTTGCGATTTGTTCTTTAAAAGAAAGGTATTAATCTTGAAAGTCTATCATGCAGTATTGATTGGGTTTGTAATGCATGTTTGAATGGTAAAGCATTGTTCACAATTGATATCATTTCAACCGCATGTAACTTGCAAAAAAAAACACAACAATGGTTTTGACGTCACACAACTCAACTGACGCACACAGTTTGAGTGGATTAGTTAGTATATAATTTGATACACTTTATAAGTATCAATTCATTGATCGTTATGATCTCAATAAATCTATTGTACAGGAGCCAAAACACTTGTCATTCATTATAACAAATTTATTTCTGCACTGAAATAGTTAACTAAAAGTTCATCGTGACGTTAGTACAATGTCAAATCGTCTTCCTTTAAGTTTGCAACTTGTTGATGTGACTTTATCCTCCTTTTTATATGCTCGAAAGAATTTCGGACATATTATGTTATACCCCCGTATTATGTTTGCCCCCTGGCGTCCGTCCGTCCGTCTGTCTGTTCTAACGGGACAGTATTAATGGGCTACTCTATTGTTCTCTCTATTGTTCTTTTTAGCCACACAAAAGAAAATAGACACATAAAAGCATTACGGAATGAATGAGAGAGAAAGAACAGTTACCTATTGTCCCTCTAGCCACATTATTACTGTCCCGTTAGAACGTCCGGGCGAACATCAAATGGTCTATGAGCTTCATTCCGTCCATAATTTTAGTTAAAAAAGGAAGAAATCCCACAAACCGACCGGTTTATGTGGTCATTTAACTAATTTTTACTGGTTTATTGGGAATAGTGCCACAAAAAGATCAAAGAAAAAGCACATAAACCCCAAATGTTGACAGTCCGTCCGTCCGTTAGCAATTTGGTTTCCGGAGCATAACTTAAGTTCAATTTGGCCCATAGTATTCAAATTTCATAGGCTGATTGTCCATATTGAGTAGAGGACCCCTATTGATTTTTGGGTCACAAGGTCAAAGTTCAAGGTCACTATTACCTTAAAACTGAAAACAGTTTCCGCTCAATAACGTAAGGATTAATCAACCCGCAGCTGTAAGATTTTATAGGATGAACAGCCATGTACAATCCATGGCCCCTATTGATTTTAGGGTCATAAGGTCAAAGATCAGGGTCGCAATGGCCCTAACACTGAAAATTGTGGTTTCTGGAGCAAACCACAAGTTCCAGTTGGCTTACAGTATTCAAACTTCATAGGATGATTGGCTATTTTGAATAAAAGATCCATATCTATACTGGGGTCACAATGTTAAAGGTTACTTTCAAATGACCTCAATATTGTTAACAGTTTTTAACTGTCAAACTTCATAGGATGATCACTTATATTGTTTACATTGTATTTCCTTCATAAATTGGTACAATGAAAGATGGCTGTTTTACAGACGTCACAATTTTGTTTTGTTTATTCATTCAAGACTAACACTTTTTTGGCATATAATGCTCCGCCTAGCGGTACTCTTGTTTATTTTTTTCGACTGGTACAAATATTTCGTTATTTCTTTTTATTGCATACATGGTGATTTCATTGTGTTATTCTCGACAATTTTCTGGCATATTAATATCATATAATATCATAAATATTTTTGACAGGTTATATGGCCTTTATAAAAAGGTCTTTAGCAAATGTAACTTGAGACGCTAGTCCAGCTTTATATGGCAAACAACCGTTTATATACGGCCATATAGCCTGTTAAGAATCTTTATAATGAATTTACAATACAGCAAACTTATTTTTGAGGGAAAAAAGGGAAAAAATCTGCAGCCATGTATATAGTTGATATAAACGTCCCGATTGTCCAAACCAAAATTCACTATAGGACGCATTTATTCTGTTTACTTTCAGATGCCGTACTGATCGACTTTTTAAAAGTACACTGTATTACAATTGAACAGTTTACGCGATATTTTATTATATATATCATTCAAACCATGATGAAAATGAATGTGTGCGACAATTAAAGCTGTCTAAAAGTAAAATATCTTGTTATTAAGATTTTGTGCGGGAACATGATAGAGAAAATAAATATATAACCTACATATCGATCTTAATAATAAAAATATTAGTATATCGATTGATCCTGACTTAACCACTACGATTTAACTTGATATGTATTGGAAAATACCCAATAGGTTTGTATTAGCATACATGAAGTGTTTGTATTCAACTATATTCCGGGTCGATTTTATCTTTTAAAGACAAGCTCTATTTGTTTTCTGACACAAAGACAAAATTAAAATACGTGTTTAATACTTAATGAAGACTATTTTTGATTAAGAGTTATTATTTTGACAACAGAGCGGGTGATTTAAATGTAGGAAAGAGTGATTTATATAACAGATATTTGGAGTATTTTCTAATAGACAGAATGGATCACATGTTGGTTTAAAAGTGTTAATGGTAAGTGAAACTATTGATATATCTATAATATATCTATATGATATGTAATTAAACGGGAGTGTAGTCTCTAATACAATGTCTATATTGTACATGTATAAAAAAAATTGGTATTTAAACCAGACATATAAATACAATACTTAATTGTAATAGTATTATCAGAGGTTGCTTTGCTATAGATTCAAACACTCAGATTATCGTAAGCATAGAAAGAAAAAAGTCTCTAAAGTGATTCTTGCCGTGGTGGTGTGTATGTGCCGAATTGGACTCTATTGTGGATATTTAAATATTTTCATATGATGTTTTATAAAGAAAGAAGGCATAAAAGCAATAATAATTTTGACTGGTGTGCTTAGAGTATTTTGTACAGTTTTCGCCCTCAATAAATTCGTCCCTAGAAAATTAAAGTTCTTATTTATATATGAAGGTTTTCGACTTCAAACGGTTATTGAATAGCTAAGTTAAACGTAGTTAACACTATTACATTTAAATAGATATTCTTTCATCAGCCTGTATTTCTTCTTGTATATCTGTAAACAAATTGATTTAACTGAAATTAACATAACGCATCATTAATATTTCAGGTACTGTATGGTCATTAAACAATGGGTTCATCGGCCAGTAAAGGTAACTATTTTATCCAATATTTACGCTTGTTTATTGATAAATAACTCGTGCAGATGTTGAAAACATTAATCATTGTTAAAAAAGACTATATAAGGTCGCACAACCCTATGGGGATCAATACAATTCCAGCGGGCCAATGTTTATTTTAACCAACTTAACTATGCTATTAGCTGTAATTAATATATTGATTTAAATGAGAGCGAAATATATCAAAGTTATTTCAAAACTTCATTTTTGTCACAAATATACATTATGTGTTGTCACAATCATACTTTTTAACTTTATTTATAAGTTCTTTCATAAAGTTTCTTTCACACATTTACAATAAGATATACGGTTTATTAATTGCCCTTTCACGCAAGATCATTCGGCATTATGTATTACTGTAGAAGAGTATTCTATTTCTGAACCTAATTCTATATACTCTGACAGGTTGATCATTTAATATAAAAACAGTATATATAGATTGACATTAGCAATAGGCCAATATTTGGCTGGTGTATTTAAATAAGGAATAAACTAAGCTTGAAGCTAAAAGTCGTCCTCCATTATCTAAACTGATACATTATCTCAAAATAATGTTGTTTCTCAAATATTAAGGAAATTGGTAAGAATAGAAAAAACTTCTAAATACTTCGAACGGAAACGCACAACTGGTGTTAAATTGTATGATCTCATTTTAAAAAGAAAAATTTAAATTAGCTTAGAATGAAAACGAGATTAAAAGAAGTAGGTTAACAAAATAAATTTGTTATAACATGTGATCGTGGGTTAAGTCCCCGACGTTCATAACAAAAATATGATATTATATATGATATTATTCATACATGTACATGTATAGTTCAATATTATTGACAAGTCTATCCTCTGCCACTGTTTCATGTGATTTCAAAATTTAAATGAACTTAATTTATAACAATTATATGTATAATTACTTAATGCATATTAAATTAAGCAGAAATATATAAGCCTATTATTATCAATAGAAAAACCTTAACAAAGGCTCAAATTTGTGTATATTGAATAGAAATGTGTATAATTATCGAATATTTATGAATGTTAAATGGGAAATACAGTTTTTTTGTTTTTGTTGTTGTTGTTGTTGTTTTTAGCTGTATTTAATTTCCATTAACAATACAATACAAAGTAAAAGACAATACAATGTGGAAAACAATACAGTGCAATGCACTATGAAACACAACACCACACTACATAACACCACACTACATAACACCACACCATACAACACTACACGGCACTGCCCTACATTACACTTGTAAAGGTTCATTATAAAATGCAATGCGATTCACAACAATATGGTCTACGATACGATACGATATAACAATACAATACGATACAATAATACAATACGATACAATAATACGATACGATATAACAATACGATACGATACAATAATACGATACGATATAACAATACAATACGATACAAACCAATTAAAAATTACCCGGTATTATACACTACAATAATGAGCAAAACATTACAAAACAATGCACTTCAAGAAAAAGAGAATTCTTACTTTCCATAAAAAATATGACTGTATTGTAATATAGTTTGGATCAGAATCTAAGTTAATCTATTGTGTTAACTTAATTAATAATCATGTTTTATCTCTTATCAAATGTTTATTTGATTTTAAATAGAACATATCTCTCTATAAAAGATAAAGTAAGTTTATCAAATACAAGTACATTAGACATACATGTATTAAATAATGGACAAGGAAGTTTTCACAGGTACATCCTTCTGTATCATATAATTTTTATTATAATCTTTGAAGTGTCTATTATCAAAACTTTTATATTCTGAAGTGCTAAATGACATTTGCGTTTTCAAAATTGATTTTAACGTAAATAGATTTAACAAATGAAATCAATTTATTTTTGATATACCCGCAACCGGAAATACGTCAGTCTATACTATCGTAGGTTGCGACATGTTACTCAAGGGGGAATCCCTTTAGGTCGCCGTTTTTTTTTTCACCTTTAAGGTTCTTGTTACTGAGTATATGCAACAAGAGTAATTCTGGAGGTCTGGTTCTAAAATGCCAGTCTTATGTTACAGCTTTTCCCCTGCTGAAACCGAAAGTAATATTTAACCCTTGCCACTAGTATAAAGCCAAGCCAGGCTCTCTCCATTGTGTACACCGACCTTACTGATATTTGAGAGACCGAGGCTTTCTCTACACGGTTGACTGACAGACTTTAAATTTTCATCTTGGTATCCCTTAAGTTGGTAATAGAAAATACCTAAATGAAAGCGGGGCAAGTCCATTTAAGGAATTCAGCAGGTTACGGGTAAAACTTCCCACTAAACAGACATAGTGATCAATGAATAGTCTGGGACTATTTTGGTTTCTTACGTTATCATTTTGATGTAAACTGTGGCCATATCAGCCATTACATCAATACAGGCAAGCAAGGGTCAAAGAACGTTTAAAATAATGTAACATTCATCTGACTAAATTGAACGATTAATTATACATGTATTATTATTATATTTACACTGTCATATTTTTTGCTCCATAACAACACACCATAATTTTTCTTTATATTCAAAAAGAGCCGAAGACGGAGCCTGCTACACGCGGGTCACCGGTACGAGCCCGGAGGCAACAGGAAACACAAGCCAGCCCTACAGATAAACGTTAGTAGTAATTAATTAATACGACTTTATAATTAGCTGACGACGATTATACATTTCAGCATTTGTTTCTCTTGCAATCAGTCCGAATTAACCTATACAATGAAAACTGTACGAAACAGAATAAAATGTTCCGGGACAAAATATCACATTACAATAAAAAAAGACTTTTCCTTTTACATAAGTAGATCTACACACTTTTGATAAATCTAAAATAATTTGAATTTGCTCAAAAGAAAATATGAAGAAACGTATTTAATACATGTATTGGTATCCTAAAGAAAAACAAAAATTGATTCTGATTGCCTTCGATTCTGGTTGGCTACACACACCGTACTTCTGTAGTCCCCTGCTGAAAGTTTGAGAAGAAAGATTTGATGTATTTACTTTAACATTACTGGTTGGGGACCACCAAAACCGGACAACCACCAAACCCGGACGGCCCCGAAAATGCTTAATTTAGTATTTTCTTAGTTTGGTGGTTGTCAGTCACTTTTTTTATCAACAATTAGTGCACATTTCTTTTAAAATTCAGTAAATAAATTTATGTCAACCTCCGTAAATGGTAATATTTTAATGTCTATTTCAAGAATGTAGACGTTGAAATTCGGGGGTCAAGAAAGCAATGCCTGACCTCATATACCAGCTATAATCATTTACAGAGTGAATAATAGAATATCCAAAACTTCAGCATTTGTTGCTGACATATTGTATATTATGTTACAAATGAAAAATCAAAACACACAAGCTTTTATCTGAATTAAATCACATCATGTACATATCTGTCCGGACACATGGTACTGTAGTGTAGACAATTTAGGTAATTTTGATACCCTCCTTGTCAAGCCTCATATATAAGTGTCAATAAAATCAGAAATTAACAAACTAGTTTGTTAGTTAGGAGAAGAACCTAGCTGAACTGTGTCAAATTATTTGGTCTTTAGGTTAAAAATTATGAAATCTGTACGGAAAAATGTTTTAAAAGTGTCCGGTTGATGGTCTCTGACCAGTATATAAGCACCATTTCACATCTTCGTACCATAGTAATTTTTTGTCAAACTGATTAAATATGCTTTACGGTTATTTATACATGTATAATGTCTTTTGGATATCTACAAAAGTTGCATTATTATCTAAAGTACATTATTACGATAAGCAGAAGACCCATCGATTTAAAAATAAAAGTAGTCAGTAACATTTTTAGTTTTGGTTTATGATAACCCTTTTTATCTTATTTCACTTTTTTAAATAGTTTTTTCTCAATATTATTTTTCATTATACGTATTTTGTATCACTTTGTGAAAGGAAATTATTTTTTTATCATTCATTTTGATATGAGAGTCAAATCAATATATAATGAATTTATTTTTCCAGAAACATCTAAAGGCAAGTCGTCTCCAATCAAGACCCTCAATACACAATTTACAACTGGTAATTATTTTTTTTAAATATTTACCATTATCTTGTTATACCTCAAAATTAAGAATATATGATAATTGTCTACGATCTCTAGATAGCACCAAACAGTGTCACATGACCACAAAATCAATTATAAATAGTAAAACCATGCTTCTGTACGGCTGTTATCTACTTTTTAAACAAAATGTATCGCCAGTCGTGCATTATAATTTGTACATGTATCGTAACTAATTTTTGATTATTTTACATTGTGGGCTATAGTACATCCTTACTTATCTTGCTGGCCACCATCTCCATGTGTACACATTACTCGATAATATATCCAACTTATCACTGATAATAACAAGTAGAGATTTTGATGCTAAAGCATCAAGTCGCCGGATAGAAATATGATTGTATTATCATAAATAAAAGAAAATATCAGTTTAATGGTTCGAGTATAAAGAAAAGAGGAACAATAAGTTCAGTAATGTTTATTCATAAACACGTTTTCATGTACTTGCCACAATTACATCTTTCTTGCTATAAACTTTGTAAAAGAGTTTTATGCAATAAATTTATATATGTTATGTTATAATAAAACATCATATTTGAAGCAAACTTGCTTAGCAATTTTGTCAAGAAACTGTTATCATTATTAAATAAGCAAGTACTGTTTGGCAATATTTACCCGAGACTCAATAATTTTCGGGAGCTGTTTCGTTAGCTTACATAATTTATTATGAATAATGTTAACGATTTTTTTGTAAGTATAATTACATGTATAATTATATCAATTAATACTGCTCGATGGCCTAGTGGTAAGTATGACGAAGTTGTAACCTACATATGTAGTAGGCGCAAGTTCGAATCTTGGACAAATCCTGTGTGTAGTTTTCATAAATTGATTTTTATTATATCTTTCAACTTTATGAAACATAAGTTGATAAATGGTGTGTTTCATTTCTAGCACTTTTTTATTTCATAATTTTGATAAATCGTCAAGTTTTGCAAAATGCAAAAAGTATTATAAAAGAAAACATAAAAAATCACTTTATCGAACCTACAGTAACTATAAATCTAACACCTTGTCATCGAGGCTTGTAAAGCAAGTGATATGATTATAAATCTACTTGTAATTCTACTTTATACATATACCGTTGTACCATACATTTGAACTCCGTATGGTTTTCTTCAGAATCCGATAATTACCGTCAAATTATTACCGATCATTGAATATTTGCAAAGTGACTTTGAAAATATATATGCTTAATTATTGCATAAAACAATGTAATTCTACTGTAAAAGTGGTGTCTGCATAAAACAATTATTCTTATGCACTATCGAAAAAATATATTATTTAGCTGAAATCAATATTCATGTCGTTACATACGATATAGTTAACGTTTAATTGCCTTTCAGTGCGAGTTTTCTCTGTGTATCCAATACGATTCCGGCCCTACTGTCATGCCGAGATTTTTCATACAAAATTACTTTGATTTGCACTTTTATCAGCTGCCAACCATTCACAAGTTACCTGTATGTCTGTCTTATCAGCCATTTGTTACTATTAATAGATTTTATAACAATAACATACAACGTGTAGTCACGTGATTCTGGGAGAAGCTGTTTATAATAAATAAGATAAAAAAATAGAATAGGTCTCATAACATACAAACAACCAGATAATTTAAAAGTGTCATTTCAAATATCATGCATGATTTATTTATCATAAAATAGCAACGCTTGACACTTTGAAAAAAAGGAAAAACATCCCTAAATTCAATGACTTATCCATAGGGATACGTCATTAATTCATTTTATAAAAATTGTAATGTTGCTTTTTACGATGTCAATATTTGAATATTTCATTTCATTGAGCAACATTATTGTATGTTTGAATTTTTGAGATTACTGAAAACAATTGTAGTCTTTAATTGTTCAGTAATTGTTATGCTTTTATTTACAGAAATTAATGCCTTCTCCTACCATAGGTATAATATTAAACTGTTACAAATGTAGTCGCCGGTTTCTACCGGCGACTAATAAGAAAAGGCTCGGGGTATAGCTTCTTTCAATCTCATTTTTTATCAAGATTATTCTAGGCGAGCAATATAAAAATAGTTTTTTTAAGGTTTTTTGCAGGCAATCCACCCTGTATCAAAATCATTAAAGACGGTTAAAATTTCGACTCTAGCTCAAAATTACCTCCTCTTGTGGGGAAAATATATCTATCTTATAATTTACTAGAACAATTTCAATCAACACAGCATAAGTTAAAGATTAAAGTAGAAACGTTAATGTTATTTTGACAATTTTCTGTTCCACAAGTCTTTCAGTGAGTCTATCATTGTCATCAAGATAATGATTACCTGGATACATACCTCACAAATACGGATAAATACGGTGTTCTGTTTGGGCTAATTAAAATGTCACAGGTTGTCATTGGAGATTTTGACTAAATCTCTTATGTCGACTTTTTAATTTCAAAAAGCAAGATCGGAATACAAACACAGCGACATTGGGCATTTAATTTGTGGCATGTTAAGCCTCAATCTATATTCTTAATCAACCCTGTTCGACCCTTGTGAGTATATATACCTTAATAAACCTTGTCTTTCGGATATCTTCAGATATTATGATCAATGGGTCAATGGCACTGCACGTGCTGCAAAAGACATTTAGTAAAAATATCGGCAATCTACAGGCGACATTTCAATCGACCCAAACATGCATTAGTCTAAAATAATCTCGTCATACATTGATTATCTTGACACTAGCATGTTTGTTATACGTATATATCAGTCAGCGTGAAGTAACCATTTTCATTCGTCCAGGTGGTCCAAGCATTTTTTGTAAGAATATTAAATTGCAAAGTTATTACACACTAATGCAATCTGAAAACGTTTTCCTTTTAATTGAAAACTGTTTAGTCGTCTGGATAAATCAGCTACTCCATAACTTTCAAAGGAACTCCACTGTGGTCCAAAAGCCTTACACGTAAAATTTGAATTTTCTACAAAGATCAGCTGGGGCATAACACTCAAAACAGAAAGATATGCGAAAGATTATTAAGAAAGATACAAAGAAATATATTGAAAATCGTTTATAGCTATTCTTAGTCCGATTTTAGGGAAAAGCGTTGAAACGCTTTTCAATTCTGGGCCATTTTCACAATTAGCAAAATATATTCTGGTGAAGTGGACTAAACGAATTATCCTAAACTTTTCACTCAAGTTATTTGTCTAGCCACACATCAAATGAAACATTAATCTCGAAAATTGATTTCGGGTCCCGGAATGTCCAAAAACATAAGTGGAATTCCTTTAATAACTGAAGTCATGAACGCCGCTTTAAAGAAAAAAGATAAAGGTTTAAGCTAAACCGATCCTTCACTCAACTTCTTAATGATATCTGTAAAAGCTTATTGTTTATTTCCCAGAATTTCGTAATGTCAAACGTACATATATATATAGCACTAATTTAGACTGAAACCAAAGTTATAAATTATATGAAGTTTTGGCATCCACACATTAACTAATAATTAAGATTTTTACGATGTGATAACAAAGAGCTATTGGTAATAATTATTTCATCATATTGGAATACATGTATATCAGTTACTAATAGCTCTAAGTATGTTATTACAGTACAAAAATCTGTCTAAATATTATCACTGACAGACTGTAGATTTATCTGGTTATGGAAGGGGGAGGTGGACGGCATCAGGTAATGTAAGGTGCTGTTCAATTAACTGGTGTATGACTGAGGAGTAACACAAAAACACAAAACATGTTCAGTTTCACTTATTATTTACAATAATTTACTTTATATACCAACGATAAAGCATTAAATTATTTACATTTGTCTCTGTTAGGTGTAACTGGTACTCCAAAGAGAAATGATAATTATGTTATATTATACCGAGATAAGAGTCTTCAACAATTGCCGACCACGACGACCAATACTTTGATAGAAAATGTGTTCCTTATATCCGCCGGTATGTACAAAATTTAATTATCTATTTACCAACCGACAGATATAAACCTTTGCCACCAGTATAGAGCCAGGCCAGCCTGCACATGGCTTGCAGTTTTTGTGAAGTCTGATCAGCTTCTGTCCTGTTGCCTCACCAACTTAAAATTTCCATCTTTGTTTATCCAGAAAATTGATAATAGACAGTTCCAATAAAATCTAAGCTTGACAAATACATTTAGAAAAATCAGCAGGTTTCAAAAACGGTTATTATTTGAACAGCACTATCGGCTATTGAAATGCCTGGAGGATCTTTTTCAAAATACAAATTTTACAAAAATTCTTCTGTCTTATTCTTTATATATTTGATAAGCATTTGCAGACAATTACGTGTATTAATCGGCTTGTTGAATGATATATGTTTAAATGAACTGAGATTCCAACATGAGAGAAAATATATCAAAATGCATTTTTTACAATGATCAGATATTTTATATCTAATTAGTGGAAAATTGTATTCTGTGTATTAGGGGCGGCTGTCGGAGAAGAGTTACCGGAACATTGTGTATATGTCCCTGAAACTGCCAAAAAAGCCGAGAAACAACCGCTTCTAAGCAACAACAATTTGGAAGAAGTAAGTATTTGTTCATGTCCTTCGCTTAAAAAAATAGAAAACTTACGTTCATGAATTGCTTATATAATTATAGTTTCATGTAAAATGATATATATTGTCTGACGTTGAAAAAAAAGAGAAAAAGGTCAATCAGTGAACATGCACAGCCAAAGTATGATTAAACTGTACAGGTTTTATTTAATTTATCTATGTAATAACATCTACAATTGAAAAGAACTGTAAGTAGTCATTCATTAACGGTGTTTCCTTTCCATGTGTATATTTTAAGGCTGTATTTGAACGGTTAATGTTGGACAATCCTAGCAGCGTTACTGTGATGTCTGTCACTAACAGGTCAAAATGGAAAACTTCTATAGGAGGACCTTGTGATGAGAAAAACGTGCTCAAATATTTATTCCAATGTTTTATTAGATGGAAAAGGTGCAAAGAGGATAATCAGGTACTTTTCCGTACTGTTTGTAAATGCTATATGCATAATTAAATAATATGCCCTTCTTGCGTGATTTACGTTTACATTCGTCTCTGGAAAGCAGTACGGGCGACTTACCCCAGAACACTGTTAGAAATATGATTCTCTGTTTTGGATATTGCAACAGGTAAAGAAATAAGTACTTTGCAAGAGGAACACATTTGCAACATTACATGTATATCCTGAGTTTCTGTCCGTAATAGGTATTGGAATGAACTTGCAACCGTTGGTTTTATTGTCACACTAAGTTTCCATTGGACTAATGCTAGTCAATGAGTTAACAAATACATCGTTTCTTTCTTGTTTGGCGCTGGTGGAAAGACATGATGACATAACGAGAAAACGTTTACAAGGCGACTTACGCCAGCGCCTGGTTTATACCGCATTGTCGTGCCATGTTTATACTGCATTGTCGTGTCATGTTTATACCGCATTGTCGTGCCATGTTTATACCGCATTGTCGTGCCATGTTTATACCGCATTGTCGTGTCATGTTTATACCGCATTGTCGTGCCATGTTTATACCGCATTGTCGATAAAGCGCCTTGTGCAGAATTAAACATAATAAAAATGACATTACAGAAATTTAAGTTTTAATGCACTACAGCATTTATTTTCAGTATGCAACCCTAACTGAAGAGATGACTAAATGTGAAGATGCAATATTTGAAAACACGAGGACGTGTCTTAGACAACCAGAATTATTTATAGGACACGTGATGCATATAGAGTTTATTGATCTGTGTGTTGACAACAAGGAACTTCTACTTGGTTTGTTTATAGATGTTGTTCTTGCAATTATCTTAATAACATCTCCAATATATCTGATACTTTATCTGTGATGGCAAAACCTTATACTATCAATTCATGAATTATTCATTTAAAATACCTTATCTGTGATCACTGCTGATTTGGTGCATTAATTTTGTATGAAAGAATTAAACTGGGAACGACGGCTTTAAATTATAACAAACGAATAAATGTATCTGGTATTGTGATATATTCTATTTTCACGAAACATGGATTTTTTCCTTCTTTGTTTCCAATTATCGTATTTAATTTTACAATTTAGGCATTCCATATGTAAATGTGGATATGCATATCTAAATTTAGCAAATTGATAAAAATTCAATCTATATTTTATATCCAATTTATTGCTTGATTGTGCTTATCAGACACAATTAGATTAAACTATTGTGCAGTTAAATAAACATTTCTACGGCCAGGAAAATGAATGAGCTCTTGTGTACAGAACATTTTAAAGAAAACCCAGTAACGTAAACTCAGTAATTTCATGAAAGATTTTCGTATGTGTGATTCAATAATGACTTCAAATTTTAAAGGTGCATGCCTTCATGATGAATCGAAATAATACAGAAAAAATAAACTTAAGAAAAATGTACTAAGATTTTAAGAAAAGTACAATGATTCAGATTCAAGTAATAATTTACATGTTATGTGCGATTCATTTGCAGTATTTAACACCATATTGCTACTGCGAGACTTTAGCACTAAGGGCTATTTTTACATAATTTGACCTCTTTTTGGTAATGTTTGTGGATTGTCCGTGTAGTTTGTAGTGTGTAAATTACTTTCTTTGCTCACTTTACAATATTTAGTTTTAAATACTTTTTCAAAATGTTCACGAAAATAATGATGAATCTGGTGGTATGCTGCTTTAACTCAAATCAAGAATTTATATTTTTGGAAAGATGTACGTTATTCGATCGAAATTTTAAAAAGGGCAAATCTAGTTTGTTTATAAACATTACTATTCGTATACAGATAAATACCTTATCATATATGTTTTTTTTATTTCAGACAAGAATAGTATTATATATGAATTTTTGCTGAAGTTGTACGCGACTCTCGAGACAGATCAAGGCTGTTTGATGGATTGTTTCTCTCCAGTTTTAAAACATATAAGACAACATTTTCAGACAGAACTGAAGCTAATGAACTCATCTGAGGTCTCACAATATATGCTAGTTCTGAAAGTTTTCACACTTAAACCATCTGTGGCACAAGTAAGAATGTTGTCTGTATCATGTTATTTGACTATACAGTTTGGTTGCAAAATTAGTTAAGAATGTTGTTAGACAAAACGGCCATTTGAGATGTACTAATGTTGAGACACAATCACGGCATTAAAGAGCATTAGTTCTATCTCCTCCATAAGTTTAAAATCTGAGGATGTAACTCAATTTTAGATGCTAAAGAGCGCCCTCATCATTATCAGCTAACACAAGTATGATATGTGTGAACTGGACATTCTGTTTTACAAAATGCACGTGTACATGCTGGCTGTATGGAATTTCCACCACAATCTTATAATTTGATTATGACATTGACTCCTGCTACATGTTTTTTTAAGTCTGTTGAACAAAACATGTTTATATTTCCGTTGTTTTAAATAGGGTATAATCAATTATGTATGTATATAAAAATGTATGTAATGTATATAAAAATGTTTATGCAATGTATATGAAAGAATGTTATGTAATTTACAATGTTTATCAAAATGTGTATGTACGCTATGTAAAAATATGTATATAAAAGTATGTGTGTAATGTATATAAAAGAATATATGTAAATAAAAGTAGGTGTGTAATGTATATAAAAGAATATATGTATTGAACAGATGTTTATGGACTTTAATTCACCGACGGATTGGGACGTGGCGATATGTTATGAAGCAACTCTGATTGGCTCAATACTTAATATGAACCCTTGTCCAAGAACTAATAAAGGGCCATACGAATTTTTCAACAGTCCCCTAGATATTTCGGGGCAAGAGATAAATACAACACTTGTCTTTATTTGGCAGGTAGGTAAAAATGCATTAGTATACAGGTAGAAGTTGCAAAAAGCCTAACTTCTTACTGGACGTGTTCACGGATTAACCCGTTTAAAACTCAATATTAGATATAATAGAAATACATAAAACAAGTCATGTGTTAATCATAGCGTTCAGCTATATACTATATAGTAGGTGCTACTGATCATGTGACATGTAGAAACATTAAAGTGAATTGGTCTATAACAGAAGATCTGTAGTATGTAGGTTTTATTTAGTACCATGCGTAAAAACAAATCACGAAAGAATTATAAATGGGGTTGTTTATACATGATCTGATATGACATATCAATATATATCAGATAGCAGAAAATATTATCATTCATCATATATTATGTTCATACTTTAGTACTCTGTTAATATTTTCTTTTCAAAAATATTGCATAAGCATATCCAAATGATTTTGATTTTTTATCAATATTTGAAATACTAAATGGAAAATATGCCCGTTGTAGACCAATCCACTTTAAGATATGCGCTGTTATGTGGTACATGTATTGTATTTCAGCGTTTGCGGGATATTTGCAGTGATCTCAACAGTGTGTTAATGGCAATTGTTCGTTTATCAGAGGACCTCAGACACATGGTGCTTACCTGGTTTGGTAAATGTTTGCAGGCAAACAGAGGTATGCTCTTGTTATGACAGTCGGAACATCCTCGGCTATTGTCCGAAGACCGGCGGAATTGCCGAAAAATTGCGATTGTATTTTTCCAAATGTATTTTTGTTTTGAGTTTTAAGTCACATTAACAATATTTTGACCATGTCGTCTCTACGGATATAGAATTATTTCTCAAAATAATACATATAATATAAAACGAGTCAGTTTTAACTTTTAACCGATTTTTTTTCCAAATGTATTTTGTAGAGTTTTGAGTCACATTAGCAATATTGAGATCATTTTGTCACTAAGGATATACAAATGAAATAATATTTCTCAAAATAATACACATTATATAAACTACTAATAGTCAGTTTTTAAGCGTCCATTCTCTCAAATTTGACAGAAATGCAATTTAGAACACAAAAATACTTAAAATATACGATTTGAAACGTTTGCAAGAATGGGTAACATCCGTATAATTAGTTGTTCAACAAACGATAACAAAGTGCATGTAAATGCGTATGCATGAACAAAATATGTTCGTGAAATACATTTAGATATTTCATTTTTATGATGTAATATTGTGAATTCAGGGTATAAATTAAAATGATATATTATACTCATATTGATTATCGACCTTAAAAATACTGAAAATGAATTAAGAAGTTCAGCAAAGATAACATGTATGTTTGTAATCGCCTAATCTAATTGTGTACATTTTTGACTTTAGCTAAACCAGATTTGTGGTCGGCTCACGAAGTAGAAGTTTTTAATTCTGAGTATTGTTCGGATGGCTTTTGTCTCAATCTATGCCATGTACTTTTACACATGTGTCAGCCATTTTGTGAAGCAAAGAGTCACAGACTCTTGAAAGTTAAACCATCATACTGCAGGGCTGCTCCTAAATCAGATGATGAAAGAAAAACTATGTGGGTTCATGCAAGAGGTGAGTTTTATACAACATAAAATACAATTTGATAAAAGTCAGAATTTACCTTCTATTCTAATTTAATCAAATCTCCATTATGATACATTTTAAACTTAGCATACCTTTATAATTTATCTTCTTTAAGTTTACTGTTTTGTTATTATTTTCAATTAGGTACTTGGCTATGTGTTCTTTTCATGATATAATCAAATTCATTGTATTCTGCATATATATATCTACGTACATAGATATGCATCTATATTTTGTCCTTTATTCGGTAATTTAACGTGCCGTTTACATGTATATAAACTTAATATTTCCATTGTTCACTTGACAAAATTTTACATTTTTTTTTAAATACATTTTCAAATTTTAAGCATAAATCTGGAAGCATGCTGCTATTACCATGTAAGATGTTTTACAGGACTGGATAAAGAACCTACATTTGTGCCTTATAGTGAAGATAAAGAGTTACCCAAAGAAGAGACCTACTCCTTCATTGCCGAGTGTTTCTTTTTAACACACCAAGCATTACATATAGGATACAACATCATTTTTAAGATGTTGAAATTAAATTCTGGTATAGCAAGAATGCGAAAACTTTATGAAGCAATCAAAAATGTTTACCCGAAACGTGTGATTGAGTTGGTGAAACAACAACTTAATAGAGGTATTGTTACATGTCAGTTATTAGATTACTGAATATACAATTGTTAACCAGAATAAAGAACAACCAATTGTTTCTGCATATATGCTGATGTTTCTATATTCAAAATTTTACCATTTCATGATAAATGTTGAATACTGCTTAAGCCGGTGCTGGGGGGGGGGGCGTGGAAGGTAGCTTGCACTTTCCAGCACCATTCGTCAATAGCCTCAATCAAACAGAGCTGCAACATTTTCAGTTTTATCGTTTTGGGCATTCTTTAAGGATTAATTTTGTCTTTAGTTTAATAAACTTTTACAATGCCTTTGATAGTTTCGTTATTTTATGTTGAATACATTGTGATTACAATTTAAATCCTAGCTCTCAAATCGTTTACAGCATTAGGATCTAAGTATTTGAATTACATGATGATTACATTTATTTGATTCTTCAGAAATTTGTTGGTACCTGAATATCAAAGCAGCTATTACAGAGTACCATCTTACCAAAATGTGCCTTAACTTTCACATCGCCACAGCATCATGGCTGGTCCAAGTTGCCACGTGCGATAACGTCACAGAGTTCAAGCCGGTGACACTTCCGTTAGATAACAATGTGCCAAAATCGTTGTCATACCTACCACACTATATACTGACAAATCTGACCCAGTTTGTCACTCCGCTGGATATATTCCAGAGTCTGGAACTGTTAACAGTAAGATACTTCATTATTTTATTTATGTAATATACGAGGGAAAGTCAGAAAATATCCGGACTTTTGACTCGTTCTCGAAAACCATTCATCATTTTAAAAAAAATCTTTCTACCCTTTTTCAAAATATACTCCACCTACGTCTACGCACTTTTGCCATCTTCGTGGGAGCTTTTGTATTGAACCATGACGAAGACCTATGTTTTAGGTACTGTGTAACAGCAGATATCAAATCCGCCCTGGTCTTATATTTCTTTCCAGCAAGCAATTTTTTTCAGTTGGAAACAAATAAAAGTCACAGGGGGCGAGGTCTGGGCTATTGAGGGTGAGACAACAATTGCCATTTGTAAGAGTTGATAACCTCCACTGTAGCTTCGGCGATATGGGAGGGGGCGTCATCGTGAAGAAGGAGGACATTTTTCTGTGCTAACCTGGGACGCATTTCCTTCAGCTTTTCTTTGAGATTTTCAGAATTACTTCAGAATAGTACTTGGCGGTGACAGTTTGACCTTAGTAAGTATCCTTTCTCGTGAATCCCAAAATGCAACAAGCATGACTTTGCCAGCCGAAGGAGACAGCTTAAACTTTGTAGGAGATGGGGAACCAGTTCGTTTCCACTGCTTTGACTGAGCTTTTGTCTCAGGTTCGGAATAATGAACCCACATCTCATCTCCAGTGATAATGCGGTTCACAAACTTATCTCCTTCACGACTAAAACGACTTAAATGTTCTTTTGCATTGGTTACTCTGGTTGCCTTTTGATCTGAGGACAGCTGTCTTGGCACCCACCTGGCAATTACTTTGCTCATGCCTAGGTGTTCGTGCAAAATCTTGTTTGCCGATTCCTTACTGATGCTAAACGTGTTGGCTAGCTCCTCCAAAGTTACTCGACGATTTCTGTTGACAAAAGCTTTATTATTTGCTACCATTGTTGGGGTTTAACGCCTCAGCTGGCCGCCCAGTCCTAGGCCTGTCACAAACACTTGTTCTGCCTTCACGAAACCGAGAAACCCAGTTGTAGAAGGTTTAACGTGGTACACATTTATCAGAAAATCTTTTTAAGCCTCTGAAAGATGTGGCAGGGCTTTTCACCTTCTGCAACCAGAAACTTTATTACAAAGCGTTGTACCTCTAACAAAGAGTCCATGATAGACGAAACACCTATCATATATCAGAGGGCAAAATACTGTGTATACACAACTATCATTGAAAATAAACTGACCACGTTATTGGCGAATGAATGTAGTTTTCACCAATATAATAATGTGTGTATATAGTTGCACGTGGAAAGAGAGGAACAAGAAAAGTCCGGATATTTTCTGATCATCCCTCGTACAATATGTGTAGCCGATTTGAATTTAAGACAATCAGAACCACATGATCTATTCTTTAGAATTTTGCAATCAAAACAAAATGATTCATTGTTAATGTTCTCTTTGAGAAAGGATTCAAATTATATATATGTTTGAAAACTGTGTATTTGCATAAAACGAAATATCTGTTTTTTTTGTGATGCAGATGTGTTTAACATTTTCAAATTTTTCAAATATTTTTTTATAGTTATTTATAATGTTTAAGTGATATTGAAAACTTTTTCAATTTCTTTTCCTAATGTTGTTTTCCATTTTTTTCCCTGCAAGCCTTATTGATTGTTACAATTTGAAAAAAATAACGACGTTTTGTAAAGAAATGGCATCATTAATCTGTATATTATACATATATAATATGGGATACTAATCTAAAATGATCCAACTAATTCTTTTTACCAAGCGATTCTGATTGGCTACACTTACTGTATTTGATATTGAAACTCAAATTATGTTTCAATTTGATATCATTGTAATATTACTATATGTATGTAAAAATTGATTGAATCATTTAATGAAATACACTTTGCCAGATTTGTAACAAGAACCTCTATAGATAATCTAGCTATGTTTTTTATTCATTACAATGTGATAAAGGTGTTATACTCTTATCAAAAAATAACTCGGTGGTTTGATTAGATAGCATGCTGTACCTGATTATACAATAATTGACTAGTGAGCCATTGAATATTATGTGATATTCACCGGTAAATGTCATATTTACCGAGGCGATGGCAAAGATGTACCTAACTTCCAATGATATTCTATTTTCAAGTCTAACGTGGAGTCATTAGAACATTACATCACGGTGATTCTGGTGTTTATGGGACGTGCAGATAGATTGGTTAGTTCAGATGTTCGGGCCCAGTTAGCTGAAGCCCTAGAAATCATCGTACCTTCAATTAAAGACGACGGTACGTGGACAGAATCTGCCAGGTAACATTCTTATCTGTCCTTGTCGAGTTTGTGTTTTAAATTTTTATCATACGGTATGTACAGTCGGTGATAGAGAACGTTTTCGCATGACGTCTTTATTAAAAATAAATATCTTTTAAGCTTAAATGGTATATTTAGAAAATTATCGAAGACATTATAATTATACATGTCCTACAATGTAAAATTTCACAAATTGTTTTTGTCTGAATCTTAAATATTAAAGATCTAGAGACACTTGCAAAAAATCGTATAAGGAAGTAACTTTTAAAGATTTCCATTCAATGGTGATTATAAGGACAACTATATTAATAAATCATGTAGAACTGTATTTTAAACTCTTTGTAAACTGGTTTTTGTCTTCTGCCAGAATATTTGGATGCTATTAATACGTGCGTACGAGCACTATAATAATGTAATTTGAGTTTTATTTAGCAATTAATGTCTTAAATGATATGGGTTTTCTTCAGTGGCAACCCAGAGAAACTGTTTAGGGAACACCCGCTTATTGAACACCTTGGTGAAACATTATTGTCGGTGTTTGTCAGTATTGAGATGACAGGTCAAAATGTAGACGACGAGAAAAAGTTCAACTATCGTAAATCTATGCACAAGATATTGCAATATATCTGGAAAATACCTCTACACAAGAATGCCATTAAGGTGGACATTACATTTATTTGATTTACTGTGAATACTATTATAATATTGATCACGTCTGTGTTTCTTTATATATTTTTGTTCATTACATGAGGTAAACTAAGTTTAAAGTGTTCAATAAAAACACATCATAATTTTTATTATTGGCACATAACGTTTGTTTGCTTTTCTGTCATTTACATTTTCCGTCGTATTTTTGTAATAAATGGAAAAAAATCTTATAGAGAAAACAAGAGAAGTTTTACTAAGACTTCACTCGATTGAAACGTCATTGTATTTCATTACTATTTTCTAAGATGTTTTTGTTTATTTAGCAACTGTCAGAGAACGCAATGTCCACCATTGACAACCCAGAACCTCCGTTGTTTTTACGCTTCATAAACTTACTGATCAATGATGCAATATTTCTGTTGGACGAGGCACTTGATGTAAGTAAAACCAATTTTGTTAATATTGAAAAACATTATCCCACTCGAACCTAGAGTGATTAGAGTGATTTCCCTTTTTCAAGCTCAGTCTGACAGTTCCTGAAATAAGAATTATAGCACAATTTTTGTAGTTTGATATTGAAATCTTTAAACCATAGATTGGCCTGTTCTAAATTCAAAGCAGGAAATATAAATTTCACAAATTAAGGATTAAATGCTTAAATATGGAAATGAATCCAGAATGCAAACAACGAAAAATATTGAATGTTGAAGCCATATGGCATTAAATTTCTGTAAAGTATTACATTTTTCTTTAGCAATGATTTGATCAAACTTTACGCTGTCTAGATATAGAACACAATAAAGGAAAGAAATAGTGTACTAAGGAGAACATTGCTAGTAATCATGCATTTAAAAAGAAATAAGAAATGTACATTATTTTCAAATGTATGTTATTTTTTGTTGTACATAGCATATGAAGCGAATTCGTACAGAAGAACTAGAGAGGGACAGTGGTAAATGGACCAAGTTAACAGCAGAGCAATTCCGTGACAAGGAAACTGGCCTTAGACAACTTGGTATGATGGGACACTACAGGAACATTATGGCAAATCATACGATATATACGTTAGAAATTCTCACCAGAGAAATTAGAGGCATTTTTTGTCATCCAGTGATGGTCGATAGAATTGCCGGCATGTTAAATTACTTTATGGAACATCTTGTGAGCACTTTTTCACATATTTAGTTCTCTTATGTAAGATTCAACTGATTGCAACTATGTTATTATTGTTATGACAACCAATTGCCAGACACTCTTTGTGTCGCTGAATTTATTTTTTATAAAAGTGATGATTTTCATTGACTGCTGCCGTGTACTTATTAATGATTGCTTCTATGTTTTAAAATGTTCCAGGTCGGTCCAAAGCAACGTGATTACAAGGTGAAGGACAGAAAAGAGTACGAGTTTAAACCGGAGCAGATTGTGTCTGATATTGCTCACATCTACGTGTATCTTGGTCGTGATGAAAACTTCTGCAAAGCTGTGCTAGGCGAATCAAGATCGTTCTCACACAATCTCTTACCGCAAGCAGTATCTGTTCTCTCTAAAATAGGTGTTTCACAGGACTTTATTGCCAAGTTTGAAGATTTATCAGTCAAACTGAAGGTATCTTTTTCTTGAAATACCCAAAATGTAATACCATTTTTATTTGTTTTGAAGTTGGGATAAAAAAAAATTATATTCCATCGAACATGAACATTAAATTTCATATCAGAATAAATGCACTGCATGCGCCTTTATCTTTTAAAGTGACACTCCTGAGATTTTGTTTTTGACCATTTACTTGTGTGCAAAAATTGATGTCATCTGCTTCAAAATTATTCAAATTTGAAATTGAAAATCGTTGCAACGCTTTTCATTCAAATTGGTTTTAGGGTAGAGATAAGATACAATTTTAATTCTTTTAATAGTACAATGAATACTCATAATTTTCTTTTGTTACTCTTTCTGTTTTAAGTACCACAGTTGATCTATGTACGAAATGCAACTTTCATTGTTTTAGGCTTTTAAACCTCAGAGGAGTTCCTTCAACTTTCCTTTATCTCGTAAAATTTATTATATCTGTAATAATACGTTTAATATAAATCATTAATTGTTATTTTGCTAAGTCGCTGGAAGTGGACCAAAAACGTGAAGAAGAGATGGTAACTGATGCACCTGAGGAGTATCTGGATCCGATCATGGGGACATTGATGCTTGATCCAGTTCGACTCCCAACTTCTAGCACAAACATAGACAGGGCCATTCTCGCTAGGCATCTTCTAAGGTAATAATTTGCTTTGATTTCAACAAAATTTTAACATATATATTTCTAAGGAAGTCGGTATTGCGTGAAAAGTTTATTGTTTGGTTTATTTACACTTACACAGTAAAGATTATTTAGCGGCATTTCAGCTTTACTGGTGAAGGAGAAAAACGGACACCTGAGTAGATCCGCCGACGCTCCGAAAGCTAACTGGATGGCTTTCTCACATAAAAGAATCTAAATTTCCCTGGCGAGATTCGAATCCACAACGAGGGCCAAGTGGTTTGAAATCAACAACAATTTACTTTAACCACTTGGTTACTATGTAGTTTAAGAAACTGATTAAAGTTATTCCATATAAGTTGCTTGTATTTTGATATGGAAATCCGTTATACTTTAAATGAACTATTCCTGATTCAAAGCAGACATGTTCATTAAAAAAATTCAGCAGGTTAACTTAAAGTTTTATTTTGTATATCTTCAACAGTGACCAGAGAGACCCGTTTACAAACCTACCACTGTCTATGGAAATGGTAACACCCAATACAGAATTACGGGAGAAAATAGAAGAATGGAAGCGTTCCAAACTTCAGGGAGAAAAATCTTCATCAGATTCCTGATCAATTTTACATTAATAAATCTAGAAGGGATATCAAAGTGTACATGAATAATCTCGATGGCAATTTAAAATTTATTTACAAACGCGCCGAATTTGTATGTATCAAAATGCATCGTTTGTGAAGTAAAATAACAAACAGGTGAAACTGTATGGTTAAATTAGTGACAAAAGTACTAGTTAAATCGCATGCATAATTGAATATGAAACAACCCCACACCCAAACCCTACCCACCACCAAGTAGAATTGCATGAATAATTGTATTATTTGTCTACCAGTGACAAAATTAATCAGTAAAATTGCATGTATGTTACTGAATAAGTGAGAAATAAAGAATTCATTGTGCATTTACATGTAGTAAGAAAAGAAGCCGTTAAAAGTAATTGAAGAAATCAGTGCTGGTCATTGATAAATTTTATGAAAATTGTAACCTACAAATATCTTATCTATTCTTATACAACAGAAAGGTGTGCCATTTGAAACTGTGATAAAATACCCATTTAATATTTATATTTTATTTTAATTAATAAACTTGCAAACATTTTATATCTTTGTTATTTCTGTTCACAAGTTCATTAAATAAATTCAAACATATGTTCAAAAACATATAGTAACCTTCCTCACCTTACCAATATGATTAAATTGTAGTAATAAACTGATCGGTATGGGCAATGAACTGTTTGGTTTGGCATTGAACTTTTTAGTTTGAGCAATGAACTGCTTGGTTTAAGTAATGAAATACTTGATTTGGGCAATGAACTGCTTGGTTTGGGTCATGAACTGCTGGGTTTGGGTAATGAACTGCTTGGTTTTGGTTATGGACTGCTTGGTTTGGGTAATAAACTGCTTGGTTTGGGTAATGAACTGCTTGCTTTCGGCAATGAACTACTTGGTTTGGGTAATGAACTGCTTGGTTTGGGTAATGAACTGCTTGGTTTCGGCAATGAACTACTTGGTTTGGGTAATAAACTGCTTGGTTTCGACAATGAACTGCTTGGTTTTGTTAATAAACCGCTTGGTTCGGATAATAAACTGCTTAATTTGGGCTACTTCGTGTAAATAAAATTTTATGTTATGTTCTTTTTTAAGATAAGGAAACGCTATGTAAATGGCGGCTGCACAATGAGATTAATAATTATTATAATACTGTGAACATTTTTTGCGATATCTTAATATTCGCTGTTATCGCCGAATCTATGGGATTCCATAAACGTCACAGTCTTCTGTTTACTGTAAACTGCAGACGATGTTTTTGTTTATGTTTGGTTCCATACAGATCAAAGTTATGTTAGCCAGATCATAGTTATGTTAGCCAGATCAAAGTTATGTTAGCCAGATTAAAGTTTTTTTAGCCAGGGCTTTTCGTTGGAATTTTTAATTCGGACTATATACAGATGATTTTCAACGAATATACAGAGTGAACAATTGGAAAAAATAATGAAATAATAAAACATGTTAATGGTTTTATTATTCTAATTTAATTGTATATATGTACAAGTATAGCATCCACTTCACTACATTAACGCCCACTTCACAAATAAACATTATAATTTCATCCATATACCATATTGATAGATCGAAGTTTTCTTTCTATCATTATTATATTTTTCTGTATTATATATTTCTTTGAACGACAACCGACCTCTTTCAATACACATTTACATTCTGTTCATTTTTTTATACATGTATTTAATATTATATTTTTTAAATACTTTAAATTATAAGCTATCAAAAACTTATTGGACGAGTGAAAGGAATTTCATGCACAATAAAATAAGTTTTCAAATACTTAACTCATAAAGCATCATATTCAAATTATTGTTGTTTTATGATATGAAATTGCAATCAGATATCTAAACATAAACTGAATAACATTCAATGTAAAACACACGTCTTCCCGTACAATAACATTCAATGTAAAACACACATCTTCCGTACAATAACATGCAATGTAAAACACACATCTTCCGTACAATAACATGCAATGTAAAACACACATCTTCCGTACAATAACATCCAATGTAAAACACACATCTTCCGTAAAATAACAATCTATTATGCAACTATTAAGAAAAGCAACAAAAAAAAATGTAACTACTGAAAAGTCTAAGATATTTGTTTATTTTAATGAAGGGTGTATAATTTCACTGTTGATTAATTTTATAAAAAAATGTAATAAAAGATATAGCCTAATACCTTTTCATAGTATGCACTTTTTATTAGTTGTATAACTTTACAAATATGAAAGACACGTATCATCAAATAATTAATAAAAGATTATTTAGAAATACAAGTATTTTTCTATATGATATAATAACTAAGTGTCAGACTGACATAAATGACAATCAAAATAAAGAAATTCTGAATATATAAAAATGAACAATACAAATAATATGAAACGTAATTTCCTGAAAACAAGATTCATATCATCTGATGCTTACAATATTGTTAGATTTTCTGTTAAAATATCATGTACTATCAATTTCAATAAAATATTTGTTAAGAATATTTAATTACTGTTTTAAAGATAAAAATAGCATGGGGGTACACGCTTTTAAGAATAAGCTAGTTAATATTATGACGTAATTTCGTTTCATCAAATGGGCTTTTCTTGGAATGGAGTCTGCTTATAATATTGAAATTGGAAACTATTTGATTCTAATAACGTATAGTTCGTATTATCATCAGGATATGTGTACCAATGTATCATCAATTCAAAACGCATTAATCAAATACGGTAAAAGAACATTCTATGGCAAAAAATGCAATTTTCACAAACACATTGAAGAAGTTTTGTCAATAGAAATACATGGTGGTCATCCCAATTTTAGATTCTGGTTAGTGTTGTCTTCTTTGAACATTAGTTAATATTCCATCCTGTGACCTCATCACCGCTGACAATCGCCATTTTACTTCATGATCCGGGTTTAGGCTGAACTTGAAACTGAAAATGGATTTTACACGAGCTTATTTTAATATCATAGATTGTTATCGTTCAGTTTTTAATAAACTAATATAAGCATACTTTGAGTGTCTTCACATATAACCAAATTATTAGTTCAAACATATTTATATTACGAATATATACATATAAATATGTACATTTACATTACAAATCAAACTTTTATATTCAAGAGTCTGATGAAAGTCTTTTGAAATTCTTCTCCTTTTAAGTGTGTCGTGTTTTGTACTATCAATTTATTTAATTGATTAAAATCGTGGAAATAAAGGGAAAATCAGAATGACGACCGAGGTGGTAGATTAAATATTGAATATAAATTAAATATATTCCTTATGGCATCTGATAAGATAAAAACTTACTTATACAGAAGTTTCGCAAGAACTACTTTCTCCTCGTTCATTGCAAAATTTTGACCAATACAGTTCCTATAATAAAAATAAAAGATTTTGTAAAATGCAATTACAATAAAGTAAAGGAGCATACGTGTTCCGAACAATAGCTCACACGTAGTTTTAAGTGTCCGCTTAAATGTGTTTTGTGTTCCTATAAAAGTTAATATTTTCCATTGCTTTCTAGTATTGTGTTATAAAATTTGTTCTTATACTGTACTACAATGATATCTTCCTAAATATAAAAAAAAACTTCACAATATACTGTTTCGCGTAATAAAAATTTCAATATTACTGTTTCGACGCTGAAAATACAAGCAGATAAAGCTTATCATAGCAGGAAACAGTGTATTTTTTGGCGTCAAAATGCACGATATATCTTTGTTGCTTACTTTGCTCAACATGTTATTGGTATTGAAGTTAGCGCAATAGCGACACAATTTCACTGAACATTTACCAAGTTTCATTGACAAGTTTCTTGCCCTTGACCGCAAGAAAATGGAACACTTACCTTGGGCCACCAGAAAAGGGAACAAACTGGTATGGGTCCATCTTTGCAACATTATCTTTAGTGAATCGTTCAGGTTTAAATTCCATATGATCTTTTCCCCACACATGTTCGTTATGATGTAACATCAATATGTTTATCTGAATGACAAAAACTACCTTCGTTAAACCATAATAATAATAATAATAATAATAATAATAATAATAATAATAATAATAATGATAATAATAATAATAATAATAATAATTATACAAGCTTTTAGCACGTGATCTTAGCAACATAAAAACACGTTTTTACTGTGAGATTATATCCGGACCTAAAAAATAAACGGTGTTTAATATTATGTCACGGACTTGTTCTTGGAATTGTGTCTAGATAACGGTATCAAAATATTACAATTCAGCATCCAACACTTTAGTCTGTACAGGTTGTAAGTAAGTGTAGACTGGTCCGACATGGTGATATCATCAAATACATCATCATTATAAATATAAAACATAATGATTAAAAAATCCCTACGCTTAATTAGACTAATCATAACCGATAAAACAGTCTTAGAAAATAACAAACCCTGGATGTAGTAATAAGGTATATATATATTTTTCACTTCTGATTTGGAAAATTATGCCTGTGTCACATAAACAGTAATCGATCGTCTTAAAGTTCATTTTGTGCCACTTTTGTTAAGCTTGTATATAGCTTCTGCAAATACAATCAAATTCCTCTTTAATACATTAACGACACATAATTATAAAATACGTGCGACTATTATAAATAAAATGAAACCACTTACCATTACAGAAGTTCCTGCTGGCACCACGGTATCCCCTAGATCAAATGGTTTCGTTGTTTGACGAGCGACTATAGCAACAGGGCAGTGAAGTCTCATACCTTCCTTTATACACATAGATAAATACTCTAGATGTGGCAAGTCCGACCTAACAATGTCAAAAATATCAATTTAGGACATTTAAATACACTTATGCAAGTCCTGAAATCCTAACCTGCAGAATGTGTGGAATAGACGTGAATTGAAAACATTAACAAACATTAATTGAAGAAACAACAATAATATGTTATTGCGTTTCAGTATCAACGCATTAAAATTAAATTGTTAATATATTTATAATTGTATGGTAAAACTGCAATAGATGTATAGACTGGCAGGTAGCTGTATTCGATGCACTGGTTCAGAGGAACATGCTTTAAACATTTGCTAGATAATAACAGGTAAATCATTAACAAAATGCATTGTCATTTTCAGTGTAATACAATGTACCGTTATTTTAAATAGAATGAAACATTTTCACGACAGAATAAAATATATCATTTAACAATGGAGATAGATTTTAACACTGTGTAATCAGACATATGTTCATGTATTATAGATTTCCTATGGACATAAACGTACAAACAACAGTAAAAAAGTATTGCTTAAAAACAGCTACCATTTAATATCGTCTGATTCTCTACCATTTAACAAATCATCAATTTCTTCCTGACATTTCTCCTGACATTCCGGATGTTTAGCAAGAGAATATAATATCCACGAGATGGCGCTAGCTGTAGTATCGTGACCTACAAAATCAAACAAATTCCATACGTATATATTGCTTGATAATATACATTTTTACTACATGCATTTTATTAATATGTGTATATTGTCTTGTTTAAGTCCTGTTCCATTTTCGTCCTTGTTTCCAAATAATTGATAAGATTGACAATCTACGTTGTCTCTAACTAACGTTATATGAGAGAAAAAATCCGAATGGATATGGAATTTAAATTCAGCAAACTGCAATAGACGGACTTTGAAAGCTGTTAAACATAAAATTACATGTAAACCTATTTTAGAACGGATGATAATAATTTATAGAAACACCGATTGACTTCAATGATTTCAATCGCATGACATTCGTATTTTGTTGATTTATATCTGGCTCCATATATTTTAAATTAAAAAGACCATTAGAAACAAATGACCATTCGGGTAGATTAATAATAATTTTTCAAAAAGGTATATTGTTGTTTTTAGACAATTTATTACAATAGCACAGTTGACATATTCCCACACTGGTTTAATAGTACTTGTTAAACATTAACAATTATTACTTGCTAAAATTGTGAAACGGAAATGTCCTGTTTGTGCAAAGGCCCATTACAAGTGCAAAGGAATTCACTATCAAAATACAAAATTTGATCTATAGACCAACATGTAGTATATAGCATAGTCAGACTGCATGCACGTGCAGGAAGGCTTGTTTATACATTGATGACAAGGGCAAATCATTTCCGGGTTCTGCATGTTAAGGGTTAACTGTACTTGCAGATAGAGTATACATACCTTCAAATAAGAATGTGTCGACTTCGTTTCTTATATCCATATCAGATAGGCCTGTTCCATTTTCGTCCTTGGCTGTGAGTAAAATATCCATAAAGTCACGGTACTTTTTCGGTTTTAATTCTCCCAGCTTTTCCTGATTAAGAAAATATCTAGCATGTCTAAAAATCAAAAAAAAATTATTTCCGGAAGGATATTTTTGTCCTTAAATAAAACAATATATAAAATTTCATTGTGTATAGTATCGACTTTTGTTCTTCTATGAAAATTAATGCACACAAGTTTTAAGAAATACAGCGTATCCATTGGATGACAAATAAAGCTGGACACTAAATAAGTATTTACATGTTACCGATCGCGTCACGAAACAAAATGACTTACTAAATCATGTGTTTTGCATTAAAGGACATCTTAAAACACTTTTTATTGTGTTTATTGTAATCTACGTATCGAAATCTATTTTAAACAGAAAAAAACATGCCTATTCTTGGCCACAGGCTTTAGATAAAACATTGCAAATTAGTTTTAAAAAAAAAAACATTCGAAATAAAAGATATTGGGTCATCGTACACTTTCGTTGGTATAGAATTATTTTTTATGAATACCAAAGTGCGTCTCCGTTTGTTTATAATGTCTTCTGCGACACCGTGAACAAAATCACAATCTTGCTTGTACTTTTTCCCCATCTTAGTTCTGTAGAATATTATATCTGGTGCCATAAAAGGATTTCTGTAAAACAATAGTGAGTCAATGCACCTTGTTCCTCAGAAGCACGAGGACATATCTAAACCCCGAGCACGTAGGGCTTGTGATTAAATAAGTCTGAGGACTTCTGCAGCTGTTAATGCACGAAAAAGATGTGCATTAGTGCTATTCTTGCATAAAAGTATATTTGTTATTTGTTTTTTTTTTCGTATAAAAAACGTTTTAACATGCTCTTTATGTCCTAGTGCGATGACATTTGACAGACATATTTTAAAATGTACGTCACTTCAGTAAGTTATTATTACATGTGCAACTAACGACGAAAACTTAGCAATAGATGGGCTAAATGAAGAAGAACTCTTATTCCGGAGTGATAACATTAGGTAATTGTAATCTATTTAATTTAACAAGAAGTATTGTTTTATAAGTAGAATCATGAACTAGTCTATTGTACTGAAACAAAACAAAGGTTGCACGTTAAGTTGGTATGTTATTATTCAAGAATACTTATACACTTATCAAAACTTACTTAAACAAGAGGGCCATGATGGCCCTAGATCGCTCACCTGAATTATCAAACTCATCCAAACAATTACCTAGACAAGCATTCTGACCAAGTCTCATGACAGGTGAGTCAAAAATGTGACCACTACAGTGTTAACAAGGATTATCCATATTTGAGCAGTGCGACCTAGTTTTTTACCCAGGTGACACATATTCAAACTTGACCTAGAAATCATCAAAACAAACTTTCAGACCAATTTCCAAGATACTTGGATCAAAACAGTAGCAACTAGAGTGTTAACAAGATTTTTCTATTTTTAGCTCCGGTGACCTAGTTTCACATGCGATTTCGAACTCATCCAAGCAATTACCTAGACAAGCATTCTGACCAAGTTTGATGATAATGGAGTCGAAAATGTGACCACTAGAATGTTTACAAGGTTTTTCCATATTTGGGCGGTGTGACCTAGTTTTTCATCCAAGATGACCCATGTTCGATCTTGACTTAGAAATCATCAAAACAAACTTTCAGGCCAATTAACAGAATATTTGGGTCACAACAGTAGCCACTAGAGTGTAAGATTTTTCTATTTTTAGCTCCTGTGACCTAGTTTTTCATCCGAGATGTCCCATGTTTGATTTATTTCCAGCAATGACCTAGACAAACATCTTGACCAAGTTTGATGACAATTGAGTCAAAATTGTGACCACTAGAGTGTTAACAAGGTTTTTCTATTTTTAGCTCCTGTGACCTAGTTTTTCATCCGAGATGACCCATGTTCGAACTCATCCGAGTTATTACCTAGACAAGCATCTTGATCAAGTTTGATGATGATTGATGCAAAAATGTGACCGATAAAGTGTTAACAAGGTTTTTCTATTTTTAGCTCCGGTGACCTACTTTTTCATCCGAGATGACCCATGTTCGAACTCATCCAAGCTATCAACTAGATAAGCATCCTGACCAAGTTTGATGATGATTGATGCAAAAATGTGACCGCTAGAGTGTTAACAATGTTTTTTCTATTTATAGCTCCGGTAACCTACTTTTTCATCCGAAATGACCCATATTCGAACTCATCCGAGCTATTATCTAACAAGCATCCTGACCAAGTTTGATGATGATTGGGTCAGAAATGTGACCTCTAGAGTGTTCACAAGGTTTTTTATTTTTAGCTCCTGTGACCTAGTTTTTCATCAGAGATGACCCATGTTCGAACTCATCCAAGCAATTGACTAGACAAGCATTCTGACCAAGTTTGATGATGATTGGTTCAAAAATGTGACCACTAGAGTGTTCACAAGGTTTTTCTATTTATAGCTCCTGTGACCTACTTTTTCATCCGAGATGACCCATGTTCGAACTCATCCGAGCTATCACCTAGACAAACATCCTGACCAAGTTTGATGAAGATTGGGTCAAAAATGTGACCTCTAGAGTGTTCACAAGGATTTTCTATTTTTAGCTCTTGTGACCTAGTTTTTCATCTGAGATGACCCATGTTCGAACTCATCCGAGCTTTCAACTAGATAAGCATCCTGACCAAGTTTGATGATGATTGAGGCAAAAATGCGACCGCTAGAGTGTTCACAAGCAATTGTGGACGGCCGGACGGACGACGGACGACGGACGACGGACATTCATCGATCCTAAAAGCTCACCCTGAGCAAGCTCAGGTGAGCTAAAAAGCGAAAAACGATCGCATATTTTCGACGTAATGTTACTCGATTACAGCTTGATTAAACTGGACACCGTCTAAACTTAAACTCACACAATTGGCGAAGAGTTGTTCTGTCGGCACTTTTTCAAAAGAGTACACAATAATGTTACAAAAAGTATAATTTGTCAATTTCTTTACTGGTCAATTTCACATCGCTGACTCTGTGATGTCAGAAAGATTGAGATATTAAAATAATTTGCCGAAAATCGTCTGCATACCGTGAATATTGGCATCGCATAATGGCAAGCAACAAGAATTAACCTTTAAATAACCATCTTTTTACTAAATAACCATCTTTTTACATGTAGCTTAATGAACTTGGGTATTAACAGCTGTAACTGTGCTTAATATTTCCAGAAATAAATGAAATGTTGCATGGTTTAACTGTTAATAAAAAAAACAGAATCCCTAAAGAAAGCCCAACACTGCAAAATTGAAAATGTTGCAGGCTCGGTTTGATTGAGCCTGTTTATGAACGGTACTGGAAAGTGCAAGTTACGTCCAAGACCCCTAGCACCGGCTTAAGCAGAATTCAACATTTAAACAGGAAAATGGTAAAACAATTTGAGTTGAGAAACATCCTTAAATGTGTTCATAGAGTAGTGCCATTCCATGAAAAGCGATGTATGGTCCTCAATTTACAATGTTGCGCTAATTAGATTTTGCTAGACTTTTGATATGTTTTATTTCATTCCATATGCTTTCTGTAGCAGGCAAAAAAAATTCTGTTGCAATTTCTTTAGGTCGATTTACAGACTGACTAGACTAATAAAAAATAAACCACCTCAAGGTATTATCACATTGTTGGAGGTTTATAGAATTTTGCAACAGAAGACGACCTTGTTGGTTACTGATACCTGAGACGCTGCGTATTCAATGTAGCCAAGTCATTCACTGCTTGTACATATGGATGAGTCTCTCTGAAAAGTAATTTATAGATCGTCACGATATATGTACATGTATCTTATGACAATAGCTTATTCAGTAACTATACAAGAAAATCGCAAGAAAACATTAAATTCAAATACTTGGATTAACAATAAATGTATGTAAAGAAATTGTATTGAATTTCAGTTGGAAAATTTGCTATTCGCTTGAAAATATAATTGTGTATATTTGTTTACAATTACAAGAAATTGTACAGTTAAGTCTCCACTGTTACCACATCCTCCACACACAGTGATTATTAATCATATTCACAACGCAATGTTCAAACATGACATATTTTAAGATGTCATTGTCTTTTATATTGAACGCCATGATGAAACAGATTAAACAACTAAAGTAAATGTTTGAAAAGTATAACAATTTGCAGGAACAATTTTGTACAGCGGTATCCGTGCAATCAGCTTCGGACCTAAAAGTTTTCGTTTCATTTTGTATTCATTCAGTGTAGCGTAATGAAAAAAATACTGCTTAAAGATCATTGGCAGTTATATTTGCAGTTTTAATAATATTGTATGTCAGAGAAATTAAGTTATCACCCGCTCCGCTGCACGTCAATCTCATACGAGAACGCACATCTTAAAATGATGTCAAGTGTACAAAGGCAAATCTGTTGAAATACATCAAACTCCGTGTTCTTGTCTGCAAACTTTCCCAACTTCTCCTGTAAAATATAAAACATATACAATGTATATTTTTCTATACATCTTTATCAACAACTGTCTTCAACAACTTGATGTAGGTATCTACAATATGTTTATTTCTTACGTAATCAAAATAAATATCTCAAATGTGTCAAATATTTTGATTTAAATTACCATTTCACTATATGATTACCAAAAAATAAGATAAAAAAACGTTGTACACATATTATATTGTTCAGAATTTAGTAATACAACGACACATAAATATCGATATCAATAAAGTCATTTACGATTTATAACACGTCACTTACAAATAAAATCGCGTCACTTACGATAGTAAATAAGGTCATTAAAGATTAATAAAATGTCACTTACGAATAAAATCACGTCACCAACGATAATTAATAAAGTCATTTGCGATTAATGACCCATCACTTATGAATAAAATCACTTCCCTTTCAATAAATAATACGTCATTTACGAATAATATAATAGCACGTCGCTCACGAATAATACTGCGAGAAAAACGCGTCACTTACGATTCATAATACGTCTTTTAGATTAATACAAAGAAACAGCATGTCACTCTCGATTTATGCAGGAGACAACGCGTCATTCACGATAAGTACAACCAGAAAACATGTCACTTTCGATCAATACACCAAGTAAACCCTTAAAACACGCAACTTATGATAAATGCACCGAAAAAAGCATGTTCTTACGATTTATATATCGCGCCACTTAAGCATTAGGCCTATACACCTAGGAAAGGGTGTCACTTACGATTATAAAGAACGAGAAATACACGTCACTTACGATTAAGACATTTGCTGAGTCGTTGTAAACATCAATGTACGGTTTGAGAATATCGAAGTGGAAGGCAGGTGTTAGCAGTCGTCGGTTTCGTGCCCATTTTTCTCCTCCCGAGATCAATAATCCATCCCCGAGCCAGTCCTTTAATGTTCTGTAACCGCTAGTTAGGTGCATAGGTTTTGGTTCTGAAATAAAAAATTAGTGAAAGTCTCTATTCAACAGCACAAACATTTTATAAATATTATTACGAAAGACTTGAATAAAATTTAAAATTGAGACATAATTTATGAAAATTTTCTAGCAAAGACAGTAACATCATAAAATCTTGTTTGTTTGTTTGTTTGTTTGGGTTTTAAGTCACACAGACACAGTTTATGTCATATGTCGACGTTTCAGCTTTACTGGTGGAGGAATACCTCAGGTGCCCTTCCGTGCATAATTTTAGGCATGAACGGGCACCTGAGTAGAACCTCCGAAGTTCCGTAAGCTAGCTGGATAGCTTCCTCACATGAAATAATTCAACTCAGATCATGATGAACTTTAAATTTGATATTTGAATGATTCCTTAAAACTAGAATTGTAATTGTACCTGCTGTTTTAAGAATTCTCTTCATGCTTGATGGATGACAAGCAATGATTATAGGAGTCCCTAAGGCTCCCCACATTCGAACGTATCCCCTCTCTTTAGAAAACGTGTTCCCCCACTCAAGAAATTTATACAGTCTTTGTTGTTGATCAAGTGTTCGCATCTGAAAAACAAGTGTCTTGGTGTGGTAATGGTAGAAATTATCATGTTGACATTTTAGACTTTGATACAGTCGTATATAAAATTAAACAAAGTATCAGAACATCGTGGCATTAACATTTTCAACAATCTCTTTACGCGTATTAGAAGAAAACATGACAAATTATCATAAGAATTTCCCCTCCCCAGTGATAATATTAAAAACGCGAATCTACAAAAGTATGAAAATTCAACTCGCTGATTATATATTATATTATATTATATTAAATCATATCATATCATATCATATCATATCATATCATATCATATTATATTGTTTTCTTTTTAGTCAAGCCAGCATAGCCTTAGACGGCTGCGTTTTTCGTGTTTTTGTTGGTTTTTTTTTCATATATAAAACCGATTGTCGGACAATTTACACCAAGCTTATCACCGGTCAAATTACGTGTATAGATATTGAAATCCGGAACTCGGCAAATTTAATCCCGGGTACAGACAAATGTTAATCGTTATAGCCGAGTTTAAAATAGAGCGATCAACGCGTTGCGCTTAGTTCTAGGCCTAAACCAGAACCAAGTGATCTCCTATGTCAGTATCTCCTCGTACTTTAACAAGGCGTCATCAGTATCTTACAATATAACCTAAGTAATGATTTCACTAACATAAATATTATCTATCTATCTATCTATCTATCTATCTATCTATCTATCTATCTATCTATCTATCTATCTATCTATCTATCTATCTATCTATCTATCTATCTATCTATCTATCTATCTATCTATCTATCTATCTATCTATCTATCTATCTATCTATCTATCTATCTATCTATCTATCTATCTATCTATCTATCTATCTATCTATCTATCTATCTATCTATCTATCTATCTATCTATCTATCTATCTATCTATCTATCTATCTATCTATCTATCTATCTATCTATCTATCTATCTATCTATCTATCTATCTATCTATCTATCTATCTATCTATCTATCTATCTATCTATCTATCTATCTATCTATCTATCTATCTATCTATCTATCTATCTATCTATCTATCTATCTATCTATCTATCTATCTATCTATCTATCTATCTATCTATCATATTACTTTATGGTGACTAACATTGTCGAGTTAATGCAGATCTAAGTAAACAAGTTTAAGAAATTTATTTTTATGCTTTGACATCAGATTCGTACAAAGTTCTTACAGAACTTTGCCAGAATCTTTCTCATTAAACAGGACGTGATTGAATAATTTGGCAAAGAAACGAGCTAATGATGTCAATAATACATAACAACACGTGATGGCGAACTGTTACCATATAATGTATGCTCTGTCAGAAATATAGCTGTTGTAATAAGTTGTCATCTATGTGACTGATGAAGCATACAAAGTGGTAAAATTTTACTTACATCTACAAAACTTCCATAGAGCCAGTTGCGTTCTTTTGGTCCTGGAAGATCGCCGAATATCCTCTCGACTTGTTCTACGAGTATTTCGGATGAAAAGAATTAATTTGGGAAGATCGCAAAAAATGGCGGGCCAATCACCAATGCCCGTCTGCCAGCAACAAGTGATGTTTGAGGGCACGATAACTTTTACTTTTGGGAAACCAGTGACGTTCAAATCCTAAATGCACCAATCAGACTCAACATCTTGGAAACTGTGGAGGAAAAAATTGATGTTATTAATACATGATTATTGGACTTTCGAAAATATCTACAGTAGTTTTAATGTTAATTTCAATCAGAGCTTGACAATACGACAACCGTGTAACGTTTGATATAGAAATTCGTCGAATACTAACATACATGATGGGTTATAGGTAAAACTTTTTTACCAATTATCTGTATTTCACAGATGATTTTGCCAATATAAACAATCACATGTATTATTTTGATTGTTATTGTATTTCCAGTGTAATAATAATAATAATAATAATAATAATAATAATAATAATAATACGATAATAGGAATAATAAAGACTTTATTTAAAGGTGGGGAACTCTTTTGAACAAGCTATCAATCTTTTATGGGGCCTTTAACAAGGAACAATATAATGTTAACATATTCAAACTATTAAAATACATAAATGATAATATATACATGAAATTATCAATTTGTATTTATGAATGTGTGATAATATCTCAAGTATAAGGTTTTGAAATGGTTTACAGTTATTTAATCAGGAATGCCGTTCTATAAACAAGATCCAGAATAAACAAAAGACTTAAAGTCTTTCTCTAGAATTAGTCTTGCAGATATCTTTTGGAACTTAAAATGAGTTTATCGTCTAGAAAAGACGTACAGTTACCGTAAATTATGCAACAATAGTCAAGATGTGGTAAAATATATGCATTTTATAAAAAAATTTTAACGTACAGGTATAGATTATGAATAATTTTATTACGAGATAATAAATTGTAACAATAGTTGCATTTTTAAGAACAATTATCAATATGACTTTGTAAAGACATGCGTTTTATAATTGTAATAACCAATAATATTTCTTCAGCAGCTATTCAACAATTTGCTCTGTATTATTTACGAAATTTACCAAAGGATTACTTTCATTTTAAGATAAAAATTTTGCTTGTGTTTTGAGGAAATATAAATGACCTTTAATTTTGTTAGCATTGATAGACATGGCGATTCAAATCACACCATTTGTTGACATTTTAAAAGATCATGAGTAAGAGATTAACTACTCTGTTTAATGGGTACATCAGATGTTGTTAAGGGTGGTTCAGTCAGCAAAATATTCAGTTTCTGTTTTTTTTCCCTAAAACCCAAAGGGAGGTCATTTATATAGAAATTAAAAAAAAATAAAGGACCTAGAATTGACCCTGAGGGAAATTTTTTTATAACTTTAATATTGGAAATTGAAACCCGGGTATTAAGTTTGGATATCTTTCAATTAAATAAAGGGGGAAAAAACCCAAACAACTGATGAAGGGTCAGGTTTTTTCATTCTTAAACTTTTCCCCAAAAAAAAATTTGGGGTGGGGGGGTTTAAAAAACTTTTTTTAATTTTTTAAGGGAAAATAGAACCAATATTTCCTTTTTTTACCCAAAAGTTTTCCAAATCAGGATTATTTTTTAAAAACAAAAGGGAAGGAATGTTTTTAAACCCCCTCCCAACTAGTTGGTAAGCAAAAAATTTTGCCCTTTTTGTGGGAACCTGGAATGGCGTTTTTTTCCAAAAATAAGGATTTTTTCCCAAAGTGGAAATTTTGGGGAAATTTCTTTAAATTTTAGGACCCCCTTTTTTTTAACTGGGAATTGACCTTTGGGATTTTTAAAAAATTTTTTAGGTTTTAAAAGTTTTAAATAGCATAAATTTTAATACCTAGGGTAAAAGGGTTTTTAAAAAAAAAAAAAAATTGGGGCCAGGTTTAATTTTGAAATCTTTCAAAAAAAGGGGAACCATTTTTACCCCCAAAATTTTGTTATAAAATTTATTTTTAATTTAATTGGTTTTAAAACAATTTCGTGAACTTTATTTTTTTGGTAATTTTAAATTTTTTAATCTTAAAGGGTTTTTATACATTTTCCCTTCCCCAAAAAAAACTTTTTTTGGGTTTTTTTTTAAACCCGTTTTCAATCCAGATTTTGGGAAATTGGGAAATATTGTAAGGGTGTTTTTCCCCAAAAAGAATTTTTTAATTGTAAATGGGGGTTATTTTATTATTTAAATTTAATAAAACACCTTTTAAAGTAATTTAAAAAAAGGAAAAAAAATCCTTAAAAAGGTAACATGGAAAACAGAAAATTTCAAATAAAATTTTTTTAATTTAGGACAAATGTTTAATGTAGTTGGTCCCCCAAGGGCGTTGAAGTTTTTTTGAAACCCCGCTTTGGATTAAAAAAATGGGGAAAACAAAATTTTTTTAAGTTACATTTTTATTAAAATAATGAAAAAAGGGAATTCCCCCCGGGAAAAATTTTCCCCCAAAAGGGAAAATGAAAAAAATAAAAAAATTTTTGAAGGGGAAAAAGGGGGTTTTTTAACCTTTCATAAACCCTAAAAAAACTTCCCAAAAAGAACAATTAAAAAAACCCGGAAACCCCCTGAAGATTTTAAAAAATATTTTTTAAAAAAAAAAACCAAAAAATTTTAAACCTTTTAAAATTTTTAAAATTTTTTTTAATATTTAAAGGGTTTTTAAAATTTTTCCAAAATTTGTGGTTAAAAACATTAATTTTTAATTATTTTACTTTGGGTTTCTTTAATTTTTAATTTAAAAGAAAAGGGAGGAAAAAACCTTTTTTAAAAAAGGAAAAATTCCCGGAAAATTTTGAAATTTAATAAAAACCCCCCATTTCCTTAAAAAATTTTTTAAAAATAAAATTTGTTTAAATTTTAAAAGAATGGGAAAATTATTGGGGTTAAAAAAGACAAAACATTTTTTTTCATATACAAGAAAGGGTTGTTTCCAAAATATATTTAATTTTCCCAAATTTTTCTTTTCCAAAAAATAAAAATTCTTTACAGTAAAGGGGTTTTGCAAAAAGAAACAACAAAAAAAAACAAAAAAAAAAACAAATAAGAGCTGTCGGTAGGACAGCAACGCTCGACTATGCTTAGTGCTTGAAAGCAAAAAATCCTTGATATTGTAAAATTTTCTAAGTTAACAAAAGGGCAATCAATTTCTTTAAATCCATGTTGCAGGTAAAGGCTTGGAGAGAGTCCTATTATGCTCTCAAAGAAGAGTATAAAATTTCATCTTGTTTCAAAGCCATGTGTCAATGGACTTTGAAAATATTTGAGGTATTACAAAAACTTTAACAAAAGTTCTAAGTAAAAAAGGCATAATTCTGTCAAAGTGCTTGATAGAATTACCTCATCCTGTCTATAGGTTGAGGCCATGATGGTAAAGAAGAGTGCAAAGTTTCAAAGCCATATGTAAATGGACTTTGAAGATATTCGAGGTATTAGAAAAACTTTAACATTAGTGGTTACGCCGACGCCGACGCTCGGGTGACTACAATAGCTCTACTTATTCTTATCGAAAAGTCAAGCTAAAAACCAAATAAAAACGCCTTGGTATCTTAGGAACGGGAATCCCGAAAGAATGCCAAAAACGACAAAATTGAAAATGTTGCAGACTAGGTTTCATTGTGCCTGTTCATTGGCGGTATAAGAAAGTGCAAGTTACCGTACACGCCCCTAGCAACGGCTCAGAATTCAACATTTAAACACAAAAATGGTGGAATTTTGAATTTATAAACATTAGCAACGCTTGTTTAAAATATTGAAACTATATAATTAGTGTAGTAATGTTATATCTGCTACCAGGGCCAGATCAAATGTGTGCTTCAATGAAGTATAGCAGATATTTTTTAGATAAAACAATTACGAATTTATATGGATTTCATAAAAATAACGATCATATTTTTGGGTCGGCGGGGTTTCTCTTGATACGGTCGGGTTGTCAGAAACACAGAAATTATTGTTTGGTCTTGATATAAAAAGAATAAAAAGGGGACTCCATCTATAGAATATTTGTACATGATTCGTGGCATAATTTAAGCATTCTATAAGTATTGCATATTTTAACACAACTATTATCTACGAGTCCACACAACTATAAGCTATTAGTCACGTAATTTCATTAAATTAAAAAGTATATGACCAAAACCCGCTTACATAATTTTTCATAGCTCTCGGAGAACAAAATTGAAATTTGGAAGACCTATCTTTTTACAGTATAATTATCATGCATATTCTAACAACATAACAAGGTGTGTTTAGCATTCGGAACATCACGTCATTTACCGATAATCGGAATTTTGGCAAAAGCTGAAGCACTATTGATATAACCGCGAAATTATCAATAAGTAACAATATATTGCCAAAAGTAACAGGACACTGACGTTTAAAAAGCAAAAAAGAATATGTTACATATTTATTCATAGGTTAGTTTAAAGATTGGCTAAATCTTACGGTATAATTTCTTCATTTTTTTTTATTTTTTAAACTTTAATTTCCTATGTTTTTATCTTAGTTCATACATTTTCTTTACATTCCATTTAAAAAAAAGTTGTACCATTATTTTTCGATATGGATATCAATATTTTCAGTCTTAACAACAATATTTCATATAATGTTATATAATGGTTAATTGCAATGAAAAATGTACTTACATGTTAATCAAGATGGTTCACCTGTTAACTCGTTTACCTGTCAACTTGGTTATGACTATTTATCGCCGTCCTAGTTTAATATACATAGGGCTTATTTCGTCCTATCTCTTAACATACCTACATCATTTTTGTGACACGCCTACTCGTTAATACCATAGGTGTTCGGCTTGTTGATTGGTCACTACCAACATGAAAGTACACATGTATAAACGGATGCATTCGTATGGAGTATTTTCATTGGTCGTGCGGAAAACCTTAGAACAATGAAAATACTCCGTAGAAAAAATAAAGAGGAGAGCACTCTGCAGAACCATTACTTTCATTACGACATATAGGAAAACGGTTTGTTGTAGTTATATATGATGTTTTGATTGAACAGTTATTACAAATAATAAAATAATTTGATCATATTTATATGCTCAATACAAAAAAATATCCATTAATTTCGAATAAACTGCGGTTTAGTCGGGTAATTTTGACAAAAGCACAGCGGTCAGGTCTCTGTCAAGTTACACTTGCGGTGACTTCGATATTACATAATTATCTTCTTATAACTTGAAATGATTGTAAAGACAGCCTTATTTCCTTTAAGAATAATCAATTCCCTACCATTTGGTACTAAGATATTGAAAATTGGTGAAAATTGTTGGAGTTGTGGAGTTCATATTAAGATGTGTGCTGAAAAATGAGCGACGATCGAGTTGCATACCTTTACTAAATATATATATATGTATCAATTTTTTAATTATTGTGGGATGAAATAAAAGCTTATACATGTACCAAATATTTCAAACGAAAAATACTGTAGTTTACATGGTTTTGAACGGTAAGAGGGTTGTAGAATGGATGAAAGGGGGGGGGGCGGTTGTAGTGACCAATCGAGGCGCCGAGCACCTGTGGTTAATGCAAATACCGAAACGAAAATACTTCACCCGGAAAAATATCATACACGGTACAATCGGAACATCCTCGGCTGTTATCTATAATAACCTCGGAAACAAAACGGATTGAATGTAGTTCTACCCATAGGTGTTCGGCGCGTTGATGGGTCACTACCCCCGCCCCCTCCCCCCATCCACTCTACAACCCTCCTACCACTCAAAACCATGGAAGATGCAGTATTTTTCATTTGAAACATGTTTTAATATTTAGTATATGCTTTTTTTATACAATTACTTTCATTTCCCACAAAAAATTAAAAAAACATACATATATATATATATCTAGTACAGGTATGCAACTCGCCGCTCATTTTTCAGCACACATCTTAATATGAACTCCATAACTCCAACATTTTTTCACCAATTTTCAATATCTTGGTACAAACTGGTAGGGAATTGATTACTCTTATAGGAAATAAAATTGTCATTACGATCGTTTCAAGTTATATGAAGATATGTTATCTCGAATTGACCGCTGACTTTTCGTCAAAATTACCCTACTAAACGGCAGTTTATTCGAAATGAATGCATATTTCATTGTATTGCGCATATAATATGATCAAATTATATGAGTATTTGTAATAACTGTTCAATCAAAACACCTCTTATAAAACTATAACGAACCGTTTTTCCGATATGCCAAATTCTCCGTACACATGCATAAAACAGAAGCATTCGTATTGAGTATTTTCATTGGTCGTGTGAAAACCTTAGACCATTGAAAATACTCCGTACAAAAAATAAAGAGGAGAGCACTCTGTAGAACTATTACTTCCATGACGATTTGGGATTGGACATAATTTAAAAGCGTCAGACTAAAAAAATAATAAAGTTCAACATCTTTAAAAATAAAGATTACGATATTGAAAAAAGGCTTGGAATGATCTAAGGAAGTGCTACTGATGCATTTCCGACCGTTTTCATATTTTTTTATTTAAAGTTTTCTTTAGGCTATTAGGCTTCTAGACTGCCAACTTTCAGGCTACTAGGCTGATAACTTCACGAACATTATTTAAAGTAGCTGAGTGTTCGCCAATTAGTCCTTTGGGGATTGCAAACGACCTTGACCTGAATGAAGTGAATGTATTGTTCATCGCTGTCGGAGGACATCATTTACATCAAATCAGTGTTTCCAAATAAAACCTTTGATAAGCAAGTGTAATAAAATTAAGAGAGAGGGTTTGTCTGAAAATCAAAAAGATACCAAAAGATAAAATATACAGACTAGTCTGAACTTCATATATAATGTTATGGCAAAAAACTGTTAAAAAATCTGCCAGCCGTGCATGCAAAATCTAATGGTATGTCTTTTTCAGTTCTTCTGAGCATAACGATTACTATAAGCTATGGAGTGGCACACTAAGAAGGGAGAAAGACCATCTTATGCATATCTGTACTTGAGAATATAACTGCAAGGCGTTTCTTTGGGAATCTGTGATATACCCCAACTGCAGCCATTAACGGAGATACAAGGCGGCAGTGGTTGCATGTTAAAAAAATCTTGTCAATGTTTATTCCTTTGTTTAGACTCGGAAAGATATCAGAGTAAAAAATTTTCATTTGATTGTTATCTTACAACAAAATGCATGTTTGTAAAAAAAGTGGGCATGCATAGTTTACTTGTGCTGATACATTTTTTCTGACTGCAAAAGTGGCCAAAAAACAAGAAACTATTTTTTCCTAAGATATCTTTCCACTTCCCCTCTGTTATTGGAGTCAAAGTCAAAGGTCATAAAACATAATGTCTATAATAGAGCTTGGTGTCACTCGAGACAACAACGTTGGAAATACCCGATTTTTCTATTTTCAATGACAAACTAACGTCATATTCAGAGTATATGTATTATGATTGGAATCCTACCTTTAATTGATTAATGATTGAATATGTGACCACCCCACACCCGACCGCATGCATCCACTTTCAAGTAAAATTGCATGAATAATTGTGTGATCAGTGACAAAAATAACCAGTAAAATTGCATATATGATATTGAATAAGTGAGAAACAAAGAATTCATTGTGCAATTAAATTGCATGTAGTAAGAAAAAGAAGCCGATAAAAAGTAATTAAAGAAATCAGTGCTGGCCATTGAAATTTTTTATTGAATTGTAACCTATAGTAATGTTATCTATTCTTATACAACATAAAGGTGTGCCATTTGAAACAAAACTGTGATAAAAGACCCATTTAATATCTATACAGTATTTTATTTTAATTAATAAACATGCAAACATTCTATATCTTTGTTATTTCTGTTCAGTATACAGTATATTAGGTAGTAAATAGATCGGTTTGGGTAATGAACTGTTTTGTTTGGGCAATAAACTGTTTGGTTTTGGCAATGAACTGGTTGCATTGGTTAAAGAACTGCTTGGTTTGGGCAATGGACTTTTTAGTTTTGGTTATAAACTACTGGGTTTGGGTGGGCCATGAACTGCTTTGTTTTGGTAATGAACTGCTTGAATTGGGCAATTAACTGCTTGGTTTTGGTAATGAACTGCTTGGTTTGGGCAACGAACTGCTTGGATTGGGTAAAAAACTGCTGGGTTTTGGGTAATGAACTGCTTGGTTTGGGTAAATGAACTGCTTGCTTTGGGTAATGAATTGCTTGGTTTTTACAATAAACTGCTTGGTTTTGGACAATGAACTGCTTGGTTTGGGAAATGAACTGCTTGGTTTAGGCCGGTTTGTGTAAAATAAATTTAATGTTATGTAAAGAAAACGCTATGTAAGTGTCGGGTTCATAATGATTAAGATTAATAATTATAATGTACTGTCGTTTATGGAATTCCGTATGATACTTTCCAAAAGGAGATAACCCTACTGTTTTCATTTAAATAGAGTCAGTTACTCGGGATGTGAATGGTTTAACTTGAAATAAGCTTATTTAATCGTTATTTAACATATACACATGTATATTGTTTGAATTGGAAAATCTTTATTACACTTAAACTATTTCTGATGCAAGAGTGTTTCGTTTGAAATAAGATTGTTGAATTGTTATAGCATACATGAAATGATTTGTTTAATAACAGGCCCGAGTTGTTGAAAACGCTAAAGGTCAAACAAAGTTTATTGTTTGCTGTTCATTGTATAATGATGGTCATTAAGAAACCAAGTGAATGATTTCACTTTGGGTACATTCCAGAAACGTTTTGGCGGTTTTAGCCCTGATCCTGCTTGAACTCAGAAGTGGTTAGCCATCATTATAGAGTCAGGAGGCCAGTCTGAATATCCATACAATCTGAATAGGATCTATAAACTGTTGGTTATTCATTTTTCTATTTTGTTAATTATTGAAATCACTTCATCTTTAAAGGAATGGACTGTTCCAAATACAAAGGAATGCAAGTTTTTACACAAATTAAACGTTATTGAAATATATTAGCGTAACATTTTAAATAGAAATCAATGGGGGTTTTCCTATGTAATACAGATATGTATATATCTACTGATTATATTGATACATGATCAAAGTGGAAAGGAGGTGTAAACAAGGACATTTCATGCTGTGATCCTCATTGTTTCTGTGTGTTTTGATTAATATGTGCATGGGTGGTATTTTGATGCCAAGTTCATACAATTATTCGCTTAATGAAAGCACATACCAGGGTTTATTGCAAGGGATATCAATGGTTAAAACATTAAAAGTAAAATCTAATAACTTGGGTGTCCGTGCCAATGTTGTTAATCTCTTAGGCTTAACACCATTTGTCCCTTCCCATTGTGGGTTCAAATCCCGCCAGGGACTTTGGATTTTTTTATTTGAGGAAGCTATCCAGCCAGCTTACAGAACGTCGGTGGCTTTACTCGCTTAAATAATCCTTAAATAGTGCAAGAAGGGGCACTTGTTCCTTCTCCAGTTAACCTGGAAAGTCGCGATATGACCTTTACTGTGTTGATGCGACTTAATTAAAACCCAAGAAATACAACCATAAAAATCCAATAACAGTTATGTATGTGTTTCAGGCCGTTGTAACACTGTACCTTTAACTTCGAACATGTGAACGGCCTCATCTGATTTTATTGTTTATATTTTGTTTCATACAGATCAAAGTTATGTCAGCCAGGGCTTTTCGTTGAATTTTTTAATTCGGAATTAATACAGATGATTTTTCAACGAATATACAAAGTGAACACTATTGAAAGAAACATGTTGATGGTTTTATCATTCGTATTTAAGTGTATATATGTACACTTATAACATCCATTTCACTACATAACATCTACTTCTCAAGCAAACATTATATATTCATAAGGAACTAACGTACCGTATTGATAATAGATCGAAGTTTCTTTTCGGTCATTATTGTATTTTCCTGTATTATATACAACCGACCTCTAACAATATACATTTACATTCTGTTCAATTTGTTTCATGCATGAATTAAATATTATATTTTTTATAATATTTTAAATTTTAAGATACTAAAAACTTATTGGATAGTAAATGGCATTTTATGCACAATGAAATATGTTTTCAAATACATACTAGTAACCGATAAAACATCATATTCAAATGATTGTTGTTTTATGATATGAAATTGCAATCAGATATCTAAACATAAACTAAATAACATGCAATGTAAAACAAACATCTTCCATTTTATTAAAACCTATTATGCAACTATTAAGAAAAGCAACAAAAAATGTACTTACTGAAAAATCTAAGGTATCTGTTTATTTTAATGAAAGTTGTATAATTTTACTGTTGATTAATTTTATAAAACAAAAAAATCTAATAAAGATATAGCCTAATACCTTTTCATAGTAGGCACTTTTTATTACTTGTATAACTTTACAAATATGAAAAACAAGTATCATCAAATAATTTATAAAAGATTATTTAGAAATACAAGTATTTTTCTATATGATATAATTACTAAGTGTCAGACTGACATAAATGACAATCAAAATAAAGAAATTCTGAATATATAAAAATGAACAATACAAATAATATGAAACGTAATTTCCTGAAAAAGAGATTCATATCATCTGATGATTACAATATTGTAAGATTTTCTGTACAAATATCATGTACTATCAATTGCAATATAAATATTTATTTAGAATACTTTATTACTGTTTTAAAGATAACAAGAGCTGTCGGTAGGACAGCAACAATCGACTATTCTTATTGCTTGATAGTAAAAAAATGCTTGATAGAGTTACCTCCTCCTGTCTACAGGTTGGGGTCATGATGGTGAACAAGTGTGCAAAGTTTCAAAGCCATATGTCAATGGACTTTGGAAATATTTGAACTATTACAAAAACTTTAACGTAAATTCTAAGTCGAAAAAGGGGCATAATTCTGTCAAAATGCATGATATAGTTACCTCCTCCTGTTTACAGGTTGGGGTCATGATGGTGAACAAGTGTGCAAAGTTTCAAAGCCATATGTCAATGGACTTTGAAAATATTTGAACTATTACAAAAACTTTAACGTAAATTCTAAGTCGAAAAAGGGGCATAATTCTGTCAAAATGCTTGATAGAGTTACCTCCTCCTGTTTCCAGGTTGGGATCATGATGGTGAACAAGTGTGTAAAGTTTCAAAGCCATATGTCAATGGACTTTGAAAATATTTGAACTATTACAAAAACTTTAACGTAAATTCTAAGTCGAAAAAGGGGCATAATTCTGTCAAAATGCTTGATAGAGTTACCTCCTCCTGTTTACAGGTTGGGGTCATGATGTTGAACAAGTGTGCAAAGTTTCAAAGCCATATGTCAATGGACTTTGAAAATATTTGAACTATTACAAAAACTTTAACGTAAATTCTAAGTCGAAAAAGGGGCATAATTCTGTCAAAATGCTTGATAGAGTTATCTCCTCCTGTCTACAGGTTGGGGTTATGATGGTGCACAAGTGTGCAAAGTTTCAAAGCCATATGTCTATGGACTTTGAAAATATTTGAACTATTACAAAAACTTTAACATAAGTGGTTACGCCGACGCCGACGCCGACGCTCGGGTGACTGCAATAGCTCTACTTATTCTTATCGAATAGTCGAGCTAAAAATAGCATGGGGTACACGCTTTTAAGAATAAGCTAGTTAATATTATGACGTGAATTTCACAAATTTACATGGGCTTTTCTTGGAATGGATTCTGCTTATAATATTGAAATTGAAATACTATTCGATTCTAATAACGTATAGTTCGTATTATCATCAGGATATGTGTACCAATGTATCATCAATAAAAATGAAACGCATTAGTCAAATACGATAAAAGAACATTCTATGGCAAACAAACACATTGAAGAAGTTTTGTAAATAGAAATACACGGTGGTCATTCCAATTTTAGATTCTGGTTAGTGTTGTCTTCTTTGAACATTAGTTAATATTCCATCCTGTGACCTCATCACCGCTGACAATCGCCATTTTACTTCATGATCCGGGTTTAGGCTGAACTTGAAACTGAAAATGAATTTTACACGAGCTTATTTTAATATCATAGATTGTTATCGTTCAGTTTTTAAGAAACTAAGCATACTTTGAGTCTCTTCACATATAAGCAATTCATTAGTTTAAACATATTTATATTCCGAATAGATGCATATAAATATGTACATTTACATTACAAATCAAACTTTTATATTCAAGAGTCTGATGAAAGTCTTTTGAAATTCTTCTCCTTTTAAGTGTGTCGCGTTTTGTACTATCAATTTATTTAATTAATTAAAATCGTGGAAATAAAGGGAAAATCAGAATGACGACCGAGGTGGTAGATTAAATATTAAAAATAAATCAAATATATTCCTTATGACATCTTATTAGATGAAAACTTACTTATACAGAAGTTTCGCTAGAACTACTTTCTCCTCGTTCATCGCAAAATTTTGACCAATACAGTTCCTAAAATAGAAAGAAAAGATTTTGTAAAATGCAATTACAATAAAGTAAAGGAGCATACGTGTTCCGAACAATAGCTCACACGTAGTTTTAAGTGGTCCGCTTAAATGTGGTTTGTGCTCCTATAAAAGTTAATATTTTCCTTATTTTCCATTGTTTTCTAAGTATTGTGTAGATTCTAATAAAATTTATTCTAATATTTCTAAAATTTCGTAATACAATTTCATAATAACTGTTTTTGAAGCTGTAAGTACCAGCTAACAAAGTTTATAATGGAAAGAAACAGTGTAAGTTGGTGTCAAAATACACGATATATCTTTGTTGCTTACTGTGCTCAACATGTTATTGGTATTGAAGTTAGCACAATAGCGACACAATTTCACTGAACATTTAACCAGTTTTATCCTTGAACATTTACCCAGTTTTATTGACAAGTTTATCGCAAGAAAATGGAACACTTACCTTGGACCACCAGAAAAAGGAACAAACTGGTATGGGTCCATCTTTGCAACATTATCTTTAGTGAATCGTTCAGGTTTAAATTCCATATGATCTTTTCCCCACACATGTTCGTTATGATGTAACATCAATATGTTAATCTAAATGTCAAAACAAAATACTCCCTCCGTTAAACCATCAAAATAGCAAAATAGTAATAATAATAATGATGATGATTATGATGATGATGATGATAATTATACAAGATCTTGGCACATGATCTTAGCAAAAAAGACACGTTTTTTACTGTGAAATATAATGACCTTAAAAATAAACCGTGTTTAATATTATGTAACGGAGTTGTTTTTGGAATTGTTTTTAGAATTTTGAATGCTCGTTTGAGTCTAGATAACGGTATCAAATTATTACAATTCAGCATCCAACACTTTAGTCTGTACAGGTTGTAAGTAAGTGTAGACTGGTCCGACATGGTGATATCATCAAATGCATCATCATTATAAATATAAAACATAATTAACATACTAAGTTTGATTAAAAAATCCCGACGCTTAATTAGACTAGTCATAACCGATAAAACAGTCTTAGAAAATAACAAACCCTGGATACAGTAATATTGTATGTATATATTTTCACTTCTGATTTGGAAAATTACGCCTGTTTCACATAAACAGTAATGAATCGTCTTAAAGTTCATTTTGTGCCACTTTGTTAAGCTTGTATATAGCTTCTGCATTCCTCTTTTATACATTAACAACACATACAATTATACAACACGTGCGACTATCATAAATAAAATGAAGCCACTTACAATAACAGAAGTTCCTGCTGGCACCACGGTATCCCCTAGATCAAATGGTTTCGTTGTTTGACGGCCGACTATGGCAACAGGGCAGTGAAGTCTCATCCCTTCCTTTATACACATAGATAAATACTCTAGATGTGGCAAGTCCGACCTAACAATGTCAAAAATAATTTAGGACATTTAAATGCACTTATGCAAGTCCTGAAATCCTAACCTGCAGAATGTGTGGAGTGGACGTGCATTGAAAACATATGAAGAAAAAAGCCTATTTATGTTATTGGGTTTCAATATCAACTCGTTAAAATTAAGTAGTTCACGATGTATAATGGTACAGTCAAACTGCAAAGATGTATAGACTGGCACGTCGCTGAATTAGATGCACTGGTACACAGGAAGATGCTTTAAACATTGGCTAGATAATAAACCGGTAAATCATTAACAAAATGCATTGCCATTTTCAGTGTAATACAATGTACCATTATTTAAAAAGAATGAAAAATTTTCACAACAGAATAAAATATATCATTTAACAATGGGGACAGATTTTAACACTGCGTAATCAGACGTTTGTTTTCCTATGGACGTAAACGTAAAGTGTGTTATTTACGACAAAAGTAAAAAAGTATTGCTTAAAAACAGCTACCATTTGATATCGTCTGATTCTCTACCACTTAACAACTCATCAATTTCTTCCTGACATTTTTCCTGATATTCCGGATGTTTGGCAAGAGAATATAAAATCCACGAGATGGCGCTAGCTGTAGTATCGTGACCTACAAAATCAAACAAAATCTTGCTTGCATTAATTTCAAAATAATAATCATTTTAAGAGCATGCATTTAAGTCATGTTTGATGGAAATTCAGTTCCAAACCAAAAGACAATTTTTGTTGTTTTTCATTATTTTTTTTCATTTAAATCATTTTCCTTTCAAAAATTAATTTATCATTTTTGTAACAAAATGTTATAGAGCCTAGTCAGACTGCATGGACGTGCATGAAGGCTTGTTTATACATTGACGACAAGAGCAAATCATTTCCGGGTTTTGCATGTTTACCCATTACTTCATGAGCATTTTGTGAAAAATGGCTGTTTTCATTGAAAAGTCTCCCGTTACAAGTTCAAATTGCTACAATACTATAAAAACTGCTTCAACACTAATCAAACTTGGCACAAATGTTGACTGGACCATTGCCCTCGAACAACATGCTCAGGCTTAAATTTTCTGTTACCATGGCAACGAGGGGACATCTCAAAATTGCCAAAAATCACTATTTTGCGTTGATTTTTCAATTATAATTGATTTCAAAGTGATGCAACTTCTCAATGGATTAAGATAGAGTCAAATGCTTTTCAGCGTTGGTTACACGTTACCATATGATCAATCTGGGTCATTTATAGACTCTCACAAGTCCAAATTTTCTTGGCGATGAGGAGGAATCCACCCCCCTTCAACCCCCCCCCCCCAAACAGAAGGCAATCCCCTGGTGTATCTTTTGGTTGGGGGCCGCGCCGAAAAAGTGGTCACTTTTTTAACAACATTTCTCAAACAAAAAAAAGTGTTAAGGGCCTAAATAATGCATTTTTTCACCATTTGAGACAACATAAGGGGGGGTGAAAAAGGCGTTAAAAGGCGTGTATATGAAGTAATGGGTTAAGGGTTAACTGTAATTGCAGATAGAGTATACCTTCAAATAAGAACGTGTCGACTTCGTTTCTTATATCCATATCAGACAGACCTGTTCCATTTTCGTCCTTGGCCGTGAGTAAAATATCCATAAAATCAAGGTACTTTTTCGGTTTTAATTCTCCCAGCTTTTCCTGGAGTAGAAAATATTGAACACGTCTAAAAATCGAAAAAAAAATCCGGAGGGAGTTTTGATTCTTAAATAAAACAATATATAACATTTCATTGTGTTCATTTCTCTTTCGAATAAGTAAAAATTGTCTTTATTAGTGTATGTAAAGATTACAAACCCTAATGGAAATCTAAACATAGAATCATTTGGTTTGCTTCGGACCTTTTTTTTTCTTATAACTTCGTTAAAAAAAAAATCGAAATATAAGATACTGGGTCATTGTTACACTTTCGTTGATATAGAGAAAATTAATCGTTTATAAAAGTACCAAAGTGCTCCTTCGTTTGTTTATAATGTCTTCTGCGACACCATGAACAAAATCACAATCTTGTTTATACTTTTTCCCCATCTTTGTTCTGTAGAAGATAATATCAGGTGCCATAAAAGGATTTCTGTAAAAGAAATGAGGATTAATGCACCTTGTTCTTCAGAAGAAGCACGGTGACATGTTTAAAGCCCGAGTAAGTATGGCTTTGGATTTAATAAGTATAAGGACTTCTGCAGCTGTAAATGCACGAAAAAGATGTGCATTAATAAAAGTATACATCTGATTCGGTAATGCCGCATTTCGTTATTTGTTTTTCGTATCAAAAAACATTTGACATGCATTTTACGTGCTAGTGCGATGACATTTGACAGACATATTTTGAAATGTACGTCACTTCAGTAAGTTATTATAACACGTGCAACTATAACCATAGCATTAAGTTTAGGTTAAAGTTTATTAGTACGTATTGAAACAAAACAACGGTTGCATCAAGTTAAATTGGTATATTATGCAAGAGAATACTTATACACTGATCAAAACTTTAAAAGGAAACCAATTGCATACTTTGAGAATTGTGAAACTAGCTTGAAGCAAAACTTATAAAATATTAAATGTGGTTAAAAGATTTCATTCGAAATATCTATGAGAAATATGGTTTTCAAACGAAATGTTACTCAAATACAGCCTAATTAAAAAGGACACACTCAAAACTAAAACTCACGGAATTGCCGAAAAGTTGTTCTATCGGCACTTTTTCAAAAGAGTATACAATACTGGACAAAAAGTATAATTTGTCAATTTCTTTACTGGTCAATTTCACATCACTGACTCAGTGATATCAGAAAGATTGAGTTATTAAGATTATTGCCGAAAATCGTATGCATACCGTGAATATTGGTTGAATACAATACACGATAGTTAGAACAGACCTATAAGAAATATATCACAAAGTTAAAACCATACTTTAAATAGCAACATAATATGTTTCTTTTAGGGATTATTTTATACACATTTTTGGGCCATCATCGCATAATGGCAAGCAGCAAGAATTAACCTCTAAATAACCGTCTTCTTACTAAATTACCATCTTTTTATATGTAGCTTAATGAGCTTGGGTTAAACAGCTGTAACTGTAGAAATAGATAAAATGTTGCATGGTTTAACTGTTAATAGAGAAAAACAGAATCCCTAAAGAAAGCCCAACACGGCAAAATGTTGCAGGCTCGGTTTGATTGAGCCTGTTCATGAACGATATTGGAAAGTATAAGTAACGTCCACGCCCCTAGCACCGGCTTAAGAAGAATTGAACGTTTAAACGCGTAAATGGTAAAAAATTTGTGTTTAGAAACATCCGCAAATGTGTTCATACGGCGTTTATCATGGAACCTTCAATGTGATACAGTAGTGCCATTCCATGAAAATCGGCGTATGGTCCACAAGAAAAATTAAATCTCATATTTTCACATTGTCGGAGGTTTATCGGTCAAGTTTAATGTATTTTGCAACAGAACACGAGTGATACCTGAGACGCTGCGAATTCAAGGTAGCCAAGTCATTCACTGCTTGTACATATGGATGAGTCTCTCTGAAAAGTAATTTATAGATCGTCACGATATATGTACATGTATCTTATGACATCAGCTTATATAGTCAGTAACTATACAAGAAAATCGCAAGAAAAAATTAAATTGAAATACTTGGATTAACAATATATGTATGTAAAGAAATTGTATTGAATTTCAGTTGAAAAATTTGCTTTTCGCTTGAAAATATAATTGTGTATAATTGTTTACAATAAAAAGAAATTTTACAGTATACTCTCCGCTATTACCACACCCCCACATACCGTAATAATTAATCATTTTCGCAACGCATTGTACAAACATGACATATTAAGATGTAATTGCCTTAGATATTAAACGCCATGATGAAACAGATTCAACTAAAGTAAATTTTTGAAAGTTATAACAATTTGCGCGAACAATTTTGTACAGCTGTACCCATGTGATCAGCTTCAGACTGAAAAGGACTCGTTTCATATTGTTCTCCTTAATTATAGCCTATTGAAAAAGTTACTGCTTAAAGATCATTGGCAGTTATATTTACAGTTTTTATGATAGTGTATGTCAGAGAAAGTAAATTATCACCCGCTCCGCTGCACGTCAATTTCATACGAGAACGCACATCTTAAAATGATGTCCAGTGTACACATGCAAATCTGTTGAAATACATCAAACTCCGTTTTCTCGTCTGCAAACTTTCCCAATTTCTCCTGTAAAATATAAAATAATTATACAATTTTCTGTACCTCTTCATCAGCAACGTCATTTACGATTAATACAAAAGAAACAGCTCGTCATTCAGAAAACAGAAAACGCGTCACTTACGATTAATGCATCAGAAAACGAGTCACATACGATCAATGCTACAGAAAACGCGTCCCTTACGATTAATGCAACAGAAAATGCGTCACTTACGACTAATGCAATAGAAAATGCGTCACTTATGATTAATGAAACAGAAAATGCTTCACTTACGATTTATGCGATAGAAAATGCGTCACTTACGATTAATGAAACAGAAAATGCGTCACTAGTGATAAATGCAACAGAAAACGTGTCACTTACGATTAATGCAACAAAAATGCGTCACTTACGATTAATGCAATAGAAAATGGTCACTTACGACTAATGCAACAGAAAACGCGTCACTTGCGATTAATGCAAAAGAAAATGGTCACTTACGATAAATGCAACAGAAAACGCGTCACTCATGATAAACGCAACAGAAAACGCGCCATTCACTATAAGTACGAGAAAACATGTCAATTTCGATTAATACACCAAGAAAAACCCGTGGAACAAACAATGTATGATAAATGCACCGACAAAAGCATGTACTTACGATATCGAAAAAAAACGTCACTTAAGAATTAGGCCTATATACCTATAAAAGGGCCTCACTTCCGATTAACACAATTAAAAAATACACGTCACTTACGATTAAGACATTTGCTGAGTCGTTGTAAACATCAATGTACGGTTTGAGAATATCGAAGTGGAAGGCAGGTGTTAGCAGTCTTCGGTTTCGTGCCCATTTATCTCCTCCAGAGATCAATAATCCATCCCCGAGCCAGTCCTTTAATGTTCTGTAACCGCTAGTTAAGTTCATAGGTTTTGGTTCTGAAATATACAATAAATGAAAGTTTCTATTCAACAGCACAAACATTCTATAAATGTTATTACGAAAGACTTTAATTAAATCTAAAATCAAGACATAATTTATTTTCAAGTTTCTAGCAAAGACAGTAGCATCATAAAATATTGTTTGTTTGTTTGGGTTTTACGCCAAACCGACACAGTTTATGTCATATGGCTTTACTGGAGGAAGACATCAGGTGCCCTTCCGTGCATAATTTTAGGCACGAACGGGCACCTGAGTAGATATTCGTTCCGTAAGCTAGCTGGATAGCTTCCTCACATGAAAGTCTCTGTTTGAATTCGAACCCATATAAAACATAACCATATTAACTCAGATTATGATGAACTTTAAATTTGATATTTGAAATATTCTTTTAGTGTACCTGCTGTTTTTAGAATTCTCTTCATGCTTGATGGATGACAAGCAATGATTGCAGGACGACCTAAGGCTCCCCATATTCGAACATAACCCCTCTCTTTAGAAAACTTGTTCCCCCATTCAAGAAATTTATACAGTCTTTGTTGTGGGTCAAGTGTTCGCATCTGAAAAAAGTGTCTTGGTGTGGTAATGGTAGAAATTATCATGTTGATATTTTAGACTTTGGTACAGTCGTATTTAAAATTAGACAAAGTATCAGAACATCGTGGCATTAACATTTTCCACTATCTCTGTACACGTTTTAGAAGAAAACATGACAAATTATCATAAGAATTTCCCCTCCCTAGTGATTATTAAAAACGCGAATCTACGAAAGTATCAAAATTCAACTTGCTGATTATATTATATTATATTGTATTGTATTGTATTGTCTTTTTAACCAAACCAGCATAGCCTTAGCGAGCTGCGTTTTTTTATGTTTCTTTTTTCTATTAAACCGATTGTCATTTTAAAATGTGGATACTTTACATCAAGCTTATCATCGGACTAATCACGTGTATAGATATTGAAATGATAGATGTTATCCGGAACTCGGCAAATTTTAATCCCGGGGTACAGACAAATGTTAATCGTTATAGCCGAGTTTAAAATAGAGCGATCAACGCGTTGCGCTTAGTATAGCATATGTCACTATCCCCTTGGCTCTTAACAAGGCGTCATCAGTATCTTACAAAATGAGTTTATGCACATCTAAGTAAACAAGTTTAAGAAATTCACTGTTCCGCTTTGACATCAGATAAGTACAAAGTTCTTACGGAACTATGCCAGGATCTTTGTCATTAAATAGGACGTGATAAAGAAACGAGCTAATGATGTCAATAAAAACATAACACGTGATGGCGAACTGTAACATATATAATGTATGCACTGTCATCAAGGTGACTGATGAAGCATACAAAGTGGTAAAATTTTACTTACATCTACAAAACTTCCATAGAGCCAGTTGCGTTCTTTTGGTCCTGGAAGATCTCCGAATATCCTCTCGACTTGTCTACGATATCGGATGAAAGAAATTAATTTGAAGATCGCAAAAATGGCGCCAATCAGCAATGTCGTCTGCAGCACAAGTGATGTTGAAGCACGATACGTACTGGGAACCAGTGACGTCAAATCCAATGAACCTATCAGACTCAACATCTTGGAACTGTGGAGAGAAACTAGAAATGTGTCATCATGCCACGGATGCCCCCGCATGCAGCCAAAATTTCAAATGTTATAATATTTAGTGCCAAATTTGTTAGCACAAATTCTTTTTTATTCTAAGTTCAAAGCCCTTAAAACTTTTCAATGTTAACACAAACCATTTTTAAACAATGTTCAAGGCACTGAAATTATTCAGTCTTAACCTTTTGAAAATAGCATATTGCATATTTGTAGCCAAAATAATGGCTATATAAATTTCCACAAAAGTATGAGTGCTGAAACTGAAAGTTCAAAATTTTTCCAACATTCAAGAAAGATAAGTTTGTCCAAAATCATTGAACAACGACCAAATTCAAACTTAAACTGCTTATTCCTAAGATGTATCTATATTATTTTCAAAGTGAAAGGGACATAACTCTGCCAAAATATCATCGAACCATGACCAAATTCCAACTTGACCTGCGCATTCCTTTGACATATCCATATGTCAATTTTGAGTTGAATATGTAACACTGTTGGGCTGATAATGAACAGATACTGTAAATTTCATATCATTTTCAAAGTGAAAGGGGCATTACTCTAAAATCATTGAACCATGACCAAATTCAAACTTGGCCTGCGCATTCCAAAAACATATCCATATGTCAAATTTGAGTTGAATGTGTAATAATGTTGGGAAGATAATAAATGGAAACTTAAATATCATATTATTTTTAAAGTGAAAGGGGCATAACTCTGCCAAAAATCATAGAACCATGACCAAATTTGAACTTGACCTGCGCATTTCTTTGACGTATCCATATGTCAAGTTTGAGTTGAATGTGTTGTACCATTGGGGAGTTAATGAACGGAAACTGAAAATTTCATATTATTTTCAAAGTAAAAGGGGCATTACTCCGCCAAAAATCATCAAACCATGACCAAATTTTAACTTGACCTGTATTTTCACATGACATATCCATTTGTCAAGTTTGAGTTGAATGTGTTGTACCGTTGGGGGGATAATGAACGGAAACTGAAAATCTCATATTATTTCAAAAGTAAAAGGGGCATAACTCTGCCAAAAATCATAGAACCATGACCAAATTTGAACTTGACCTGCGCATTCCTTTGATGTATCCATATGTCAAGTTTGAGTTGAATGTATTGTACCATTGGGGAGTTAATGAACGGAAACTGAAAATTTCATATTATTTTTTAAGTAAAAGGGGCATAACTCTGCCAAAAATCATCGAACCATGACCAAATTTGAACTTGACCTGTATTTTCTTATGACATATTCATATGTCAAGTTTGAGTTGAATGTGTTGTACCGTTGGGGAGATAATGAACGGAAACTAAAATTTCATATTATTTTCAAAGTAAAAAGGGCATAACTCTGCTAAAAATCATCGAACCATGACTAATTTCGAACTTGACCTGTATTTTCTCATGACATATCTATATGTCAAATTTGAGTTCACTATGTGCAACAGTTATTAAGATAATGAACGGAAACTGATGATGACGGAGGGACGGAAGGACGGAATGACGGAATGACGGAACATGGTAACACTATATGCCCTTGCCATTATATGGCGGGGGCATAAAAATGCTGTTATATGATTATATTTACGACCAAAAGATCTACAGTAGTTTTTAATGTTAATTTCAAGCGGTGCTTGTCAATTTGTCAACCGCGTAACGTTTAATATAGAAATTCAGATAATATTAACATGCGTTATAGGTAATTTTTTTACAAATTATCTGTATTTGCCAATATAAACACACGTATTATTTTAATTGTTATTTTATTTCCAGTGTAAAAATAATAATAATAATAATAATAATAATAATAAAGACTCATTTGAACAACATTTAAATCTTCAATGAGGCCTTCAACATGGAACAATATAATTACTTTCAAAATACATAAATTATAATATATACATGAAATTATCAATTTGTATTTATCGATGTGTGATAATATCTCAAGTATAAGGTTTTGAAATGGTTCACAGTCATTTAATCAGGAAGGCCTTTCTATAAACAAGATCCAGAATAAACAAAAGACTTCAAGTATTTTTATAGAATACGTCTTGCATCCATCTTTTGGAACTTAAAATGAGTTTATCTTCTAAAAAGAGGTACAGTTACCGTAAATTATGCAACAATAGTCAAGATGTGGTAAGTTATATGCATTTAACTACAGGTATAGATATGAATAATTTTGTACGAGATAATAAATGTAACAATGAGTTGCATTTTTAGGAACATTATTAATATGGCTTAGTCAAGACATGGTGTTATTAATTGCAATACCCATTAATATTTCTTCAAAGCTATAAACAATTTGCTCTCTATTATACGAAATACAAGGATTACTTTCATTAATATAATTTTGCTCGTGTTTTAAGGAAATATACATGACCTTAGTTTTGTTAGCATTGATAGGCATGCGATTCAAATCACACCATTTGTTGACAATTAAAAGATCATGAGTAAGAGATTCAACTACTCTGTTAAGGGATACATCAGAGGTTGTAAGGATGGTGTCTTCAGCAAAAATATCAGTTTCTGTTTTTTTCCATACACAAAGGTAGGTCATTGATATAGATCAAAAACAGAATAGGACCTAGAACTGAACCCTAAGAAACTCCAGTACTTACTGAACTTGACTATGTATATAAACCGGATATGTAAGTTTGTTGAGTTCTGCAATCTAAATAGGTGGAAAACCAAGCAACTGATGAAGGGCCTAGGTTATACATTCTAAGGTTTTCAATAATATGAGAGTGATAGTCTAAAGCTTTAGATAGATCAAGGAAAGTTGAACCAACTATTTTATGTTTGTCAAAATCTTTAATCCAATCATCTGTAATTATTATCAGTGCATTTTGACATGAATGTTTTGACCCAGATTGATCCGAATCCAGACTGACGTTGGTATAGAAGTTGATTTTCCTCAAAGTTTCGCTTTAAATGTGAACTGACATGACGTTCAAGAATAAGTGATATCAAGCGAAGTATGGAAATTGGCCTATAATTTCTTATATTACTTTTAGATCTCTTTTTATGTAAAAGAATGACTTTGGTACTTTTAAACGATTTTGAAAGTGTATTGTTTAGAATGCTATTGATGAATATAGTGGTTAGTATGGAAGCAAAAATGTGGACCGATAACTTAAGAAAGCTTGCACTAAGACGATCTGATCCACAGGACTGTAATATCTATCGATTTTAATTGAGGCAACACATAGGTGAGCTATATTTTAGGTATTTTGAAAGGTGGTATATGCTGAAGTTTAGATGCATTTAGTTCAACAAGCTCAGGATTTTCTTAACCAGTCTGATTAATGGCATGATGTGATTGGTGGAAATTCGCAAATATGTCAAGATGTTTTCCCAAAGAATTCCTCTTAATTGTAACATGCTGTGGCTGTTATGTATATGAATTGGAATAAACACTTAAATGTAAGTAGAACCAGGAAGATATCACATCACATGTATATCATAGGTTTTAATAACGGACACTCCAAACAAAAGTGAGAGACAAATGTTAAGTGAAGTGGATGTGTGGGTAAGGCGCTTGAAGTTGTTGAAATCCATGCTTTGTTTAAAACCCACGATCCATACTTATTTTCAAACAATTAGGAAAATGTATTGTAAAGTAAAATATTGTGAAGTGCAAAAAGGAAGTAATTTACACATTGCATATACACATATTCTATCAACACTGATTGTAGGGAAGATGCTTTAAAAACAAAAAATAATAAAGTAAAATCGAAACTAATTATAATAATATGAGAACATTTGTATAACATTCCTTTTGTCATTTAAACAAAACAGTTATATGTTATAATATATATTTCATCATGCATTACATTACGTTATCTGTAAAAGAAAGCAAAATTAAGCATAGAGTCGCAAGAGTATTGAATAAAATTAACATTCACATTATACATTAATAATTTTCTTATAAATAAAATTGTTAAACATTAAAAGAACTGGAAAATATGGAAATAAAGACAAATATATTTTCATATACAAAGAAGATCTGTCAAATATAGCTTGTGATTTTCAACATTATCTTTTCCAAATCTATCCATCTATGTACAGTTAATAGGTGATTGATAAATGAAATATATTACACGATCATATCGGATTTTGCAAAGCTTCTTATCTTGAAAAATACGCTTGCATTAATCCAGTAATCAATATTTCACATTATGTCATAAATTGAAAACTATACCATAATATTGTTTAGCAAAAAAAGACAATAAACATAAAACAACAACAACAAAAAAAAAACAACAAAAAACGCCTTGGTATCTTAGGGGCAAAATAGAGAACACCGGAATTCCTAAAGAACGCCTAATTTGAAAATGTTGCAGACTAGGTTTCATTGCACCTGTTCATTGGCGGTATAAGAAAAGTGCAAGTTACCATACACGCCCCCTAGCACCTGCTTTAGCAGCATTCAACATTTAAACACGAAAATTGTGGTATTTTGAATTTAGAAACATGTGAAACTCTTGTCTGAAATATTGAAACTATATAATTAGTGAAGTAATGTTATATGTGCTACCAGGGCCAGAACAAATGCGTACTTCAATGAGGTATAGCAGATATTTTTTTAAATAAAACAAAGACGAATTTATATGGATTTCATGAAAATAACGATCATATTTTTGGGTCGGCGGGGTTTCTCTTCATACGGTCGGGTTGTCAGAAACACAAAAATTATTGTTTGGTCTTGATAAGGAGACTTCATCTATAGAATATTTGTACATGATTCTGGGCATTATTTAAGCATTCTATAAGTATTGCATATTTTAACACAACTATTATCTACGAGTCCACACAACTATAATCTATTAGTCACGTAATTTCATTAAATTAAAAAGTATATGACCAAAACCCGTCAACATAATTTTTCATAGCTCTCGGAGAAACACAATTGAAATTTGGAAGACCTATCTTTTTTACAGTATAATTATCATACATATGCTAATAACATAACAAGCATCGTCGGATACCCACGGCCGAACCATTAACATTGATTGCATGTTATGTGACATGTTTATCAATCGTGGGTATCCGACGATGCATAACAAGGTGCGTTTAGCATTCGGAACATCGCGTCATTTACCGAAAATCGGAATTTTGGCAAAAGCCGAAATAAAAGTTGCGTACCATTGATATAACCGCGAAATTATCAATAAGTAACAATATATTCCAAAACTAACAGCACACTGACATTTTAATAAGCAAAACAGGTCACATATTTAATCATAGGTTAGTTTAAAGATTGGCTAAATCTAACGTTAAAATTTCTTCATTTTTTACTTTTAAACTTTAATTTCGTATGGTTTTATCTTAGTTCATACATTTTCTTTACATTTCATTTAAAAGTAAGTTGTTCCATTTATATCGATATGGATATATCAACAATTACATTTCATATAATATTCTATAATGGTCAATGAAAAATGTACTTACATGTTAACCTGTTAGCTTGTTTACCTGTCAACTTGGCCTGGTTATGACTACTTATCGCCGTCCTACTTTATTATACCCAGGGCTTATCTCGTCCTATTTAATAACCTAGGTACATCACGTACTCGTTTATAAATACCGAAACGAAAATAATTCACCCGGAAAAAAATCATGTTATGTTTAAGACTGATAAAAACCGTCACGGCTCATTATTACACAAATGCGTATTTCTGTTCAACAGACCAAACTAAATTTTGTTTCGTTTTTTTTTTTTTTTGGTTGAAAAGAATTTATTCCGAAAAGTATCTACAACGTACATTTAAATTGACGTACGTCAGAAGATAGCAGTGAACAGTGTAGATAATTTTGCAAGTGCTTGACCATTTTCATTAAAATATATTTAAAAAAGAGAGAATAAGTCTCAAAATAATGTCAAACATGCTAGACATTTATACCCTATCCAGACAACTTAAATCCCAGAATGATTGCTTAGCACTTGTTGTACCGCGTAGTAGGACTGTGACTTATGGTGATCGTGCTTTTATGACAGCAGCCCCTAAACTCTGGAATGCCCTACCTAGAACACTTAAAAGCTGTGAAACTCTAACAGTGTTTAAGAGAGCACTTAAAACTCACTTATTTCAGTGGTTTTATTTGGACTGATTATTTTTAAGCTTCTAACCAGAATTTTATTATTGATCTTTTTAATTTTTGAAAATTACATTTGATTTGACTTTGTGACTTGAGCGATATTGTTGTTTTTTATTTGTTTCTTTTGTTGTTGTTTTTGTTTTCTTTTAGATATTGTATCATTTATTTCGTTATACTGTACAGTACTTTTGAACGTGTCGATGTGCATGAAAAAAGTGGTTGAGAAGTTTGGTATATAATAATAATAATAATAATAATAATAATTATAATTATAATAATTATTATAATAAGAATAATAATAAAATAATAATAATAATAATAAAATAATAATAATAATAACAATGATAATGATATTTCAAACAAATATTTTCAGTACTTTTTGTGTTATCACTGGATCCAGTTTATATGTTAAATTTGCCATATTTTCAGACTGTTTATCGCCATAGCAACCAGAATTCTCAACATAGAAAGAAAAGAAAAAGACTTGCGTAATCTCCATACTGCTATTTATCCATATACCAAGTTTCATTAAAATATTTTTTTGTAATTTTCGTGTTATAGCGGGATCCAGTTTTGTGGAAGGACGGACTGACTGACGGACAGTTAGACAGACAGACGTACTTACGAAATGGTACTTATGTTTTTTCCTTTGATCTTTTTAGTCATTTTAGTCGCAAAAGGTTTAAAAAAGACACACAAGTAAAAACGGAATGAATAGGATCAAAGAGAATTTACTGTTACCTATTTTTCTCCAAGTCACACAAGTACCTCTAGGTTTGTACAGAAAGACGGACAGACCGACGGAGGGTTAACCTAATGTCCTCTCCGGTTAAACCGGTAGGGGGCTAACAAGAGCATACACATATAAAATGATATTCATCTTCTATGCAAAAAATGTATTGCAAGATAAACAATATCGCTGGTGTATTATTCCTATTGTATCTCCCAGTTTATATTTTTAAGGATGTACAGATAAACTTAATCTACTTAATCTATATTTACGAGGCTTTATATCAAGACAACTTTCATTACCAAAATTAAGCTTAAAATTCTTATAATTAAACAAAAAAAAGACTGCGTTCTAACGTAGCTGCCCATTCATGTTTAAAAGTGTTTATAACTGATAGGGATCACTTTTGCATTAACGCAATATTCATTTAACATTTCAGCAAAACCATAATTACAGAGTAGCTTTATAACATTTGAAACCCAATTGTGGTGTCCTTTATTACAATCAAATAAATCATCTTCATACATAGTTTTTTTAAACAATTTTTCTGTGTTTTTCAACTTACACCAAAACTTGATAATTCTTACGTAACAAGTAACTTACAGCGGATATATGTAACGTTCCAACTCTCCATATACTGCAGCAGAACAAGTAAGTATTCGTTCTAACATTAAGCAAACGTTTACAAAATTTTAAGTGGATTCTTTCCAATTCTTTAGATTTCGTGTAACCCCAAATTTCAGACCCATGTCCTAAAAGAGACCCAAAATGATTGATATAATAAATAATATATCAGGTTTAAGATCAAACTTTTTACAATTGTTAAACAAAACATTAAGAGCTCTTAAAGCTTTCCATACCAAGTGTTCCTGGTTAAGTGAAAAAATGCCTGTATAATAAAAACAGTACCCAAATAATTAAAATCATTCACAACTTCTAAAATTTGTCCACCATAGGTCCAGTTCTCATTTTATAATACCCCCTTGTTTTCGATAAAAACCATTACTTTTGTTTTGCTTGTATTTACTTTTAATCCCCATGTAGAGCAGTATGAATGTAAAAGATCCAAATGGTTTTGTAGTTCAAATGGTGACTTGCCTAAGATAACCATTTTGTCAGCAAATAACAATAAAATCAAAATAACATCATCCAATGACAGTCCTGATTCATGACCAGTTTGCAAATATAACTCTAAATCTAAAGAATAAAATTGGCGAAATAACCTCTTGACGTTATCCAATAGCATAATAAAATGAAAGCACAGAAGGCGCTGAATTTGTTTGGGTCTCAGAATGTCAGAAAGGTGAAGGTTGTGAGAAGGTTGTATAGTGCCACCAATGCTTTTCAGCGTTTAAATTGTAGTAAATTGGTTAAAAGACTAATTGCAACACTGATATTCAATTCAATGTTTATTTGACTTAAACAATTTGAAAAAAATGAGTTGCCTTAATTGGGATTTGAACTCCAGACATTTCGCTTCCTAGGCGAGCGCGCAAACCCTTCGCCCCGGTGAAGTCATATGTTAACGGCATAAAAAAACCATATTATTCTAAATTAGGGTTTGTAACTCTTATTATTTCGACGCTAAATGTTTTTTACCACAGATGCAAATAATCATGGAGCTTACTATAAGCATGTATATCTATAAAGAATAAAACAATATTAGAAATATTCGACCATTCGGGAATTATTTTGCTTGAAAATTAATGCGCCTGTCATTTGACCATCTTTACGCAGTGATTTCCCCTGAATTTTTCGGCGTAAGTGTTCATATAAAGGAAAGTAACCGCTTAAAAAGCGGACTACTTTCGGCATTAGCAATTAACAGCATCAGGGTCTGAAAATTCACTACCATTATTTGTTTGGTCTGACGACCCAAATACCTACGTTTAAGTGGCATTTGAGGTCACTAGATCAAATATTTGCAGGCCAGAACACTGCGAGTGATGACAGAGCTCCATGATCATATGATTAAATGTTTTACTATAAATAACAAATACATTGTACTATTATTGCACATACATCACCTTCCGAGAGCAATATATCATTATAGATTATCTTGTTAAAACTAGATGCTTTTCTTGTATTTCCGAATAATATCCTCGTTATTACTAATGTGAGATTTTTTTCTCGAGAAGACAATTAAGTTATATATTACAACTAAGAATCTCGTACTCAAAAGACAGGTGTTTTTTTAAGGAATAATAAGATAAACCTGTTAAAAAATTTACGTCACTCTATTCGACATTCGTATAACTACGCTATTGTAATTTAAGATTCCGAATTCGGCTTTTTAATTATCATTTTATCGAATATTTCGTACAATAAAACAAATTATGACCATTTGTTCATTCATATTAACACTGTTTTAAATAAGACTGACATGTGGTCATATCAGGAGCAAATTCGTGAGCTTCAGGTATACGTTTGTAATTCAGAATGTCTGTCAATTAATGTTAAACTAGATTTTAAAAAAATGAAGAAAATCACGACGGCATATGTCTGTGCCAGATTTTTGACAATGGTCAAAGTCGTGATGCGCTCTACACTACAATTAGCCAGTGTACTCTAATGATAAAAGTCAAAAGTTCTGATTTCCCTTGCATAGCAAAATTAACTTCCGATGATTATTTCAAGTGTTTTTGTTGTTGTTTTTTTTTACATTTTATTACAAGTGTAATGTCCACAAAACATTTTTTACATTTCATTTCTCACATATTATTGAATTGCATTGACTTGACTAGCAATCGCATTTTCTAGGCCATTTCCATTTAACTCCGAATAAGGACCTCGAATATAATAGTAAGGATACACGTATTTCGGTCTTACCTACGCACGTTAACTGCTGGGATTTGTTAAGTTAGTTTATATGAAGTATATTGTGTAAAAAAATCATTTTTTTAATCCAATTCTTGATTAACCTAGAATTCCACAAAATTTACGCGAACTTGCGATTGACATGTTTAATGCTGGAATGACAATGAATGCCGTCGCTATGAATATTAGATGTTCTACTCGTGCTATTCGCAATTTACGCAACGTTTTCAAGCAAAAAGACTAACAGAAGATGGATCACGTAGCGGACGTCCGTACGTCACGACGCATGCCCAAGACCCCTATATTCGGAACACCCAGCTGCTCAATCACCTCCAAACTGCATCAGCTATTGTTGCTAAAACCCATGTTACACATATCAACCGTTTATCTACCAAAACTGTGCGAAATCTTTTGCGAAAAGGTGGGTTACATGGACGTCGACCATACGTTGGATGTGTTTTGAGGCGACGTTACCCTGTAAATCGTGTTTACTAGGCACGTACACACCAACGCTGCCTTAGACAACAATGGAATAGCGATTTTTCTCTGACGAGTCGAGGTTTTCCGTTCATCGAGCTGATGAAAAGGTTTGTGTGTACACCGTAGGAGAAATGATTGTTTTGCTGACTGCAGCGTACTTGAACGAGATCTTTGATGGTGGGGGTTCTGTCTTTGTCTGGGCAGGCAATGCACATGACTTTTGCACTAATGTCGTCGATATCGATGGGAATTTGACTGCCCAGGGCTACCGAGATGAAATTCTTGCGAGGAATGTCATCCCTTTGTTTCAAATAATGCCAATACCACTCTTATAAACAAGATAATGCCACAAGCCATATAGCTAGGGACACTGTGAATTTCCTGGCCTGCCAAAACCCCTGATCTAAATCCCATTGAAAACTTTAGAGACAATTTGGACCAGAGGGTTAGACATAGACCTATTCCACTGTCAAACGTCATTCAGCTAAGACAAACCTTAATTCAGAAATGGAACAACATTCCACATGCCGAAATCAATACGCTGTTCCGTTCTAGGCGCCAACGATTCCTGGTAAACCCTCGGCACAAACAATTGCAATAAAATACTCTTTCAATACATATAGATCTGCTTTAATCCTGATTTTCATAATTGTGTATATCTGCACCTAAATACAGGGGAAGGTTTATTTCTATTTTTTTATTTTTTATCTTGTTTGTTCAGTTGAACCAAGTGAAAATGACGAAACATGAAGATATGCATGTCTGTCGATCGCACTTCGTAAACAAATATCAAATACATGTATATTAGTATATGTTTGTACTTTCATATCTTGCATGTCATCTTCGTTCACATAATCTAAAAGTGACACGTGTATCAAGAACCCAGTGCAATTGTCTTTAGCCATGACATGTCACTCAATGAGCCTATAGTTTCCAAAAACTGCAAGAATTATACGTAATTCAATTGCTTGACATCTGCGCATTTTCCTTCTTTGATAACCCCAGGTTTCATCCGGGACGGACCTTCTCGTATAAAAGCTGCGTCTAGTGCGCAGTAAAATTTTGTGTAGAAAAGTCTACGGAGATAGCCCCATCAACTGTAAGTACATGTCTGTTTATACCGTAGAATATCTCTTAATCGGCTAAATTTGTGATATGCTTGACTTATTAAAGACAAAATTAAATAAAATGTTGAAGAGAAATTTGAGTGAAACAGAAACAAAATTTAACAGACTTACCTGCTTTTGCTTTACTTTTATATTCTTTGATAATTGACTTAAGTTGAATGACAGTTAGAAAAACAAAATCCAAAATAAATAGAATAGAATTAAATAGAGCACCGGTCAATGCGTTTTCCAGCTTCGGGATGGTTGACTAGATTATTGATTATATTTTATTTACAGACGAATCTGTTGAAGACGACACAATCATCTATTGAAATAAATGTTAAAAATGCTGCTCGTTGCAACACTTGCTCTCATCTTTGGCGGATATTGTGAAAGCGCCCTCTATAGTCGGAATGCGGTCACAAATCCAGCACGACTTTGGCCAAACGGAAAAATACCGTACACGTTCCATGGACAAATTGATGCCTATCGAAAAGTACACATGTTAGCGGCAATGAAACAAGTCATGTTAAGTACTTTCAGCAACGAGACACCATGTATATCCTTTGTTCCAAGGACCTCTGAAGCTGACTATATTGAAATACAATTTGCAGGACTTGGAGGGTCTGGCAGTAATGTGGGACGTACAGGTGGGAAACAAACACTTTCGGTGAGTTCTTCCCCTACCCATGATGAACTCGTCCGGGGTCTGATGTTCATTATAGGTGTTCATCCGGAAGTCGCGCGCCCAGATCGTGACAATATTCTTGAAATCGTTACTAGTAACATTGACTCCGCTTTTTTGGGAAGCTTCCGGATTGAGCAAGACACCGACACATTCAGACAGCCATTTGACTACGATACTGTTGTCATGTATGGGCCGTACTCATTTGCAATTGACCCTTCTACGCCCAGCATTAAGACGAAATATGATGGTTTTACTATAGGACAATCAATATCGATGAGTTCAGGTGACGTCACTCTAGTACAGCACGTGTACAAATGTTCCTTAGATTCAAGTCATAGAGTCGATGTGTTAGGCCCATTACAGTTTGAGTGTCACTTTCATTTCGACTTGTGCCAGTTTAAGCAGGATACACAAGACGATTTTGACTGGGTATTGCGAGAAGGGCCGACTGCAACCACTGGTACTGGTCCCAACGCCGATCACAGTAGTGGATCGGGCAGTTACGGCCTTGCTATAGCTAGCGGGCACCATAATCAAGTAGCTAGACTGACTACACCGAATCTTCCAGCAGGAACGTACTGCTTTGTTCTCTGGCTGCACGCTTATGGAAACGATGTTGGTCAGCTGCGAGTCCTGCAGCGTACTGTGGACGGAGAAAAGTCACTTATGGGTGTATCTAAGACACCCGTTAATCAATGGTATCATGGTTCAGCTACGGTCACATCGCCACATAGCCAAGTTTCCGTGATTCTAGAAGCACATATTGGTAACGGTGACATGGGTGATATTGCTGTTGACGATATATATATCTACAATGGAAAATGCATTGACTGGTATTAGTCATCCTAAAAGTTTCTTGAAGTTAACTGTTATACTTGTACACCTAAAATGAATAAATTTGGTAAGATAAATTTCGTTTAATTTAATATGATGTTTTTTCTCTTCTTTTTTCCAAAATAATTTAGGCCCTGACTTCAAGATGAAAGTGCTGCTAGTTTTAAGTGTGGTTTGTGCAACAGTCTCGTCTCGGTTAACATCGAAACTAGGTGACCATCATAATGACTCGCTTATCCATAAAACCATTCTTACTACAACTAAATCAAGGAACAGTGTACTCGGATCAACAAGAGACGATACCACAATCAAAACAAGAAACGTGTTCACAGATGCGACAAGGTTGTGGCCAAACGGGGAAGTTCCGTTTATATTTGACGATAATGTCCCGGCTTTCACAAAAATTGAACTATTAGCTGCAATGCAAGAAATAGAAATGAGTATATATAGCGGGAATAAGATATGTGTCATGTTTGTTCCTCGTACATCCGAACCAGATTACCTTCATATATCTTGGACAAGCGGAACATCTGGTTCTACAAGTATTGGACGAGTTGGTGGCAGACAAGAAATGACGGTAAATAGCGCTGGTGGGCGTGGACATGATGACAATTTAGAAATTCTCCTTATGGTCATGGGAGTTATACCAGAAGTCATGCGTCCTGACAGAAACACATATTTGAATATTAACATTGACAACGCGATATCTTCGAGCCCATTCCGAGTATTAACTGGAACTGGGACCAGTTCTTTTGGTCAAAGTTTTGATTATGAGTCTCTTGTTCTTGGAAACCCGTATCAGTATGCAAAAGACAGCGCTTATCCTGTGACATCGGCAAAACAAAGCGGTAAGGTTATGGGTCAAGGTGTTTCGTTAACAAAAGGAGATGTTACATTGATACAGCATGCCTACCAGTGTACTGTCGATTCATCTCATGATGTTGACCTCTTGGGTTCATTACTAATTGAATGTCACTTTCATGTAGATATGTGTAATTTCATACAAGACAAAACAGATGATTTTGACTGGGTTGTAAAGGCTGGTCCATCGGCAACAACCGGTACTGGCCCCTATGCTGACTACAGCAGCGGATCGGGAAAATTCGCCCTTGCTCAGGCTACGGGGCACCACAACCAAGATGCTCGCCTGTTATCCCCGACATTCAATGCTGGTGAATACTGCTTAAGAGTGCACTTGCATATGTATGGACGAGATATCGGTACCCTGAAAATTTCTGCGGTTCTCCCGGACGGTACCAAACAATATTTACTAAACCAGAGCGGCCAACTTCCCAACACGTGGTACCATGTTTACTCGACGCTCAACAGCAAGACATCTTTTCATCTTGAGATAGAGGTTACCGTGGGCAACGGAGACCTGGGAGATATAGCTGTTGACGACATATACTTCTACAATGGTCAATGTATTGAATGGGATTAGGTTATATCATGCATGAAATTTTGAGATGGTGTGAAATTTTATATTTAAGTTCAGAATAAAAAGTTGATATCAATTTACTAGTAACTGTTTCTATTAACAGCAGAAATAATGGGGCATATTTCTATGGCTATTTTCGTGAAGAATAAAATATTAAAATAATATTTTTTACTCCTTCATTAGCACTGGAGAAGAATGCACATTACCAAGTAAAGACCGTACAGTTACTTCGAACATCAGTAAGGATCAAGCTGGTTTGACTTCCTTCTTTATTACTCGCTTCAGTTACAAATCTTTTACAATTATCTAAGATCAATTACAATGTATTTTAATAATTAACCTGCTAGAACCGGACCTAACAAAGAAGACTATTGTCAAGCAATAAAAGTCCCCTACCGGTAAGGATCTTGTCACATATAAAACCAATTCAATCATCCTACAAATGTACCTATAAATGTACATTGCTGTCAGATATGTAATACTTGACTAATTTGTTTAACATATCGGTATTTCATTTAAAATGTACTTTTAAACGTTAATTTAGCTTGAATTACTCAGACTTAAAATTCATACTGTAAGTTGCAGAACTATGGACTTAATAACATTCTTCAAAGATAAGCGTGTGTTTTTGTTCATTTATATCCATGTACCATAACATTTAAGTCATGTTTAGCTACTAGTTTGTTCAAATATGTATCAACAATAAAATACACACGTCTTTCTATGTGTCTGTCTGGTGACTTTGTGACAGTCGTGGATCGACAAATTTCTGATCAAAGCAATTTCTATGAATATCTGAGCTTGGTCGGTCAATTTAAACATTTAACAATTATGATGATCGGACAAGGTCTGTTCCAGTTACTCTTAATGCAAGATAACTATTGATTAGAACAATAAAAGCTGTATTTGTTATACTACGTATTTTGCAAAAACGAATATCAGTTTTCATGACTAACATGTGACAAGCGTTAGATGTTTATTAAAGTGCATAGTTACTTTAGGGGTGTATCGCTGTTCCGACTGCAAATTATTCTTTTAGCAAAATTTTGTTTGCGTGTTTTTTATGATTTTGGTAAAAAAAATTATGAAAGTCGAGTTAATTGGCATGTCAAATATTCATAGATTATTAAACAGTTCCATCAATTTGCTTAGTGTTACCTAGCAAATATAATATGCAACAACAGTTAAGGCATTTGGCATAAATTAGAGGTCGCAAGTTCGAATCAATGTTTCTTCTACTTTGTTGATTGATTCATCCAGATAGGTTAAGCACAAGCAGTCGGACAAATTTGGACGATAACGTACCGTAAGCTCTTATACAAATTAATGACATAAGCTAATTAAGCCTTGCCATGTTTTCATTTTTCAAGTCCTATTTCCATATTGAATCCATGTTGCATTCTATCAAGCCTCGATTTCATTTTTCAAGCCAAAAATTCATTATTAAGACCATATTGTCATCAAAGAGTCTAATACACAAACAATGGTTTTTTCTTGAATTTAATTTGTTTTCTTTTTAAAAATTTGCGGTAAGAATTAAAGAGTTCCCTATACATTGTTGAGTACCAATCTTATTCTACTCTGCAACACGTAAATAGGACTAGGCTATAGCACCAAACCTACTACAGTCGACTCTCGTTATCTCGAAGTCATTGGGACCGTCCAAAAAATATCGAGATAACGAAATGTCGAGATAAACATATTAGGGTTAGAACAAGGCGAAACTGATTTTTACAAAAGACATGTGCATACCTTATGTCAAATATACTATTATATCCCCATGTCTTGTTTTCATAGGCCTAGTCAATATTTAACAAAGTAACATAAGCGGATGTTTACCAGCGGAAATACGGGTGTCTGTGATAAAAACACATAGTGAGGTTTACTCAGTAATACACCAATATAGTGAATCGGATATCGGATATGGTTGATCCGGATATCCTCCCGGGTTATTTATCGGGTCTTTCTCGAGATTGTTCCACCGCTGATTGATTTGGTGATGATGTTGTGAAACAATATTGCAACGATAGCGTTTCTATACTTTCACTTTTTCATTTACATTTAAAGTCATAATGAATTGATATAGTGTTCGAATATTTAAAAAGAATGTAAAATTCACTCATTGTGGACATAAGTCAATCAACACGCTAAATAGATTAACTTTTATAAAAACAGCTAAAGTTGTTACAAACATAATCGTCATTATGACACACGCTATTAATTGAGCAATTATCGTCTAGATTGTGTTTTTCACACGTCTGAAGAGAACAGACGAAGTCGAGATAAACAAAGGATAATAGTGTGAAAATAACTGTTGGGGCTGAAATTTTACATTGAGATACTGAAAATATCGAAATAGAAATATCGAGATAAACACATATTTCCAATATAGATAAAGAAGGAAGAAAATCGAGACTTTCAAAATTTCATCGAGATAACGAAATATCGAGAAAAGCGATGTCGAGATAACGATAGTTGACTGTATAGTTTAATATACAACTGTATAATAATAGTAATTATTAAAATGAGCCGTGTCATGGCAGAACTAACATAATGGGTTTGCGGCCAGCATGGATCCGCAAACCCATTATGTTGGTTTTGTCATGACACGGCTCAAATACTCTTTATTTTAAGAACGTAGTAGGATACATTTCGTGCAAAGTTAATGAAAACTTATATTAATCAAATTTTCATTTGACCTTCCAAAGAAGAAAAAGGCAATTATTTACATAATTATTTATCACAATAATATATAATAAACAGTTAAAGAGAGAAACTACTCTAGGAAGTATCAACAACAGTACTGAAGTTATCACAATATATTTAATACAAATAGAACTCAGTATAGTACTGTAAAATATTTGATAACCTCGTATAATAATCCAAAACTCATTCCTAAACTAGAGAGTCAAGATTCTGAAAGGAATGAACAGATTGTGTCGGCCGTGTATCCAGCATTAACAAAATACTAATGTCATTATCTGAGAAGTGTAAAATAAAAACAATTCTTAATTACAAATAGCATTTCCCTTCTAAAACGATGAATAAGTGAAGAATCTGACATACTTAGTACCTAAGACGCCGAAGCGACGAGGTAAGTCGTCAAAACACCGATCGAGTCAATGCGCCGCTTTAGTCAATGCACCGCTCGAGTCAATGCGCCAAAGCGACGAGACGATGAACAGAAGTGCGATGCGATAATGCCAAATTAATACCTTGCCCTTGCATTGTGTCGTCGTCATATCGCATTGACTTATCGTATCTTTGCTTCAACGAGCAGATACGTCGGAGCGACGAGGCGATAACACGCAACAGTAGATCTACAAGACGATGCCAGGGTACGATAATCCTTTAACATTTTTGTATTGTTCCGTCGCTTTGGTGATTGGTTTCGTCGATTCATTGTATCGGTTTGTCAATGGGGTGTATCGTTTCCTCGTTTCTTCGTTTCACCGTATTTTAGTTGCTTCGTTTATTTAGTTGCTTCGTTAATTTGAGGTTTCCGATGCGAACAAACGATGGACAAAACGGAAAGCGGTATATATTCGTTGGGGCGTATCGTTTAGTTGCTTCGTTTGTTTGAAGTTCCCGATATGAACAAACGATGGTCAAAACGGAACACTGTAGATATTTGTTTCCGTTTCCTATGATTACATTGGTCTAACTATGGTGGCTGAGTTGGTACACTTTGCGGGTTGTGTTGTCGATAGCGACAACACTAACTATATCGTTATCGCCTTTTCGTCTTGTCTTCTTGTCGCTAGCGAAACGCGCCAAACGGCGCGTTATCGCACTGTCGTCTTGTCCTGTCGCTAGTGAAGCACGGCAGACGGCGCGTTGTATATGCGGCGCGTTGTCGCTTGCCTTATACATATATAAAAATATCAAATTCTTCGATTTGAGACGACCGACAATGTGACATCGCAACAACACACCGCACGACTTCGCGCCGTTTGGCGTGTTTCGTTAGCGACAAGACGACAGTGCGACAACGCGCCTTTTTATGAGCTAGCGACAACACGACAAACGTAAAAGTGTTTTAAATCAGCCACCATACTTAACTTATATATCAGAAATGCAACATAAGTTTTATTTTTGGCCTATTTCTGCACTCGTGTTAGGAGATACAATTACATAATTGTTCACCGATTTAATGTCATTATCTATATATGAAGATAAGGAGGTCAATATTAATCTGTGCAAGGACAATAGCGACGACATATTTTCTGTAAACATTGAATTGAAAACAACGATTTTAACAGACAATGAATTCTTTATTCTTCATCTGTTTTGGCATTTGCGGTAAATATACAACTCTTACATATTTCTGCGTAGAATGTCTTATTAAACATAACTATTCAGTGGCAATCGATACTGATACTGTCATATTATCAAATACAACGATTTAAGGCATGGATGCTTTTAGTGAAATTTATTTACTGTTGTTGTTTCCTAGCTGACAATAACAATTTCAATGGTAAATGATACAACAAATGTTTAAAAAATAGTTTACACTCCTGAGATATGTTTTTCATTCTTTCTTCTTTTTTTTAAATAATTGCTGTATAAAGTTTTCTGTCATGTCCCTTGATCGCTTTAATGTAATCTTGCCTAGTCGCCAACGCTCCAAAAGGAAAGCTCCAACAGAAGAAAATTTTCGGGGTTTTTTTCGGGCGGGGGGGGGGTGGGGCTTGAGAGTTTTGATATTTGATATTTTTATTCCTTTTTGTTTAGAATCTGTGTTTTGTTTATTAATTTAGTGATTTAGTGGTAAGGCATTGCATTACATCAAAGAAATAAAATAAAATGTCCGATTATTAGCGCATTGCTGTCAAAGCTTTGCTTAACTTGCATATTTTTTTCCCATCAAATGACGCCAGACAACAAAATAGTAACGCAAATAATCACGTGGCCACAAAATAAGCAAATCTATTATATGCACGATACATTTCTGATTATTTTAGTGGCCACAGTGGCATCGGAATATTGCATGGGTCATGATAGCGACTGCGGCCTCGAGCGATGCCCACATGGTTACGTGGTAAAGTGCCTTCCAGACAATGTATGCTCATGCGAACACGCAGGTTTGTATCTTTTCATAGTTGATATTTCGTATTTATCATGTCACAAAAATATTACTACATTACTTCAAGGTGAAATGAAACAAAAATAGTGCCTAGATTTTTAATTTTAAGTGTATTCTAAAGAAAAAATGCCAACAATTTCAGGAGAGTGCCAATCTTCAAGCGATTGTGAAAATAAACATGGAAGATGCGAAAATAATGATAAGCATTGGTACTGCAATGGAAACAAGTAAGTGTTGTCCTCTTCACTTTCTTTGATGCCTCTTAGACGCCCGTATAGTCACGTTAATCTCCTTAGCTCCTCTTAGGCTATTAAAATCCCGCCTATTTATACTCGTAAAATCGCAACTTGTCAATTTCACTGTTAGTTCTACTTTAGCGCTGGTATTTTCACGATGTTTTCTAAAGTTTAATTTTTTTTATTAAGGACTTCCCCTTCTTTTCTCTCGAAAAATGACAAAGTACGAAAAACGTACCTTTCTCCCAAGTAGGTACGATCGCTTTACGATAAGGAAAGTAACAGTTATTCCCCTTTGACCACAGAGGGAACTGTATTTTCGAACATAGAAATAATAGAAGCCAACAAGTCGGCCCTATGCTTGCACTTTTAATATATTTGAAATATTTTTTTTAATTTCTAAAAAAGTGAAACGCTTGATAGAGCTGTCATTGAAATGCTTTCGAAGAAGTTGGATATTTTGCGCATGTGCAAAAGTTTGCGTATAAGTATCTTAAAAATAACATGCGAGTGATATCTGTTGTAAATTATCGTTCCATGATGATTGACGACAATATGCGTACCATCATTTCTTGGAACATGATTAAAAATTAACAACAACAGTTTCAGAAGAAATCGTTTAACACAAAATATCTATCTCGAATCTTTGTAAAACAAATAATTGTAGATGTTATTTCAATCTGTACCAGATGTTGCTGTGGAGAACCATGTCACCATGCCGGTGATCATTTCATATGTACAGATGCTACAGATTGCGCCAACGAGTTCTTTAAATGTACAAACAACGACAAACGATGGCACTGTACTGGAACCACTGGAAGCAAACACTGCCACTGTGGAAGCGATCACGGAAGCATCCATAGCTAAGGTAAACGTTTGTGTCACGTGTTTCGATCGGTAACGAAGGTATCCAGATGTAAGGCAAATGATTATTATGACGTGTTTAAAAGGGCTCTGCCGTAAGTAATTATGCCAAGCCTTTGTTGGTCAAGTGTTGTCACAGAATTTAGTGCGAAAAAGTAAAATAACACCTAAAATTTGAAGTTGACAGAACTTAAGAGTTAAATGTTGTATTCTAAAATATCCAGTGGTATTATGTTATTCTTAGAAATATAATTAAACTTATTTCAGTTTTTATTATTTTCTTTTTAAGTTGTCTAATCTTATTTTAATTTTCTCTTTTTCAGATATTCCCTTCATGAATTAACGAAGTCGTGCGACTACTGTATACATCATTTATTTTTCGTCTTTATCTCAAATAAATCAGGGACCAAAAACAATGTGTTTTTTTTTTCTTGATTTCATAACATCTCAGTATTTTTATGCAACAAATACTGGCCAATGTGAAAGGAATAAGTGGAAAATTTTAAACGAAGCATGTAATGGGATAATATGCAAATATTTAACCTAATTCTAGCCGTTTTCCATGTAAATTTCTTAAATGGACTTTTCCAGCTTCAATAGTCTAATTTCTAGGGACATCCAGATTAGATATTTTAAGTGTTGCCACAGGTATAAAGCCCACCCTGTCCAATGTAATATGTCCTGGCTCTTTAATGATAGCAAACGATGATATTGAAACTTGCGGTACCAGCAGGGTAAGGGCTAGCATATATCTTCATGTATATTTGTCACTTTCCATCAACAAATTACCTGCTATTTGAAACAACGATCCTATTTATCATTTCCAAAAGAAATTGTAACAACTATGTTAAACTTGATCTTGATTTTAAGGGTGTAAGGTAAATATACCTCAAGAAAGAAATATAAATGTAGCATTTTAGCAAATAAAAGTTCAATTCCGACTAATAACTTATTTGAACAAATGTTCTAAATACAACTACATGTATAGATAAGAAATCCTGTTATAGTGACAATGAATTGATTATTAAATCATGTGGTAATAGGAAAGATATATACCTGTACTATTTGTCTGTCATAAGTGACATACATTTATTTGCTATCCTAATTGAAAAAGTCAAGTTCAGCCAACAGATAGAAAATATAAAGTAAATGTATTTCAAAACTTGCGATGTTCCTCCGATTTATTGTGGATGCGTCATTTTTAAATGTCTACTTAATTATTATTGAAAGCAGGAAAACCACCCGGTGCCCTTTAGTATATGTCATACACCAACAGAATAAATATTAGATCGCTACATGGACTGGTAGAAAAGTACGTTAAAGACTGTCTTCTGTATCATGGAAATCACAAAATCAACAAGGTATATACATGTGCATGTTTTAATTATAAAGTATATATATATATATCACAGATGGCTCAATATTGCAACTAAAATTTTATATATAGAACTTGAACCGTTACAATTGTACATCAACAAAAGGTAAAAAAAAATACTCTTAAATTTCCATACAAACCAGTACAACATCACATTTAGACAATACGATGTAAGTTATACAAGTGTTTTCTATAATAATGTAAAGAAGGGCAGTGATTCAACCAAACATTCATTAACCTCAGATATACTATGTCACAAATCTCTTCATTTACTTCTATTCTGACATTACTCAAGTTATCTTCTATATGGAGATGGACGTGTCCAACTTCTACCGTAAATCAGTTCATTTATAATTTTAGGAATATGAAACCTTTAGATATTGGTCAGCCATGTGCAAGTACCTGGTCTAAACTTTAGGTATGGCTAGGCAGTTTTGACTCTAACATTTTAACAGTTTAGAAAAGATGTTCCATGTAATAATTCTGTAACTCATTACACTATAACACTGTTACATTAAATCAGTTATATAAATTTAAAGGATTGGCTTCCTTAATCACGAGTGCTATCTTAAAATTTCTTATTTAGACAGGAAACATTTTATATAAAAATCACATTTTTTAGATAAAGATTTCATTATCTTCAAATAAAAACATATACATGTTGCACCTAAGTATCAAAATAATTCCTATTACAGAACCTCAAAACTTTATGGTTTGCTAACTTAAAATATAAATACTTTCATAATTTCACCCTAAATAAAAGCCCTTCTAGATGGACTGTGGATAAGTCAATAATCATAAAAAATCATAAATTTCAAGGATACTCAAAATATTGATTTGATACTAGTAATCTGATATCTTGAGTAGAGTTTGACACTGTAAAAATGAAATTTTAAGTAGAATAATTATATAGATTAAGTATTGTTTTCAAACTAGCAAAAAAAAAAGCTTGAAATAATTTAAATATATATGCTGTATACACTAGCATACACAATCCATTCTTGTGGTTTATTTAATAAATTTAATAACATTAAAGTAAAAGTAATTAACTAGTCTACCTAGTTCTATCAATGACATGAAATTAAAGTAAAAACTAATACATGTATTTACTTAAGCTATAATATTTAAATATATTTTAGTCTTATCTTGTATTTTATTATGTCACAAACAGATGTTCGTTCAAAGCAAAAAAAAAAGATCAATCTGCTGAGATTTTATAAATGTGTATCAAATGGTGTCATTATAGTAATGAAAGTAACTGAGGAATAACTATGGTTTAATAATAAAATATGAGCTTTGCAGTTACTTTAACATCAAATGAAAAAAATCAAATGAGCCTTGTCATGACCAAACCAACATAGTGGGTTTGCGACCAGCATGGATCCAGACACCTCTGCGCATCCATGCAGTCTGATCAGGATCCATGCTGTTCGCTTACCAACTCTATTACAAGTAGAGAAACTGATAGCGAAAAGCATGGAACCTGATCAGACTGCGCGGATGCGCAGGCTGGGCTGGATCCATGCTGGTCGCAAACACACTTTGTTGGTTTTGTTGTGACACGACTAAATGTTCATCATCAGGTAAAAAACTAGTACACGGATCATTAATGAAATTCAAAACCATGAAAACAAAAATAACAAAGAACATTCTTAGATCATATATAAATCCTTTTTTACAATATTTATCAACTAAAATGTATAAATAATAAAATTAATGTGATATATATCTATATTACATACCATTCAACAAAATTATCTGAATGTAACATACACTGAATGGGGAAGAACCAATCAGACTGACCAAACAACTTACAGGAAATATGATGTCACATGACTTGCATGTACAATGAACAGTAAACATGGATGTGCATTTCACTACCAACAACAAGGCATATTTTCAAGTCTAGTTTGAGTAACAATAAAATAAAGTACAAGATCTGTTGAATCCATGCTATCTGGCATGAAGTCAGGATACTCTCACCTCATATTATAGATAATTATCTAATATACCCTTCAATAGCTAGTAGTGATGATAACAGACTTGTATCACTTGTATTTGTTCAAGCCAGTTTGTACATGCAGCCGCAACTGCCAGACTATTTACCTCTGACCCTCAAATTCCTAACAAGAAGTAATGGACCATTACACAGCCACAGCCAAAAATGTAAGAAGTGTAAAAGTTAATGATCATATGTTCTTTAAGCATTATGCTAACAGTCAAACAAATAATAAAGATCTAGTATATGCAGCAAGTATTCAAACCTATTTTAACAATTTTCTTGTCAACAGCATCATATAGACAACTACTTTAGATATCTTAATGAAAACAACTGTCAGGATCTGTCTAATACAGCCACTTTGACTATCATCATTCAGCTCGTCCATTTTTTTTGGTCGCGCAGAAAGATTTGATCATTATACTACTAGAAACAACCACATCAGTTATGGTTTGTCATTCCTGTCATCATGCTATGATTGATGGGAACAGTAGCATTATAACATGAGTACTAGTCTGTTATGGAGATGACCTTTCAATTATAAACAGGTGACAGTCGTTTCAAGCCTCCTCTACGCTCAGCCGTCTGAAAATATATTTTAACATTATATTCATTTTATCATAAAAAATCATGAGGGAAAATGCTTTCTTCAAAATTATCAAAAATTTTCATCACTTGATATTTTTAATGAATAAAAATGTTTTCTTCAAAATTCATTAAAAATTTTCATCTTTTGATGCTACTTTTATAGAATAAATGTACATCAAATGTTTAAAGCAAATCCAGATTTTGTATAAAAATACAGTCCTCTGAAATAAAGGTGTAGAGAATAATTGCAGGGCTTTTTTTTCTTCACAGGTTGGGGAAGCAGCCCTGCCCTTAATTTTATTGAAAAATTACACAATATATTTGCAAAAGAAAAAACTTGATGTAAATTCAAACTGGGGAAAACTGCGTGATTTTAAAGAATTTTACTTTGCGGAAGTAGCCCTATTACAGCCCCTGCTATAGAAGAAAAGAAAGCCCTGAATTGGCAACTCTTGAATATTGTTCAAAAGTACCAAATAAGCGGTTCATATTTTCCATACATTCTGTCTAGATTCCTAGATCTATATTCAAAACCTTAATACATCAGCATCTATGCTGTAATTACAATGGTGTATAGAAAATTCTCAAATGATATATGTGTTAAATCTATGTATGTATGTATGTATGTATGTATGTATGTATGTATGAATAAAAGATTATTTTAATTTGTACAATATGAAAAATAACAACTTACAACAACAGGGAAATCATGGAAAACTGTAGACGTGTGTCTACCAAATGCATGTTCTGCTTCATTCAGTCGTATATTCAATGCCGCTCTCTCTTTACCCCAATCACGTGAATTCTGTGCCAACTATTCGAACACGGAAAAAAATGATTTCATACTTATTTAAAGATTCAGACAAAAAACTGAAATACAATAGATTTCTTTCTGTAACTTTAATGAGAGATAATTTCTTGTGTACTCTGTCAGGTTGCTTATTGTAATAATCAAATCAATGTCAAATAAAACAATAAATGTAAAACTTTTACTTAATAATTTTTAACCCTTTCGCTGGAAAAAATGTGACTGTACAATTAACTTTATGCAATCCTAAACTATCAATAAAAAAAAAGAAGTTTGTTTGTTATCACAGATAAAAAGATATGATGTTATTAGTGTGAATTTACCTGATTTTCAAGGGAGGCAATCCTGCCTTCAGCTTTTTCGAGGGCCTGGTAAAGTTCCATCTTCTCTAGATCATCATTAGCATTGCTTCCACTGTTTCTTATCTGCATCTGAAACCAAACAATATTAAGTATATATACATGTACACTAAAGCTGGCTTTATCATATCTATATCTACACCAAGTACCTCGATTTAAGACATAAAAGCATTTTTTTTAAACCAAAACTTGTTATGTGAAACCTGTGTTTTATATTCACAAAGCCCATGCTTAACATTAGCAAAAGTTAAAAAACACGTTTATGATTGCCTATTGAGATTAATATCTCTGGGTTAATATCAGAAATACTCAATTCTACATTTCTTTATCTAAATCATGCACTCAAATTTAGAAATTATTTCCAAAAGTATCATAACAAATGGGTCTCATCAAATTACAAAAAAGATGAATAGGTTTTACGTCTCTACATTACTATTAACATCCTTAGGTTTTTTCAAGCTCTACTAGAGGAGGAAAACCCCATATGCCTTTAAAGTGTATCATTTCAGACACAAGTGGGCACCTGACTGAGACCTTCATCCATTATAATGCTAGTTAAGAACCTAATTATTAGGAAAAGAATTCAATCTGCCAGGAGGATTTTCACATAAATGAGAATAACAATGAGTACATGTCAACCACATAAACCTCTCAACTTCCAAAAGAACAGAATTACTGATGTCACATAGAGAAATCACATACAGTTTTAACTGATATAAATGTACAGAGTACACAGATTATCCTTTTAAAAAAGACGCAGAGTAAATATTAAGTGCAATATGAACTCACTCTAAGCTCATCTATCTGATCCCTCAATCTCTTGTTTTCTTGTAACAACACTTCATTAGCATCTTGTGAAGCTTTGTCTGCAAAAAATCAAGGTAAACCAATTAACAAAGTTAATTTACAGTTTAGACAACATTTTCATAAATTAAAGATACTGTGAAAAGATCATCATAGTAAGATCTATAAGGCGACTATGAATTGAATTTGATATAGTATCGACTTTTGTTCTTCTATGGAAATTAACAAACAGAATTTTTAAGAAATACATTGTTTTCATTGGATGACAAATATAACCCAAATGACATCATGATCAGGAAAATTACTTCTCCACTCAATGTAGTTCAACATAGTTTGATCAATTCTCTTTTTATTAGCATGTCTGAAAGGAAAAAACATGTAGATACTAAGTTTTGCTTATATTGGAGAATGATAAAGCACAGTTTTTCATTCAATATCATTCAATCATTTTAATTAACCATCTAAGTCTACCAGCCTTTGTGCATATATTCCTAGGCATTTGCACTCAAACTGTGCACTATTCTACAAACAATGCACTCAAAAACTTTTTTTTATTTTTTATGCATCATACCTTTTTGATATCTGCCCCTATCCCTGTGATGTCTTTCTAAAACTTTTTCCATCTGAGATATGACACTTTCCTGTTTTTTACAAGCTTCTTCCAGCTTCTTCATCTTTTTTAATTTATCTTGTAACTTCTGAATCATCATTTGTTGACTGGCATGTGCCTTTTGTATCTTTAAAAACTTCTTCTCATCATCATTTTTCTACAGTCAAAGAAACATAACTCTGTCAGAGCTTAAAAATAATTTTTATAGACCCCATTCTTCTTATAAAGAAACAAGGAACATAAAGTTACATTTTATATTAGAATATCAAAAAAATAATTCATAAGTGCCTTGTATATGCGTACATGTATGTTATTTATTCTTCTCATCAAGATTTTTTTTTTGGTTGAGTTTTTTCGTCGCACCAACACAATATCGGTCACATGGCAGCTTTCCAGCTTTACTAGTGGAGAAAGAGCTCAGGTGCCCTTCCTTGCATTATTTGAGGCAAAAAATTGGCCCTGCAGAGTTGAACCTCCGACATTCTATAAGCTAGCTGGATAACTTTCTCACATGAAAAATTCGAAAGGCCCTGACGTGATTCAAACCCACATCTGTGTGGGGCAATCGGTTTGAAGTCAACAACCTTAACCACTCGGTCACGGATGCCACACTGACTTGCTCATTATTATAAATCACTAATGAAATACAAGTATGTGGTTATTATTTCAATTCTAACAATAACATCATAGATATTCAAGTCAAAGCAAAAATTGATTTTTAGCAATAAACTGACATCTGAGTGCACATTACAGACCACAGTTTTAAAGAAAATAAAATTATATGTGTATAAAATTTCTTAGCTAATAAAAAACCATTAAATTCAAGTAAAAAATAATAAAGTGATATCTATCACAAAGGAGAGGCAAGACTTACTTTAATGAGGTCATTTTGTGCTTTCTGCAGTTTGTCTTTGTATGTTTTGAGGTCTACAGTCTGTGATGCTAGAGTCTGTTTTAATGCAGCTAAAATAAAACAAAATATTGTATGTAAAACATTTATCACTAATCACACATACACTGTAGAAGCATGGCCTTAATTACCTAATTAAAACTGTGATAGAAGGTAGGTTTGTCTCATGATTTAATTTGTTGATATTTGTTTAAGTAAAACTTTGAATAACACATAATAGACACATATTCACAGAGTAAAATCAGGTTCACTATAAGGATTCTAGTAAATAAAACCTAAAATATACTGTCTCTTACGAAAGGTACAGTGATCTGCAGTAGCAGGTGCTTTTAATGGAAATATATGGTACTCATTTAATTGTACAATCTTTCACAACATGGTCTGTTTGTGTTTACCCTTCAAAGCAGGAAATCAGCCATTGGTCAATGTCATTTTCATTGTCAGAATAAACCAATCGAAATACTTGAGTATTAGACTGGTTTACAATATCAATCTTTGATTTGCTATATCAACATTTTATAAATCTGAACCAGTCTTACCATATCTTGAGAGGACCTCTGGTTTAGTGAGACCATCAAGTTCAGCACTGTCTACCATCAACCTGGTAGTATCACTATAATGAGCGAGGTCACGACGTAGATTACTGTTGATACCCTCCAGGTCACGCATCTGAGATCTTAAGGTGAGTATATCGGAGCCCATTTTGTGTACAGCATCTCTATAGTTACCCAGCTCCTTCGTCTGATGATCTATCAACACCATTGAGTTCTTGTCTAGTGGAGCTTCCTCACCATCATACCTAGCAATTAATATACATGTATTAGCTTTAATGTCTAGTCATATATGTTACATTTATACAGTTAACTCTGCTTATAACAATATGTTCCCAGGACTGCAGAATTTACACTGTTAAAGGCAACCAATCTGAAAACAGGAGTATCGTTATAAGCAATACCGTTATATGCAGAGTTTACTGAATACAAATGTAGATATACTTATTCTAAAGTCCAATATATAGTTGCTGTATTGGATGCATCATGATCAAATATATCCTGGTATCCCTATAACAAATAGTTGCATGACTGTAAGTTATATCAAGAATACAGCTATTAACACTAAAAATATACTAATAATTACATCTGTAAAGCTTTGAAAGTACAAAGTGTTTATTGCAACAAACAAAATGACAATAGTTTGACAATAAAGATTCTTTACTAGAATAAATCATCCAGTCTCATTTTGCACTTTCTCAATATGATTTTTATTTAGAATAAAATATGATAAAACCTATAAGTACATGTACATTTCTTGCTGAAACAAATCTACATTTAGCTAAAATGTGGCAATTAAATCATTTAAAATTATATACTTATGAGAAACATGTAAATATCAACATGTAAATATCTACAGAGGAAAAAGCTTTCCATTACAGGCAAACATAATTAAAAATTAATTTTACAAATGGATTGAAAACGAAAAAATTTACCCTCCAGCAGGCACATGTGATGTAGAAGGACCAGGTGGTCTACGTGTTGGAGATCTGGTACCACCACCACCACCTGGCATACCTTCTCCTGGTTGAAAGATGTACTGGTAATCTGGAAGCAACTGCTCCATGGCATTGTAGGATGGCATTTCTCCATCTTTTGTTGGCTGAAAAATATTGAGATTCTACATTTTTAAAATTTGTGTCTTGATGGAAAAAAAACAACAAAAACAAACAAAAATATAGAACAAAAGACTTATTCCACATAAAGTTCAATAAGACTTGTTTAGAAGACCTCCCCAACCAAATATAAGCAAATTAATTTCCCTTGCATTAAATCAAAATGCAAAAGCAACTGTTGTGAAAAACTTTTGTTAGCCATCTTTGCCAACAGTGTAGACAGGCCAGTCTGCAAGACTACGGGGCTCTATACTCTGTTGGTATTTCGACTTCTGTGCTTTCACATTGAAATCCCTTAATTTTTAAATGTACTGTTCCAAACTCAAAGCTGAGCAAATCCATTTTACAAATTCAGCAGGTTATGGGTTAATCAACCAAAGTTAACTTTTACTAATTTCTTAGACCCAGGACTTTATGGCATGACTTTGAACTCAAAAATAGAAAATAAAGTAAATTGTATATCTTATAGAGAGTATTTTGAAATAAATTAGAATCTAACTAATAAGTTTTAGTATCAATTAGTGAGTATTTTTATTTTGTCTTACCAGTACTTTACAGTCACACTAACTGTATGAAAGGTACATTAATGATATCCTAGGTGTACAAGAGAAAGAAAAAAATTGGGGAAAAAGGAGATCAATCTGGAGCAACGTCAGTTAAAGCCAGGACAGCATGCACATTACTAAAATCTCCCAGACTTTATAATGACCATTGACCTATTTTAGAAATTTCTTAAAACTTCAATATCAAAAACAATGCAAACCTTTTACCCATATTGTGTGAGTTAATGACAAAATGACCTAAACCAAATTCCTAATCAATATTAATACAGATAATTGAGTTATAGCAGCAATATATGAGCCCGTCACGACAAAACCAACATAGTGCGTTTGCAACCAGCATGGATCCAGACCAGCCTGCACATCCGTGCAGTCTGATCAGGATCCATGCTGTTCACTTACCAACTCTATTACAAGTAGAGAAACTGATAGCCAGCAGCATGGATCCTAATCAGACTGCATGGATGCGCAGGCTGGTCTGGATCCATGCTGGTTGCAAATGCACTATGTTGGTTTTGTCGTGACGCTGCTCAATTATATTATTTCAAAATGATTTATTACAAATGATTCACATCCTGTAGATATGGGATGCTGGAATACAATCAATTTCTGATTATTGGACTTGGGCATCTGATGCAATATGAATTCATATTTGCACACCTGACTTGGAGATAGTATCAATGTAGTTCAGATATTTAATCAAGTTAAAGCCAAATGATCTGCAAAACTTTTCAAAACATATCCATTAATATTTTATGGTGACAATTCAAAGTAAAATTTAATGAGAAAGAAAGTTTCCAATATTTTACAAATGGTTAAAGTTTCATGTAACATTATATTGCTTACAGGAAAGAGTAAAAAGGTAAACAGTTGGCAAGATTGAAGGCTTCTCCTACCATGATTTATTTATCCAACTGAATCACATTGACCTATTTTAAATTATATTTTTTCATATGTGTTTTGCTCATGTTTTGCTCATTTTCTTGTAAATTGTACAAACTGAGTGTAACTGTACACAAAGCAAAGATCTTAAATGGATTTTAATCTAGTTGACTGTTGATTTCATACTAGTTTCGCTTGAAGTTGTAGTACAATTTTCTTTTTTTTTAATTATAAAAACACAATAAGAAGAGATCTATATAAATATAATTTAATATGATCTTAAAGTAAAGAAATATAAAATCACTCATAATGTCCCAAAACATTAAAACAAACTTTTGACCTGAACTGTTTAAATATGTTTATAAAAAAAATTATTCAAAATGTTTATTTGATGTATATAATAATTATAGTACATGCTTTATATACATTAACATATTTCAATAAAAACAAATCAGTTCAATAGAAAAGAAGTTCAAATTACAATCAGTTCAATAGAAAAGAAGTTCAAATTACATATTTATATAGAGATAAGTTGATTTGATCAAAGTTTTTATCACACAATTAACTTACTTTATTGATCTACAGAAGTAAATTCTTTATATATTATATACAACTCTGGTGATATTATATCATTCAAATATTCCTATATATAATCCCTATAATGTAAACATTGCCAAACTTAGATAAAAAGATTTCTACATTAAAATGTTCACTATGTCAAATCAATGTTTAACTTTGGCACTCCTGTTAATCACTTAAGTACCTAAATTATAACTTTTACATGAACATTAACTTTGATTCAGAGAGATGTTCACCTATTATAACATATAATGTGATATATTTTTATATAAAATCATTATTTTAAACTAAAATACCTCTTCTAATTCAGCCGTATAAGGTCTATAATAATCCGCAGACATTTTGAAATTAACAATCCTACCTAAAACATTAACTACGTTTAACTATATAAAACCAACTGGTATCAAATAATGTACGAATGTCAGAAAAACAAATAAACATAATACCGTTTACCGAACTGTTACAACGTATTGTTTTTAACCATTACCCTTGAAATATGTAGCGTATCATATGTCACTTACCTTCTTATCGTTTTATCTTTAAAACAGATATAATTTCAAATTAAAAGATAAGCGCATCGTTCACTCACCGAGCAAGTCATCGGTCTGTAATATAGGGTAGCCATTTTGACAGTTTGAACACTTTATCCCTGGGTATCAACTAAGATTTCACAAACACATTTATCTCTCCAAAATCCAATTTTCTTTTCTATCACAGATGTATTTCCCAATAAATCCAGACTGTGCTACCAATTGTTTTAATCAATTATCAATTAACCAATCAATATTGCCTGACAAATAAGGTTAAGACACAGTCTACCTTAATTACAACTGATAAGACATAAAGCTATTATTGGGCAACCGTTCAAAATATCTCAAGTTACCCATTCGAGGTCCTACCTAGGAAGATTAGCATGTAAAAGTTATTCTTGTCTAAACAAGTGACGTAGATAGATTAATGTAAGATTTAAATGGATTTGAATTGTTCTATTTATCACACATTTTATTTTTATAAGTGATACACATTATATAAGATTAAAGAAAAAAAATGAAGGCAATTAAAAATGTATTTAAAATGTATTTATAGATCAAAAGTTTAAATTATATTTTAAACATTTCTTTTTCCTTCAGGAGGTTTACGAATGTTTTCTTTCTATCACAATGCTATAACATCTTAAACTTGGGTTTGAGATATTTGGTGATAAAGTTTTATTGCATTCAATACTTGTAAATCTTCAGCTGTGTTTATATCAATGGTAACTAAGGTAAACAATCTCCAAAAAAAGGGAGGGTAGTATAAAAGGAGAGATTTTCACCTGTGAAGAAATCAGTACATTAAAATTTCGTCATGTTGAATGAGAAGTATTTTGTTAACATTTTAGATAGAGAAAATTATAGTAGAATGGTTATTGAATTTAATGTATATCACATTCAAATATTATGCTAAAATATCTATACATTGAAATAAAATTTCATGCTATATTAATTCTTTTACATGGCATCATACCATATATGATATATTCTCTATATGGATTAGACAATCCTTAGATAAATGTGTAAATAATTACTTTAAATAATTTTCATAATATTCATAATAATTTTAATTATAAGTGATTAAATGATAAAAAAAATTCAGACATTTCTTATTTAATTCATAATATTATATTGTAAGGAAATTAGAAAATAATTTTACGTTTTGTTTATTTTTTGTAATACTGTTGTTTTTGTTTACAATGTACATCATTTTATTTGTTTATATCAAAATTTAAAATTAAGTGCCTTGCTTTTAACTGGTTTGTTAACAAACAAATCTGAATCCAAAAAATAAAATAAATGGTAAAAGGTAAATCATATTGATCAGCATAAGATTTCTTTTTTGAAATATATTTGAACCTTTGTGCTCTTCATTGTTGGCACCAATTTATTTGCAAAAACAACCCCAAAGAACTAAATAATTATTTTTAAATGTTTCATTTTTAACTACAATGTACATGTATATGTATTTTTACAAATCTTTCTGACAGAGCACATTTGTATAAGACTTAAAAGACAATTTTCATCATAATAATTATGATTATAATAATAATAATAATAATATTTTATAATAATAATAATTTATAATAACAGTAATAATGATAATGATCACAAAGATAATAATGAGGCAATTGATATATTAAGGTATTAGGACCCTAATGGGCACTATCAGAAACTAAAAAATTGACATCATAGGTCAGATGTAAACCTTAAAGTACACCTGTATGCAAAATTTAAACAAAGTTTACTGTACGGATTTCAAGTTATGGCCACTTTTCTGAACTCAAGCTAGGATGTTATGAGGGCCCTTTTTTAGAAATGCGGAACCTTTAAAATAATCTGCAATAACATTCTAATGAAAAATGTTTTTCCATTAATTTTTGGTAAGAAACAAAAAGTACCATTCAGCTAACAATCCACATAAGCAAAATTATGGTTTCTACTTAAAATTTATGAAATCTGTATAAAAATGTTACCCTACCCCACCCATTTTTACCACGTGTCTGACCATTTTTTCTACTTAGGGAGCCTAATTAAAAAAAATCTTAAAATTTACACAAATGAGTGCTTGTTTTCAAAGTTTCCCTAAATTTTTAAATTGGTATATTGGTTGATCTTGTAAAATATGAAATACTTTTACTGTCTAGTTTTGATTATATTACACTATGAAAATATCAGGTACCATATTTATTACTAGATTAAGCATAATTTAGCCAATAAATACCTATATAAATTAAAAATCTAAATTAAACACTTTTTTCTTTCCAAATGGGACAAAAGAGATACATAAATAATGTTAAAAGAAAAAAAGAAAGAAAAAAAAGTTGACCCTTCTGGGGATTGAACCCATGGCCCCTCATTTTCAATGTAGTTAACAGTAGTTCTAGCCTTTTTGAATACTCTTCCATGTGGAAGTAATGCATTAGGGTGCTAATACCTTAATAGATGATTAAAGCAACATGTCATCAATAATAGTAATACTAAAAATAAAAGCAATAATAATGCTAATAATGACAATAACAATTATAATTAAAATAATAATATTAAAATTAATTGACATTTTTAATATGTAATTTAAGAATAGCTCGTGCTTTTAGTACATATCTATATAATGCAGAAAATAACACAAAATAGTAAACATTCATTATATATTTAGACAATACCTAACTTTTTTAGTACTTTAATTAATGCCAATGTAATTCCCAATGGGACTATCATCTATGTGGCATGTATACTGTTTATACATCACCAATATGTCAACATAGACTATACCATAAACATAGATCATTTTTTACATAATTTAAAGTTTTCATGCATTAATATCTGTAGAAGCAGAGAAGTCCAAGTCTGCAGGGTGAGGGATTTAATACTGCAGATCTTAATGCACAAAAAAAGTGCATGTAAGAGCTATTCTTGCATAAAGGTATACATCTTAATTAGTAATTCCACTTTTCTTTTCTTGTATTTCATGTGATGAAGCCATTGCTTGTTTGATGTTTACCACATGCTAGTGCATTATGTTTTGATAATAAAACTACTGGGGCATTAAGCTATTTCTACATTGTGCTCTGAGTCATTGCATATTAAAAAATGCACAGCAACAGCATGCGGTCACAAAAATGTATCCATTAATGCATGTTTTATTCTTTGTTACTGTATACCTGCATGCACAGTTTTTATGCAAGAATCCATAATGTTATATAGACCATGATGTCCACATAGACCTTAATGTTAACATAGAACATGATGCCAACACAGACTTTAACATTAAAATAGACCAACATGTTAAACTAGACTTTAATACCTACACAACCCTTGTTGCCAACAAAGACTTTAACATTGAAATAGTTCATCATGTTAACATAGACCTTAATGTTTACATAGAACATGAATGTTAACATAGACCTTAATGTTAACAAAAACCCTAATGACAATACAGAACTTAATGTTAACATCAACCTACCTTACTGGATGTTGTTTGTCCCATCTCAACATACTATAACATCATCTCAATATTATCTTAGTATTAAAAATCAGAACTTTCATATTCACATGTCCTCAAAGTCCATTTTTCAAACATTTACCCTTGTCCAGTTCAAGACATGTACATATTAACATACCCTGATTAGCAGGCAATCAGTCACCCCAAAATTAAAGATAGCTTTGAAATCAAATGTTATATATCTATTTATTTTCCTTCTATGTTTGATCTCAGATTTATACAAGTTTTGTTTGGGGATTTGAAAACCTCTCTAATATTACACTTTCACTTTTTTCATTAACAAATAAACTCATACTCCTATCATTTGCATTTCCACTTTATGAAAGTATCAATATGCTATTCATTTGTATCTGAAGTCATTAATGCATGAACTATGATTATAATGGTGTCACCTTTATGTGCTGTACAGGAGAATCTTTCACAATCCAGACATTTTTGAATGGGACAACTCTATATTTTGATATAATGTTTATAAAAAGCTGAAAAGGGCAAGTGGAAAACTTACTAAAAAACAATCTGATATCTATCTTTAGCATTATTTCTAACAGATATATAGAAATATAAGGCAGCCTTTAGTAGTCTGAAAATCCTAAATTCAGAAAAATTCCAGAAAACTACCTCTAAGACATATGATTTGATTACAATAAAAGACATATGAGAAAATTCAAAGAAAAATTTCCCTTGATATCAAAGTAAACCTATCCAGTGATGTAAATACATCTTTATTTGTACCAAATATATAATATATTGTAAAACTAATGTTACCACTATTACCACTGTCTTTGACTAAACAAATTTAAACAAATCACAGTTAATATTTTTGATGTACTTAAAGAGCTTGATGAAGATCAAGTAATGCATGCATGACTCAACTACAACCAAAACATAATCCTTGGTTCACAGGAAAATATAGTTATTAATTCAGAACAATGCTACAAATCAACTAATTTCACTTACATTTCTCTATATGTCAACTCAAATGGTTATACAGCAAACACATACAATATCTGCAATAAGTAACTGAAAGAAAAGAACAGACAGAGAAAATATAGTACTCACAGACATAGGTCTTTTCTTAACTTTCTGTAGAAGATATCTTCCTGGATTAGTTTTAGCTGGTTCCCTGTGGTAGTGATATTGATGAGGTGCTGAGGGTGGAGTCTTTGGGGTTCTGGCTGGGGACAGTGGCTCCTCCTTTGGGGCAGGTTTTGTTGGAGAGTCCAACTTGAGAATCTCTGGCGAATCAGCACGGTAATATCCTGGTACGTCAGAATCTGGGAACAACTCCAGGGAAGGTATGTCCTCAATGTTGCTAACAGATACCATTGAATCTGGTGTCTTTAAATACAAAGCCATTTTATTTCCTTTAATATTTTGAAAACAATATCATTTATCGAAAATTCATATTAGTAAAATCACTAACTAAATATTTTGTTTACATAATTCTGAGACATTTTTCTTCCATTTCTATATTTAGCTTCAAACTGATTAAAACCTTTTAAAATTGTTAAATTCTTTTTATTTCAGTTGTTGTTTTGCTCTTCAGACAATTTTATACAAAACAACTTGTTTTTAAAAAATGTTAAATTATGTTAATAAATGATGTCATAGCACAAAGAAATATTATTGATCTATCTATTTATGTATCTGTCAACAATTAACAATGACCAATCAGTAGCTATCTAAGTATATACAGGAATAAATTACCTCTGTTGTTATCAGTTTTAAAATCATTCCAACTGTTGGGCGCCGTCCATCAATTGTTGACATCTCTGAACCCTGAATATAAATATATAAAGACTAATATTTGTATCGTGTGTGAGCATTAACTATATATAAAACAATAATAAAAACTTATTTATTTCACTGTATTTCTTTCTTATTTAATAAACAAGATTTTCAAAATAAATATTACTAGTATTCAAAATAAATAAAATATCAAGGAAGCAACCCATTCTTATATACTAGAGATAAACCTTTGATAAAAATGGTTTTAAACAATCCATGATAAGACAAAAGCAAACTAATCTTGCAATATGAAATAATTTATAAATTCTGTAATTCTGAACTGCACTTGGATGTAACTGGAGTAAGTTTTTTCAAAACATGTGTAAAACAGCCACCCTACTAAGCAAAGACAAAAGTTGGAAATTGTTTGTTTGTTTTGATTGGGTTTCACGTCACATCGATACAGTATAGGTCATATCGCAACGTTCCAGCTTAACTGGTGGAGGAAGACCTAAGGTGCCCCTCTATGCATTATTTCAGGCACAAACGGGTACCTGAGTAGAACCACCGACAATCCGTAAGCTAGCTGGATAGCTTCCTCACATGAAAGAATCCAAGTCCCTGTTGGGATTCGAACCCACAGCAGTGAGGGGCAAGTGGTTTGAAGTCAAAAAGTTGGAAATGAATAAATCTCTTAGTTATGTATGGTTTTTATAATTCTGAATTGTGCCAGAATTCAAATAAAGAGCAGGGGTTTTTTTTACTAAAAAAGCAAAACGAGCCACAAGAAACAAAACTATGTTGAATGCCAAACTTCCCTGAGATAACTACTGTGATACAAGCATATATACATGTATACAGCTAAGCTGCTTTATGAATTCTTCAACACAAATGTCATGTCAATTAAGAAAGCAGAAATAAAATTGCACAATATTAAAATGTCTATTTTACCTGTATAGGTACACCTTCAATTCTCAGACCATTTTTGGCTCTATCTGCTATCAAGTTTTTGTACATTTCTTCATCCATCAGCATGGTAGAGAAAGCAACTGGAGATTGCATACGCCAGAACTGGTCAGACATTGCTGTAACAAACATATACAACATGCATGTATACACATTATCAGTAATAGTAAACCAGAATTGTTAGCATGTTTTAAATTAGGTTCATTTTGATAATTTCATATTTCAGTTATTAATGATTTAAAGAAAAGCAAATGTATACTGAATGGATCAATCATTGTCTTACTAAGAGGAAATACTCATTCAAACTTACCTGTTAAGTTAAAAAAAATCAGCACACAACGTATATCATATAAAAAATTAACCATTTGTTAAGCATTCCATATTGTATGTATTGTTAAGCATTCCATATTGTATGTTTTGTTAAGCATTCCATATTGTATGTTTTGTTAAGCATTCCATATTGTATGTTTTGTTAAGCATTTCATATTGTAAGTACTAGAGATTGAGAATAATTTCTTCAAAGACAATTTAGATAATATTAGGTTATATCAAAATCGTTAAAACAACTTGCACTTGTAAAAAAAAGCATTGTTTCTAAAAGATACCAAGTCCTTGTCTCTGTTTGCCGATTAAATAAGTTAAATTAGTAAAACTCGAATTACCAATCACATGCATTATTTGTAAACCACTCTTTGTTAACAATAAATCATTATGTTATCTATTTGAAGGAAATAATGAAGGTCACATCTCAGACCCACAACTTAATGTCAACATTTTCATTATCACTGTGGAAACCTTAAAGAAATACTGTGTCTCTTAACATCTAAATAATCAAATGTACTATTTATTATATTTGGTCTTAACAGGAATATCTTACATCTTGATGGTTTGAAACAGCCAAAAGAAAGATAATTAAATTATGAAACAATTTTAAGCAAGCATAAGGAAAAGAAGCCAAAAGAAAATCCTATAGCCACAGTAAACATGGCAAATCAATGTCAAACTCCACCAAGGATATGGGTCTATTGAAGGGACTTAAATGCACAGACATTGGTTAATAAATAATGTCATTATGAATTGGCAGAAAGAAGTAATTAATTCTCCCCTGATATATACTTTCAGCAAAACAAGACTTGAAGAATCTGTAAGAAAGGACTGTTTTATAGACTGTCATTGCCCACAATGGATCAATATTATAATGGTCTCTATGAATATATAACAACACATGTTAAATGTTAGAACATCAAAACAATATCAACCATGCCAACAAGCAAAACAGTTTTGTTATTCAAACACTCAACTTACATTTCTTCTTGTATCTTCCTATATACAATCAAATAATCTAGTTCATTTTCATTAATTGGCCTTATTCAATGAAAGCACTTTACATGTTTTTCCTATTAATTTGTTTGTCTTGATAATGTGTGCACCAATTTAAACCTGCACTTAATTGTACTTGTGTCTGAAGTGGTTTAACATTATCATATTAATTTTGTCTTGATATGACTAAAAAAAATCAGGTTTATATAACCTAAATCTAATGGGTAGGAAAGGCCTGTAAGACAGCTCTGGGGTAAATTTTTTTCATTTATAAAACTAGCCTGGTTTATTGACTTTAACAAAACAATATGTGTAAATCCTTGCAATACAAAAAAAATCCTTGGAAAATCCTAAAAATATTAAAACAATCATTGCGATACAAGGAAAATCCTTGCAATACAAGGGAAAACTTTGGAAAATCCTTGCAATATAGAAAAATCATAGGAACACCTTTAAATATAAAAACAATAATTGCAATACAAGAAAAATCCTCAGAAAATCCTTGTAACATAAACAAATCCTCGTAATCCTTAAATACAGTGTATTGAGATAGTGATTAAATTAATAGATGAAACAAAAGTATATACTTGTTGAGGCTACATAGTATTCTATGACAAGTGCTGCCCCTGGTGTAAACAATGTAGCTTTATCTCTCTTCTCTACAAACAAGTATGGGTGATTCCAGGTTGGTTGGTTTTCTGGGCGACCTGGTAAACTCAGCTGAAAAAGCAAATAAAGTAGAAATTCACCAATTTAAAAAAAAAAAATGGCAAGATTTAAAGCTTCAGAATCCTTTGTACTGGAAACCATCATTATAAAGCTTGGTAATATAAATAAGTAATGCAAATTATATGTTGGCAACTAGAACTGTGATTATAATTTGCCACCAGTAAAGAGCCAGACCAGCTTTCACATGCATCTGTTAAGTCTGAGCAGGCTGTATACTGTTGCTAGCTCATTTTGACATTAAACATCCCATGACCTTTAAATAGACTAATCCAAATTTAATACAATGCAAAACCTGATAAACAAATTCACTTGGGTAAGTGTGTGAATATGATTGTAGAAATATGGTATATCAGTAACCTATGACAATACCTGAGGGTGTCCATGATGACTTCTTTCTGTGACTATGAAGCTAGATGGATGAGCAGACGGGAAAGTTACACTCTGCATTACTACACCTGCATTACGTGGGTGATTTAACAAATTATCACTCCTGTAAAAAAGACAAACTTCATCATCGTTGAATAGTTTTGTATTCAGTATAATTATCTTGTTTGGGACAAAAAAATACAGGAAAGCATCAAACTATTATTAAGGGTCACTGGTTCAATCCTTGAGCAAGGTGTAATATCTCTGTGACAAATGATTTTGGTCATTAAGTCTTATGGTCACTTGTCTTTCACCGCTGATTAAATAATCATGGTGGATAAGTTGTTATCACTTGAGGAGACAATGGTAATTACTGGTCAGTTATCAAGGAAAGCGGGTTAGATGAATTGACCACCAAGATATGACTAAATTATGTGTTGAAATCAGTTTACACCAGAAAAAACAAACAAGAAAGAAAATAAAACATCTGTGCAGCATTACAGATTTGTTATAAAGACTTTTAAAATGTTATAAAGTCGACAGGCTCAAGACATATACACATGATATATGCATACAGCCTGTCAAAACACAAATACTTCTTAAAAACTCTATACAAAAGTCAATAAAAATATAATTAGCTCCCTTGTTGGTTGTTCTTCAATTATGAATAGAATAGCTGCATTTCTATCACAACCAAAAGCAGGATAATCTCTGGCATGCAGTACCAGAAATAACTTATATTAGAAAAAAGATATCTAAGCATTTCTGTTACACACTAAAGACTAAATGATAAACATATTTGTTATAGCTCAGTTGTGATGGAAAATTGGTAGCATATTTAAACCACACTCAAAAACTGAAAAGAAACTTACTTGTAGTTATAATAGTCAGGTACAATCCTTGCTACAGCAATTAGTGGACCTAGAGGATTCTGAATAGGTCGCTGAGCACTCATTAACAATACCTGTAATACACAAAGTGAACCAACAAAAACGGTAATCTGTCCAATATTTGACTAGCTAAAAAAGGATCTGGGCTTACAATAAAACAATGACAAGCCTAAGCAGTAAGAAGTCCAGCAAAAAAAACCCATTATTTTTCCCACAAAAATATTCAGAAATATTCTACGATTTATATCAACTAAATGCAAGAAATATTTTGATCAAGGGAGACAACAAATACAATTTTTCAGTATCAGACAGATATATCAATGTAAGCTGAAAAAGAATCCACAAATGATTTTTCTTTGTTTAAGCATTTTACAGGAAGTATCATCTCTGTAATGAAAATAATTTCAGAACATAATAAAAACATTTCTTTTAACATTTGATTAATTAAAATAGAAGAATTCAACTAACATACCTCTAGTGCCAGGTAGTTTGGAGATGATGGGTCTACTGGCAACCTTGGAAGTTTTCTAGTAATTGAGGCAAATGTTTTTACACCTGATGGTATTCCTTTTGCAGGCTGGAATATGAAACACACATAAATTAATTATTATTTGTTAGCATTAATGAATTTGAAATATATGAACCATACAAGAAATATACCGTTTTTTTTTGTTTATAAATCCATATAATTATATTTCTTTTTTTTAAATTCAAATACATGTATACAAATGTGATCAAGTTCAAACATTCATACAAGAAGACAAAAGCCTTGAAGCAATACTCAGCAATTTACATGTACTAGACAACACAACCTAACTTAACAAATATATCACAATGGTGCCTTGAGTACCGGTGCTGCCTGGTCTAAACTTGATTCAGTCCTATACTGTACACATTTTCTAGTACTAAATATTACTATTCTTTTTTCAATATGAAATTAAAAGCATCATATTTTGAACAAGTTATTTCAAAATTCCAGATGATTTTTTTTTTAATTTCCGATGCATTTTACTGTATTAAACCTTTTTATCTGAACATTTTATAATGGTACTAACATCATGACATTTGTAACATACATGTTTCATTGCTCAAGATTGGCAAAGGAAATAAAAGCAAACAAGAAAATGATTAAAAAGTTACAGCTACAAGTTCATCCAGTTCATTTATGCATAATTTGCTCTTAAGGAAAAATACCAACATATTATTTTTCATGCAGGCATTTTGGTTTTTTTTTTTTTTCTTTCAAACTAAAACAATATTACCATAGACTGCAGGTAGTAGAGATATAGATTAATATAGTGCAGGCTACACAGGTGAATAGCAATAGGTATGAACGAACTTATCATTTACATACCATATTAAGTTCTAGATGATACTGATGAAACGGTGTAAGGTTCACAACAGGCATTCTATAGTTGACCAAACATTTTTGTGTCTGGCCATCTCCAACACTCACAACTACAGCTGAAAATAAAAGATATCCTCAATAAAACATCTAAATAACCTTTACCTTGCCAGAACTAAATGTGACTGGACTTTGCCCTTGTCAGAACTAAATGTGACTAGAACTTGCCCTTGCTAGAACTACATGTGACTAGACTCTGCCCTTGACAGAACTACATGTGGCTAGACAATGCCTTTGTCAGAGCTAAATGTGACTAGTCTTTGCCCTTGTCAGAACTACACGTGACTAGATTCTGCCCTTGCCAAAAGTAAATTTGACTAGACTTTTTCCTTGTGATAGCTAAATGTGACTAGAATTTGCCCTTGTCAGAGCTAAATGTGACTAGACTTTGACCTTGCCAGAACTAAATGTGACTAGACTTTGCCCTTGCCAGAACTAAATGTAACTAGACTGCCCTTGCGTGAACTAAACATGAAAGACTTTGCCTTTGCCAGAACTAAATGTGACTAGACTTTGCCCTTGCCAGAACTAAATGTGACTAGACTTTGCCAACAGTATAGAGCCATATCTGCACAGTCTGACCAAGCTTTATACAGTTGGCTACCCATCATTAAATTTCCATTTTGATAATGGAAACTGACTGACAGTTTCAAAAGACGAACTTGGACAAATTCATTCAAGAATTAAGAAACTATGCAAGTTAAAGGTTTACATATCCTGAAACTTTCTAATATCAAGGATATTATAATTTAAGCAGTTATAGGGTCTGGTAAGAATTCATGGATACTCAGGTTAGCATTTCTTTATACTGGTGGAATGGGCAAATCCTAACCAAAGCTAGACTTCAAAAGATTCTCATTTATCTGAAAATTAACATTTGGTATATAGAAATATTTTGGATGTGGTATGAATCAAATTTTGTCATAAAAGTAAATCATATATATTTCATTACTTTCATCTTCTGCTGTTTTCTGGTTTATATTTAATGTGACCATTTCCTCCCATGACGGTGCATGTGTAGGACGGACAGACGTATGTGTTACAGCATCTGACTTGGTATTGTTATCCTCAAGCTTCTTGGTCTTCCTGAAATAGAAATGATAATCATTAGACAGGTATTATAGTACAATGTTTTTGTAGCAACCAAAGTAATTGTTAGTAATTACTGATAAAATTTCAGAAGGGGTTGCCACTGTGCTTAGTTTTATCTCATTTCTCTTTTTTTTGTCATATGAATTTTTTTGTTATCTTATTGATAGAGAGACATATAACCTTCTGAAATGTTCATAGACGAAATAAACCCAATGCAATGTATGTGTAAATATAGTGTTTATGGTATACATAATTCTTTATAACCATTTGACTTTTCAAGTAAGTTTATGATGTCATCTATTTAAAACTAATGCAGGCTCTTCACTACTGATAAAGGAAGTGTTCAAATTGTGTAATGTTAAAGGTAATAAACATTATGTTATCAAGAATGAGCAACTGAACAAAAATTATAATAGTCACAAACAGTCTGAATGATGAAAGCTGAGTAATATTGACACTTAAGATAGGTCTTGCTTCCATTCCAACCATCAAAAAGAAAATGTGTTCACAGGACATGGATGCTCATGGACATTCCACTGTTTTGTCAGTCTACAGACAGTGTGACAGCAAGACAGACAGATAAGGGCAGATTTATATCCCCCAATAAGTGGGGGCAAATCATACTGAATACTTTTCAGCAATATTGTTTTCAACATGATGTCACAAGGTTATCTGATGTCATCTTTTACATCATTTGTCTGAATGGAAATTTTGATGTATCACCCTGTAACTTAAAGTTCAAGATTCAACATAGAAAACTGTGTAAAATTATAGCTAACAAGATAATGTTTAAAGGTTTTGACTTACACAACAGCATATGGTTGAGGGACCTGACCATCTGGTGTAAGAGGTAGACTGCTAGCACCATGTACAATAACCTCAATGTGTTCATCACCAGCGTTAGATACATGACGGTATAACCTATCTGTGGAGAATGTATGTCTGTCACTATCTGGCAGGGGTTTCTCTGGTAACTATTTCATAGAAAATTGACTTATTACATTAACTAAAAGTTTTATATATGAAATTGTCTGAAGCTAAAAAAAAACATTTTTTGGTGAGCAAACAAAAATTTAATTGATTAAAACTGCACTGTGCAGGACTGATAAAATCTGTACAAAACTATACTTTTTTCTTCATTTGTTACATTTCAGAACTCTTAAATGGTAATACTTTGACGACCAGTATAAATGTTCATAAAACATATCTTTTAGACATTTAAAAACTTAAATAGCTGAGTAATGGTAGGTAAACTTACCTTTTTCCCATCTGCTGCCGGTGGCAAGGGAGGTGACTTAGGTAAATTTAAATCAAGTGATAAGTTTTCTCCCCATGAACTAGCTGGTGTAGGCGGGACAACTTGCTGAGTGTATGGGGCAGGCTCTACATGTTTACGCCCACTGTCTTTTGTATCTGGTGAACGTATGTTAGGAAGAGGTGTTGGGCGTGGTGTTTGCCTTGGTGATGGTATAGGAGTTAGTTTCCTTTCTAGACTTCTTTGAGTGGGTGGGGTTGGTGGAGGAGGTGTTTTTCGTTTTGGCGGCAAAACTTCTCGCATGGAATAATTGTTACGTATACGACCACAATGCATCTGTATGTTATCTGTACTGTGTGTACGAAGTAATGACATAACACCAGTATAGTTATAATAGTCCTCCCCTGGCTCTGCATACAATTTCATTCTCGGAGCATTTGGTCTAGGGTAGATAGCAAACTTGCCCTCGCCTACCTTACGACCTTTGCCAGAGGGCGAGTCTGCAGAAGTGTAAGCCTCAACCAAAACGTACACATCATGATTCTTGTCATTCTTATAGAAACCTGAAAAAAAAAGATTTTAATGTCTAAATGTCATTGATATGGTTATTTCATCAACCTTATACTTTTACCCCTGGTCTTTGGGCTTTTTGTATGCATTGATTGATCACCATGGCTAGTCTTTTACTCTGCTGATGGCAACACACAATATGGAACAAATTAATTATTTCACCTTTTCTGTGACCTTAATGAAGTAGAGCAATGTAGGCTAATTTTCATGTTCAAGGAAATAAGCCAGGATTCTTATTCAAGGACCACTTGATCTTGAAGGACATGTCCTACTATTGGACCACTAGTCCCAACCTAATACTTTTAAATAACCAAGAATTTTATCATTTTTCCCATAAGTAAGCATAACAATTGCTCAATCTAATTAAATGTACATGCAAAACATTTAACAGCTCTTTTTTCCATCTATTGATATTTTTATGCTCCCAAAAACTTGGTCCCACTGGTTAAAAAGTTGTTTAAAGTGTCTGTATAAATACAAATTTACAAAAACTTTATTAAAAACTTATTACCTCATTTTAGAACACTTCACAATGCCACCAGTGAGTTTTAAAAAAGAATCACTGACAAAACCCGGATACCCTGCCTAGATATAGATCACTTCAGAATTGATGGATATTCAATTACATTTGTATGTTACATAATGTAAAACATACACTTGATGGTAGTAATTCAGCACAATTAACCTATAATTAATTGTAGATTTATATCTTTTCAACTATCAGATAAACACTTTGTTGAAAAAAAATCCTCTTGACTAAACATAATGAAACACAATGACAAAATTTGTTAAGAAATTTTATACAGATCTAAATTCATATTTTACAGGTGGTTTAACATGATATTGCCTCTATACAGTTCTATTTTTTTATTATCTTCCTTACATTATGTTTGAACCAAAGATCTTCAATTTATTTTTTTAATATAGCATTAAAATTTGAAGAAAAAAAATGTGAAAATAATGGCACATAAAACTAATACGAAAATTCTAATTTAGCCTAAAACATTTTATATGATGTTAACAGCCTAAACAAATTCAATATGAACATTAATTAACATTGAAATGCACAAAATAATTACTGAGGACATAATATAATATATAAAATATAAATTCCAGTGTTACTGTAATCTGGTTGTAAAAGAATTTGCCCTTTGTTCCTTGAAAATGGAATAAAAATGTAATTACATGTAAAATACAACATTTTTATACATGTAATATCCAAGCATAACTATAATTGGCTAGATAGTTTGAGAGTAAAATTACCAAAAAATGCTTGGAGATTGTCATTAATCAATTATTTTTCAGTGGAAAATTTGAAGAAAAAAAAATATATATTCTTCTTAACTTCCTTCTAAGCAATATCATTAAATTCAAAGATCAAATTGATTTTAATGTGGTATGTATGTAAAATCTTTTCAATAAAACTATAATATTTCATAAAATCAAAACATTTTCAAACTAGAACTATCACTAAATGTGATTAATACCCCCCACAAGACTGCTTCGGAAATGAAGATGTTACTTGTAACAGAATACCTTGTAAAAGAATTGAAATATAGAGTTATGGTTGTGGGCAATTAAAGATAGTTGTGGTTCTTATATGTTGCATTTCCTTTCAATGTGGTTGGCCATTGATGAAGTTTAATTGAATTACTCTGTAATAAGTCCAGAAAGACAAAGAAAAGGAACAAAGGGCAATAACTCTATAAATACTGAAGATAGAGTTATAGTTCTTATGCACTGCACTTCCTCTTATTGTGCTTGACCATTGTATGAAGTTGTTTTGAATTCCAACCAGTACATTTTAAGTTATGCTCATGACAAGGAAAAGTATCAAAGGGCAGTAACTCTGTATTTTGTCAAAATGGAGTTATGGCTCTTGTGCACTGCACTTCCTTTTAATGTCCTTGACAACTGTATGAAGTTGTATTGAATTCCAAACAGTAGTTTTCAAGTTATGCTCTGGACAAGGAAAAGTAACAAAGGGCAATAACTCTGTAATTAGTCAAGATGGAGTTATGGTTCTTGTGCACTGCACTTTCTCTCAATGTGCTTGACCATTGTATAAAGTTATATTGAATTCTAACCATTAGTCTTCAAGTTATGGTCTGGACAAAAAAGGCAATGGAAAAGTAACAAAGGGCAATAACTCTGTAATTACTTTAGATAGAGTTATGGTTCTTGTGCACTGCACTTCCTCTTATTGTGTTTGACAATTGTATGAAGTTGTTTTGAATTCCAACCAGTAGTTTTCAAGTTATGCCCCGGACAAGGAAAAGTAACAAAGGGCAATAGCTCTGTAATTAGTCAAGATAGAGTTATGGTTCTCATGCACTGCACTTCCTCTCAATGTGCTTGACCATTGTATGTAGTTATATTGAATTCCAACCATTAGTCTTCAAGTTATGGTCCGGACAAAAAAATAAATGGAAAAGTAACAAAGGGCAATAACTCTGTAATTACTTTAGATAGAGTTATGGTTTTTGTGCACTGCACTTCCCCTTATTGTGTTTGACAATTGTATGAAGTTGTTTTGAATTCCAACCAGTTGTTTTCAAGTTATGCCCCGGACAAGGAAAAGTAACAAAGGGCAAAAACTTTGTAATTAGTCAAGATAGAGTTATGGTTCTTATGCACTGCACTTCCTCTCAATGTGCTTGACCATTGTATGTAGTTATATTGAATTCAAACTATTAGTCTTCAAGTTATGGTCCGGACAAAAAAAAGCAATGGAAAAGCAACAAAGGGCAATAACTCTGTAATTACTTTAGATAGTGTTATGGTTCTTGTGCACTGCACTTCCTCTCAATGTGCTTGACCATTGTATGAAGTTGTTTTGAATTCCAACCATTAGTCTTCAAGTTATGCTCCGGACAAGGAAAATGCAACGGACGTCTGGACCGACCGACCGCCGGACCAACAGACCACCGGGTGACTCCTATATACCCCCACAAACTTCGTTTTTGGGGGTATAAAAATTACAAACCAAACAGATTGTTGAGATTTTCTGGACACATAAAGCAGATGAATTATTTCCATAACTCTATAAGGAACTCAATAAAAACTTACGGGAATATTGAACTTTTTTTTTTTCACATAGCCTTCATCATGTTGGGTCATGTAGTGTCAAATGATGATAATATTAGGTAAAAGCTTTTGACCCTTAACCTGCAGACTTCATAAGGAATTTATCCTGCTTTGATTTTGGAACAGTTCATTCAAAGTTGAAGGGATTTAAATATCAAAATTTAAAAAATGAGCTGCCAACAGTATAGTTTTTTGTTATTTTTGGTTGGGTTTTACGCTGCACCAACACAGTATAGGTCACATGGTGACTTTCCAGCTTTGCTACTGGAGGAAGACCTTTAGCTTCCCTTCCATGCATTATTTCAGGCACAAAATGGCACCTAAATAGAACCACAGACATATCAGTAAGCTAGCTGGATGGCTTTCTCACATGACAGAATCCAAAGTCCCTGTCAGGATTCGAACCCACAACAGTAAGGGACAAGTCTGGTCTGACTGCACAGTTGTGCAAGCTGGTCTGGCTCTAAACTGGTGGCAAAGGCCAATCACTTTTGGTTTCAGGGGATAAAAGGTTAATTTCTGAGAGTTATAGTAATTATTCATCCAAATTTTCATAATATCTATTAGTAATCCATAGCAAAATATATTAAATAATACTTAAAGGTACAACTATCATTTATATGAAAATAATAAAATTGATGTTTCACAAAACATTTCATTTTATGAGCTAAAATTGATTGCTATATAATCCAAGACAGACAAACAGAATGTAATTTATCTCAATATTTTAAGATTATGTCAAAATTTTGTACATGTATTTCATGTTATTAGTATACACATCAGGGCTTTTACATATTTTGTATTCCACAAAACATATAGGTATGATTAGGGTTACTTCTTACTGATTTATATGGGAATGTAGACTAAAGAAACATATAATTAATACCTTTAGGGAACCTAAATGTGAATCTTCTATCTTTAAAATAACTCAGTGGAACATTCTCCTCTTGTTTTGTAGAATCGGTTCGTAGCTGTCTCTTTGATTCCCAGATCCCATCCGTTCCTTTCATAACCTTGACCTGAAATATAAGTAAACAAATGTAATAAAATAATTTGCATTTTTCTTTTCTATTCTTACCCTGTTCAAAGTTCTTTACCAATCCACCATAAATGCAACTCTCTCTATCTTTCTCTCTTTCGCAAAGTAACTTTAAAGGATCACAACTAGAAAAAGAACTTAGTTTCCAAGATATTACTTTTGGTTTTTAATGAGTGGCATCAGTAAAAATGTTTTATCATACTTCATTTCAAACCTATAATATATTTTTCTTTATCATTTTTCCAAACTCATTATTACTGAGATTGAATGCTACTAGGCAAATGTTAGGAAGCATACAACATGCTGCATTTATGTTTGCATAAACTCTTTAAAGTGACACTGTATTTATCACTATATTGTTGTTACGTTGTTCACAACAATCCTTTATAAAATTTTAACTCAATTTCAGTTAGACTGTAAGACAGCATATTTTTCAACACACAATTTTCAAATATTGAAATAAAGTCAGGGCCAAAAAAACCTTCTTTGTAGAGGCCGAATATAGGCTGCTTCCCCAACCAAACTAGCCTCTTTTTTCCCCAGTTTGGTCCTCAAAATTCCCCAGTATTTTGAAATTTCCCATAGAATTTAGAACAAAATTAAATGATGGTGTTGAATTAAGGTCTTTTACTGCCTTATTAGTATTTCCCAGTGCTTTTTGCTTTTCTATTTTGAAGAACTTGTTAAAAGTTTGAGTTAAATTTGATACCCCTTTTCCCAAAGTATGCCAAAGTCACGTATATTTTCCCCAAGAAAAAGGCTGAGGCCCCATCCCCAAAAACGGTGTTTTGGCCCTGAAAGTTCTGCTTATGCAACAAACCGGAATATTTCAGAAAAAGCATATAGGACAATGGTTTTATATTACAATCTTAACCAAGAGAGAACTAGATATGATTTGTTTATAAGGTGTGACATAGCTTCAAGTCTAAAATAATAAATGGACTGTGAAATCAGGTTCCCTGTGTTCAATTCCTAGATGGTGCAGGTCACTTTTGTTGTGATTGACCATGAAATCCTTTCTACAGTCATTTGCACTGTACCTTGGTTCTGACATGTACAGAAATTATCAGTTCCTTGCGAAAGTGAAGGCAACTAGTACTGGTAAACTGATTGACAGCTTGCCCAGCCAGGAACGATGTGGTGGCTGAACTGTGCTCTGGTAAATTAAATGTTGCTTACTGCTGTGATCCAGAGTGAAAACTACCAACACCACCACCACCAAGTCCAAAATAAAATAATCAGTTTCAAAACTGAAAACTGACCTCATTCATCAAATCATGATGTCACAATATTTATGATGAATTGAGCTCCATAAGATTTTTAGATTGTTCAAAAAAAATTGTCAAACATTTGTATATTATCAATAAGTGTGCACATGGACATGTTTGCAAACAAGGTTCAATGTACAACATATTTTTTTGTTTAAAGCGAGGCTTTTTCGTCATATTTGAGAAAAAAAATAGCTCAATAAAGTTTGCTTACCTGACTATAGTCTTTAATGAACGAGTTATGAAGCGTGATCACCAGATAGTACCACCCTTCATGGTTAAACTGTGCATCCATTACATCTATAGAAAACTCCATTTCCTTACCCTCTATATTGGGTAGTGTCTGGCTCTCCATTATCATAGACATTGTGACCGGCTATTCCTATAATGTACCAAGTGATAATAATGTATAGGTGTAATAATGCATATTATTAAAGCTGCACATAACAGTTGTTTTTCGCAGTAAATTGATTTTGGGAAAAACTACCACTAAAAAGCTAATTTGGAAAGTAAAATAACTGGTGTAAGTTCCGATTTTATGGGAAAACTGCACAATTCTAAAAAAAAGTTTCAATTGGGAATAGACCTTTCACAGGCATCTATTATATAAGATGAAAAATCACTACATGCAATCAAAGCTTTAGAAAGTCAAATTTCAGAAAAAATACATCAAGAATTTATAAATATACACAATCTAGGAAAAAATCACTTGCTAAATAATTTTATTTTTCATATTGTAATACATTTTAGTTATTTTTTGTGGTTAATGCATGAATCTGGTGACACCCTGCTTAACCAAGTTAAAACAATTGATATTTGAAGGGTCAAAACCTTACAATCCTTTATATTTAATTGGCAAGAATTGATATATAAATAGCGCTATGCATGCCATTTAGAAAAAATTAGTTTTAAAGAAAGAAATGCAAAATCTTGGCATTCTGAAACATAATATTTTGAACAGCTGATAGTCGAGCTATTATCTTTTTTTTGGGGGTACATTTTTGAAATAATAATAAAAACCCTTTGTTCTACTTACTTTATATTGTACCCAAATGTTATTTTTTGTTGATTTTCTTGTCTGTCCAGACACAAAAAGTTGACGAAATTTATTAAATATTTTCAAAACATTAATATTTTTTCACTTGCTCTTAATCCATTTTCTAGAATCAACTTTTTTTTTAAATTTTATAATTCATCCATCGATCATTCACAATTCAATTTTAATCCACAATTTTTTTTTTAAATACAGATAAACACATTAATTCATTACATCACCAGTGTCATTTTTAACAATTAATTTTTTTTCCTTACAATGAAAATTCAATAACACAAATTGATAAACATAATGTATATTACCGCATAAAGCACAGTAAATAGTGATGTCACAAAACTGAATTTTCACTCTATCTGTATTTAAAATTCAATCAATAAATATAAAAGCGCAATATGCCAATAGATCAAATCATTATCAAACATTCTCGCTGATCAAAAATATTTCAGCATATTGCTTTTCATAGGCGTCATCTTCTATTCAACTGAGCCTCTTTATAACACGATGAATTTCTTTTCAAATTCCTTCCAATACTATATAGAAATCCATTGATACAGCCTCATTGTAAACTATTTATCCACTGTACAGCAATAAAAGGAATCATTTCAATCAGAAATTTATTGGGTAAACATTAAAGTATATAAATATAAACAGTTTTTAACTATCCTTCGCACAACATCGTGTTAACATTCACAGTTTTTATTCAATTTAAACTTTAGGCTTCTTAATCTTTCATCCATCAGTTAAGCTAATTTGTTAAGTTACTGTAACACTAAATAATTAATATAGTTTTATTTTTATTTTTTTATAATTATTATTGTTAAATTAAACATATTTTCATAGATCAGTAAGAAAATTTTTTTTGGATAGCTCAGTTGTAATATAGATTTAATAAACAATAACTTATATGCAATACACGATTTGTACTTTATAAAACAATGTACTATAGGAAGAGACAATAATAGCAATATAAAACACATTCATACTTCAGGTATAAATTATAATCTTTATTAAACAAAGAAGTTAACTGACTAACCGAGATTCTTCTTTTAATGTACTAACAATGATGTTCAACAAATATGGTCTGAATATAAAAAAATAGTGACTTTAATACAAACACAATGGCATTCTTAATGAAATTTTAAAAATATTCCAAATTTTAAGACTTAACTACATAAACAAAAACTTGGTATTCATGTAAAAAGAAAAGAAACATAATAAAAATAATGAGATTTCCTAATATTATAGTAAACATTCATAATATTCTTGAAGAGTGAAAAAGAAAATTTGTTTTTCATCTATAGATATTGATAATATTGGGTACCATAATGGTACTTTATATTTTGAGCTAATTGTAATAATAAAAAATACTTTTTTCATCAATTTATTTTTCTTATATTGACTACAGTACTGCATTTTTAATTTTAAGTACATATTGATATCAAAGTTTAAATCAACATTCAAAGACTATAAGATTGAGGTCATTCTGTCATGTTTACCGGAAATGCTGTTATATTCAGATTAGTAAGATAACAACAATTTCCATGGTGACACGGTAGCAGCAGAAAGCACTATTATTTAATTTATAGTTTCAAAATTCATACTTGTTCAGGGCTCTTGTTTGGTAAAATTTGGGGCCGAATATCGGCCCCATTCCCCAACCAAACAAGAGCCATGTCAACATGGCCATCCCCCGCCGAATGTGTTTGCTCATTGGAAGAATGTATATGTAGTAGAACAGAATAATTTCATTTTAAGAGGTCTTTTGGTAATGAAAACTGATGGCTATAGTGATCACAGATTTGAAACCTATGTGAATACTGATGGCTGAAAATAACAAAGGGCAATAACTGAAAAATAATGCAGGGTAGGTTATCATTCTTGTGTGCTGCATCCTTCCTCAGTAAAATCTATCCACCTATGAAGTTTCAAGTTGATACCTCAAATACTTTTTGAGAAAAAAATTGAATTGAAATATTAAGTATGAAAAATAACAAAGGGCAATAAATCAAAAATTATGAAAGGTAGAGTTATCATTCATGTGCAGTGCACACCTCCTGAGTGAGATCTATGCACCTATGAAGTTTCATTTTGATATCTCAAAGGCTTTTTGAGTTATGCTGTGGACAAAAATTAATTTTGAAAAATAACAAAGGGCAATAACTCAAAAATAATGCAGGGAAGAGTTATCATTCTTAAGCACTGCACTCCTCCTCAATGAGATCCATATACCTTTGAAGTTTCAAGTTGATACCTCAAATACTTTTTGAGATACATGTAAGCTCTGGACAAAATAGCATGAAAAAAAACAAAGGGCAATAACTCAAAAATTGTATATGGAAGAGTTATCATTCTTGCGCACAACATTCCTCCTCAATAAGATCTATCCACCTATGACATTTCATGTTGATATCTCAAACACTTTTTGAGTTATGCTCCACTCAGGTGAAAAATTGTGTATGAAAAATAACAAAGGGCAATTACTCAAAAATTATGAAAGGTAGAGTTATCATTCATGTGCACTGCACACCTCCTGAGTGAGATCTATGCACCTATGAAGTTTCATGTTAATATCTCATAGGCTTTTGGAGTTATGCTCTGGACAAAAATCAATTTTGAAAAATAACAAAGGGCAATAACTCAAAAATCATGCCAGGTAGAGTTATCATTCTTGTGCACTGCACTCCTCCTCAATGAGGTCTATCCACATATAACATTCCTCCTCAATAAGATCTATCCACCTATGACATTTCATGTTGATATCTCAAACACTTTTTGAGTTATGCTCCACTCAGGTGAAAAATTAGGTATGAAAAATAACAAAGGGCAATAACTCAAAAATTATGAAAGGTAGAGTTATCATTCATGTGCACTGCACACCTCCTGAGTGAGATCTATGCACCTATGAAGTTTCATGTTAATATCTCATAGGCTTTTGGAGTTATGCTCTGGACAAAAATCAATTTTGAAAAATAACAAAGGGCAATAATTCAAAAATCATGCAAGGTAGAGTTATCATTCTTGTGCACTGCACTCCTCCTCAATGAGGTCTATCCACCTATGAAGTTTCAAGTTGATAACTCAAATACTTTTAGAGATATGCTCCGGAGACTATTTCTATATCCTCCGCCGAAAATTTTCGGCGAGGGATAAAAAGTGTGTTTTTTATCCTCTAAATCCTAAAAAAATCCCCCTTTAAATCTCTTGAAATTTATATCTAACGGGCATAGAAAACACCGATTGGCGAATACATATTCCGTGAACGGCAACCGGAAATTAGTACGTATTCCGCGAACGGCAGTTGGAAATAAGTATGGATATACATGTATAAATAAAACGTTCCGGACAGTTTTTAGCATTCCAACATGTCGCACAATTTCAAGTCTTACCGGAAAAAAAATTTCCCCCTTGAATGAAAAATACTTGAAAATCGTGCAAAATTCCCCCCCCCCCCCCCCTGCATGGACCCTGGCCACATTTTCAAAATGCCAACAAGAGCCCTGTTGTTCTACAAATTGTACACACTGAAAAATTCCACTCAAACAGCACAAATTGCAGCTGAAATTAATCAAAATGATTTGGTATTTCACAATGTTGCATTCAATGGAGGAAAAGTTTTGCAGAGATTCATTGTACAGAAACAATTAAAATTTGGGGTTTGTGTCATAAATGATGCAACTTTTTTATATGAACTTTTGAAGAAATAAATTCTGTATAATTATACAACTGTTTCTTTAATGAAGATCTATAAATTTATTTAATATATCATTTTGAGATGTCAACACAAAGAAGGAATCAATACATTGTGACAAATTAAAAATCAATGACCTTAGACTTGCTTGATCATCAAAATCCCAAGTCTTGGGCAAGATAACTTAAGACAAATTTAATCCTTCCTTAAACAAAAAGATCATGCTTTAATGATTATTACAAGTTAAAGTATCAAACCTACACTTAGGATATCGTAGTATAATAAATCTAACAGATGATTAACCATATTTCTATCTCTCTGACGGTAACTTCATTGTGGGTTTTGTTGTAGGAATCTTTCAACCAAAATTTGATTGTTTGCATAGTTTCAAGAAGTTATGCTCTCTTCTATCTGCCTCTGTCTTAATGTGATTTCTTTAAAACAAATAATTTATTGCACTGTTTAAGATAGTTTGAATTTAAATACAACTAATAACTTAAAACTAGGAAATGAATTTTAATGCTGTTGACAGATTTGTAAATTCCCTCTCTTGGAACTTCCTGTTTCATTTGTGCTGCTTTTGCCTTTTTCCATATGCACATGTTGGTGCAGTGGTAAATTTTGACCAGGATATTTTATCCTATCAATAATCAGTACAGAGTTTAACTTTAATGTTTATTTTATTGTAATGGTCCTTTATTGCTCAGAATAATTAAAGTTAAACTTTATACTGATTTTTGATAGTAAAAAGTTTAACTTTAATATTTAAATATTAAGCAAAACAAACAAACACTTGCAGTGGTCAGAACTCAAATCCCTTTGAATACATGCGTATACACCTGTATGTGGCTCTCATATATTGTATTTATAAACCTTTTTATGGTAATGTAATTGATGTTGAATGTTCTGTAAACTTTTGGCGGAAACTTATTTTACTCATTCTGCAAATCATTGTATAGATGTATATATTTTACTTTCTTACTGAGCAATAAAGGACCATAACAATAAAATGAAAATTAAAGTTAAACTTTATACTGATTTTTTTGCTTAATATTTAAATATGGACAATTTTAGAATATAACTGTAAATTCTTGGTATTTTTGTAAGATTTTAAATAAACATCATTAGGACAACAACAAAATTAATAAAGGTTTATATTTCTATCTGTAACAATCATAATATGTTACAGATGAATCAGATCAATTTGTATTTGCATAACAAAGTTTTAACTAAAGGGCTTTCAAATAAACATTTATATGGGAAAAACTATATGATACTGATAGCGAACAGCATGGATCCTGATCGGACTGCGCGGAAGTGATGTTCCTATTATAGCAAATGTAAAAAATGTAGCTATAACTCTGTATAAAAAATGCAAGCAATGTATACAAAATGCAAGCAATGTATACAAAATTCAAGCAATGTATACAAAATGATTTGAGACACTAGAAAATGTAGTTTCACTATTTTAACAGGGGCGTAACTAGGGGAACTCCTGTATACGCCCATCCGTACAAATCAATCCTGTGTTCCGACAAAATAACATGCGCTGAAAGTTCTAAAAACGTGATAAAAACAGAGGGGGGTTATGTGGTCGGGGCAATATATATTCATATAGGCCTACTTTATTTTTTATCATATTTAAACTGTATATAAAAAAATCATAACATGCTGTTCAGTATTTATTAATATCTTTTTAAATGATCTATATTGCGATATCTTATACAGATTCAGCGGAGGGAAGTTACAAAAAGCTTCAGGTGCCTGGTTCAGCACCGATTATTGGCCAAGATATTCCCCGAGCATTGACCCTTTATTTCCCACATTGGCCCTTTTGTGTCCTCTTATGGTTTTGGTTAGGTGCCTTCGGGGTACCCTGCTGGTGTGGTTGGATTGAGTAGGGGGCTACGTTCTGCCAACCCCGCCTTGTATGTTTTATTTTTGTTCTCATCTTTAATTTAATCAGAAAACAAGCAACAAATTGGTGTAATTTCTCAAAGATCGTCGAAAGAAATACAAATTTCTCATGGCATA